ATGGCCCTTAAGACTCATGGTACCACAATTCCCAGCATTCTCCCCAGCCAAGCGCAATGGGACAAATGCCTTACAGTGCATAACATTTTTGACCCGAACCGAGTCAAATGTTTAAATGACATGGCAAGTTTTTGCTCAATCTGCCCCAACATCCACATGCACAAGAAACTTGTGACTGCAAAAAGAAAATTTCATCCATCTTTAGTCCAGATACGTGGTCAAGCTCTGGTCTGGAGTACACCGGGACAAATTACGGGCGGTCGACTGGGCCTTGCGTTCAGCAATCCTTCCGTAATCAGCCTTGTATGTCCATCAGCAGCCTAAAGCGGGGACGTCTGGGGGGGGGGGCATGTTTACAAGGAAAGGCCTTGAAAAATCTCCCTCTGCTCATGAGGTGGGACAGCCACTGATAACCGAAGTCACAATGCGTCACGCGGACCCATGGAGCAGCTTTGCTCCTTCGGCTGCTGTGGCACAGCGGTCGAGTGCTTCACAAGGGCTGCGGAAACCAGTGTGGTGTAGTGGTTAAGAGCAGGGGACTGGGACTCAGACGACCTAGGTTCTAGTCCCCGCTCGGCCATGGAGCCAACTGGGTGACTTTGGGCCAGTCACAGACTCTCAGCCCAACCTACCTCACAGGGTTGTTGTGGGGATAAGATGGAGGAGGAGAATGATGTAAGCTGCCTTGAGCCCTTTGAGGAAAAAGGCAGGATATAAATCAATCAATCAATCAATCAATCAAATGTTCAAATCTCCATTCAGCTCTTAAGTTGACTGTGGAGGTTTTTTTTGGCCAGTGGCTATCTCTAGGTCCAGCCTACCTCGCAGTGTTGTTGTGAGGATAAAATGGGTGCAGCTAGCGGTGGGAGAAGAGGCATGGGGCCCTCCTGGGATAAGTAATGTCCCATAATGGTCTTGCCTAGGTTGCGAGTTGCCCAGAGAACCTTATAGCTAATGGGGCGGTGTAACAATTAAATAAATAGATGGCCACATCTGTTCCCCCAACCAATCATGCAGCTGCTTTCTGGCTTTTGTACATTATTTTCCCACCTCCATTCTAAACGGTTGAAATGCAGTCAGGATTTCAAGCTACCCTATCTGGGATGTTAATCTTGGCCTCATCCCTTTTGCCTTGTTCTCCACCCACCACTGGAATGTGGCCCCCGGGAGCTTCTCCGAAGTGTGTTACCTTACTAAGCTCTTGCCGGCCTCGCCTCCCAAGGCAAACGAAGGCTCTAGTCCTCGTGGTTCTGAATAAAGGGCTGCATGAGCCGGGGCAGGAGCGCGCTGCGCCGCGGCGCTCCAAGGGTTAAGCGAGGCGGCGAGGGCAGGAAACGGGGCCGGGGCGGGGCCGCTTCCTGCTCGCCGCTGCCCGCGTGCCCGGGGCGCGCCTCGCGTGCGGGGGCGGGGGCGGTGCTGCCGGGCGCAGGTGCGGGCGCGGGCTCTGGGGCGGGGGCCGGGCCGGGCCGGGCCCGGGGCGGCTCGCTCGGGCGAGGGGCCCGCGGGCCTCCCCTGGGGGCACTTCTCCGTCCCGCGCCCCGTTTCCGAGGACGGGCGGCCGATGCGAGGAGGCGCGCAGCCCCGGAGCCGAGCCTGCAAGCGGGACGCGCCCAGCCCCGTCGGGGAGCAAGAGGAGCCGCCTGCAGCTCTCCGGATGCGTGGGCACTGCAGCTCCCAGCATCCCCAGTCAGCACGGCCATGGTGGGGAATGCTGCATTAGCACGCTGGCTGAAGGGCTGGGTTAAAGCTGCACTCGGCCGCAAAGCTCACTGGCCGGCCTAGCATCCCTCCCTCAGCTTGACCTACCATGCAGGGTTGTTGTGGGGATGAAATGGTGCTGGAGGAGAGCACGGCCCGGCTTTGCCGTTGTTCGAGTGTCCCAGAGGATTACAGATCGGCCGTAAAATAAAATCTTGTGCTTAAAAAGGCTATGCAGAGAAGATGGCATGGCACAGAAGGTTTCAGCCACCTCCCTGTGGCACTCTCCAGCAGGGTTGAACTCCACCTCCCATCATCCCCAGCCAGCATGGTGGGAGTTGTAGTCCAAAATATCAGGAAACTTACATAGGTGGCCTATTGCTAAGTTTGTGTTTCAGATCAAGACTGGCGAGAGCTGAACTGAAATCTCTGGAGTCCTGAAAGTCTGGGAGAATCTTGGGTCAATCACTGTCCCTCGGCCTCATTCGCCCTGCAGGGTTGTTGTGAGGATAAAGTAGAGGGAGAATGGCGCATTCCACCATGAGCTCTGCCTCTGCAGAGCAGGAGGAAATAACTTGGAGGCACCCGGGAGAACCGATTTTCTCACTGTCAGACAAATTAGCTAGAAATCTGCAAAATGGGTATCTTGATCGTACACACATTTTGGGGGATGATATTGGAACCTTCTAGTTTCTGCCCCCCCACAATAACTTGTGCCGACTTTTGTAGGAGCTCTAAAAAAATAATGGGCCATTTATTTATTTCATTTTTATACTGCCCAATAGTCAAAAGACTCTCCGGGCAGTTAAGAAAGCTAAAAAGAACATACAAACAAACTCAGAAACAACATATAACAATAAAACAGCAGAACAATAAAATGAATAAAAAAGGAACTGTTCCTCCGATTCTGACCCTCCCTCTGAAAACAGCATTGCTTGCTTGGCCAAAATGGCTGAGAGAGGAGCGGTTTGAGGAATCCTAAGGTTTAAAAAAGTACAAAAATTCTTTAGGAAAAATCCTTACGTTTGAGAACGGAGCATGCTCCTTCGGCACAGAATGCTGATCACTTGCTGCGGCTGTGAGTGGAGGGGATGGAATGGAGTTTCATGGACGAGGGCATGGCTGGCTCAGTGGAACTGTGAACCCAAGCATTCTGTGCTGCAAAATTTTGTTGCAGGTTGTACCTCTTTTACCGTAATACTGATTACCGCTGGCATCTTTGTCCATGGTGTGTTTTATCGATGCTGAATTTCTTTTACAGTTTGGAGAAAGAATAGTAGCCCCTATCGACCATATTGCTGTAGGAAATGCAGAGCCGGGACCAAGAAGCTGGCCAGGATATCCTCCTTCAGCACCAAGAGCCCCAGAAGCAGGATCGAAATGTAAGAGGTGGCGGGGAGAGAAATGTAAGAGTTCGCAGCTCCAACTGACTTAAGGAAAGAGGCTGCATCTCTGTCAGTAGAGAGCAGAGAATTCACCAGGACATAGCAAGGACCCAGCTAAATTAGATGAGTCCAGATGAGCACAGTCTGTGTGAATTGCAGGATTTCTGATTCCCCGCTGCTTAAAATTAAACATTTTTTAAATTAAAATTGAACTTAAATTTTAAAAATTAAATACCAAGCATCCTACCTGAAATAATAGAGCAGGGAGGGGAAATAAATCATATTTAATGTGGATGTAAATGTTATTTTTGTAGACATTTTATTGGAATTCTCATAACATATTAAAGGCAATACTGTGTATTTCCCCTTAGACTGCTTACATTTAAAAGGGGATAACAAAGATTCTGAAAACTGCTTGGCCATTAATAAATGTTTGCAACCCAAAAAACTGCATGAGCTCTTCAGTTCTATTCCTGGAAACTGGAATGCTTGCCTAGCTTTCTGTTTGTTGTTGTCATCCACTTAATCGTTACTCATGAACTTAGGAATGGAAAACTTTCCATGGAAAAATAAAGCCCTGGAAATTCTGTGGAAAATGCCCAACCCTCACAGTACGGCTAGAAAAGGACTGTACATTTCTTCGTAGCAAAGCTATGGCTGCTTGTGTGTAAAGGCACGCTCTATTTATAAGTGAAATTAGAAATTGAGCCGAACCCCCCCCCCCCCCGGAATCTTGTGGCACCTTAAAAAGCAAACCAATCTTACATATCAGTGGACCTCCACTTGCTGCAATGAATGGAGTCGTCTTTAAGGTGGCACAAAATTTTGCATTAGCCTTTCACAGAAGCCTGACCCCCTCCAGAAATTGCAGGACTGTCCGGAATCTCGCACCAATCAGCTTCATAGGATGACCCTCTGGATAATTATTATTAATTATACTTCTCTACCAAGAGGGGTTCTGGGCAGTTCAATATTAAGTCACCCATCCGCATTTCAACCAAGCCCAACCCTGCTTAGCTTCCAAGATTAGGCAGAATCAGGCTCTGTGGGTTCCAGTATTAATGTCTGCCTCTCCGCTTTCCACACTGTTGGGAATGAGAAGGATGACGGCTTTCTCAAGGGCTGCTGGCAGAACTTGAGAAGAATCTGAAGCAAAATGTGACACAGAACGGGAAGGAACTAGAGTGGCGATGGAAGGAGTTGCTGATCTCAAGGCCAGGCCCGTGGAAATATTCTGGATATACAGTAGGTGGGAGGGGACCCCGAGTATGGGAGTTCTCAGAGGAAGGCCAGGCAACCCTGGCTCTTGAACCCGTAACATGGCACCGCAGAGGAGGGAAGCCCAGTTAGTGGATCGGCGCACCGAGAAGAGGTGTGCGTCCTTTCAGAAGTCCCCTTCTGAAGGGATGGGGCACAGGCATGCCCATAAGGAGAGCTCCTGGAAGTGGATTCGAGAATGGCTTCAGTGAACCTCTCTGCGCATGCTCCGAGATTCATTCTGGGTGAGGTGTGGTTTTGGGGGGATAAGAAACACTTTGCTAGAAAAACGGCCTGTGGCTTTGGGATGCTCGGAGGAGGAACCGTGCCCGCGACACCCACGCTCGGCATCACTGTCGACGCCGCTCTCGCGCTTCCCCTTCCCTGCCCAGTCGCTAAAGCCACTCCGCTAGTGATCCAGCCCCTTCTCTGCACCTTTTTGCAACTCAGCCATGTCCTTTTGCAGGTGAGGCGACCAGAGCTGCACACAAGAATCCAATGTGGTCGCGCCAAGAATTGGCACGGGGGCGGTGCAGTTTTGGTCTTTTTGGCTTCTGTATGTGGAAAGGGGGAGGAAGGCCCCCTCTTGTCCTTCGCAAATCGCCTCGGGCCTGCCCAGGTGGGGGAATTGACTCTCACCACCTCCTCTTTCTGTTTCAGGTTCCCTGGCTCCTGAAGCAGCACCTGCACAATGCCAGGAGGCTGTCGGAAGCGAAGTGGGAGGCGGCGGAAGAGAACCTCAGGGAGGCAGGCTCAGTCGGGAAGGATTCCCACGGCCGGATGAGCAGAGGTGGGGAATCCCAGCCATCTTTTCCCGCCTGGGCTCTTGCCACCTGCAGGGCAAGGCACTGATGTAAAGGATGAAGCGCGACTGTTGCTGGAGGCCTCTGAGCAGTGCCTGGGCCAAGACCCCCTTCTTGGGGGCCTCCGCATGCTGCATCAGCCTGACATGGGAAGAGAACGAGCAACCCCAGAGGCTCTTGTCGTGGGTCCCTGGTGGGTCCTTGGCAAGTGCCCAACTATACCCATTCTTGGCAGTAGACGGCAGGCAGGATAGGAGGGCAACAGCCCCTGTCCCTGCTCCCCAGCCATTGGCATTTGGTGGTACACTGCCCCTGACTGTGGAGGTTCCACTCAGCGGTTGCTGCTAATAGCTACTGATACACCGCTCGTTTTCCACAAATCTTTCGAAGCCAGAGATGGGCACCTTGTGGGCTTTTGGCTCGAAGCGCCTGTTCTCCTTCCCCGTTGGTGGTGCTTTTGTAATTGTGGTCCAAATCTCTGTAGAGCCACAAGTTGCCCATGGCTTCTCCAAGCCCATGACTCCTGCTATACCTTGCAGTTTGCTCTAGCAAATTGACTGGCTCACTTGGTTGCTGCCACATGCTGCCAAGTCATCCCTGACTCCTGGTGAACAAGCACCCTCCAAAGTGTTGAGTCCTTCACTCTTCTGAGTCGGACTGATGGACTAATGTGGCGATTATTATATGACATGACATTTATACCCCACCTTTCTTCCTCTTCCAAGGAACCCAAAGCAGCTCGCAAGTTTCTCCTCCTCTCCGTTTTCTCCTCACAACAACCCAGCGGGGTAGGGCAGCCTGAGAGTGTCTCACCCCGTGAGTGCTGTGGCCAAGTGGGGACTAGAACCCAGGCCTTCTAAGTCCCAGTCTAACACTCTGACCACTACGCCGCATATTTAAAGGGTTTTAAAATCCTACCTCTCAGCCAAACACTTCCCTGAAGGAGCTTATGGTTAGTTAACCAGGGACGCTCTCTGCGTGCAGGCTTCCAATCTAGGGGATGAAGGAGGGGAGGGGAGGGGAGGGGAGGGGAGGGGAGGGGAGGGGAAAAGAACAGGTCATATTTTCACAGGGCTGGTGGAACAGCCCTGCCTCTCCCTCTCATCTTCTCCCGTACAGCCTGCTGGTCACAGTTCCATAACCGAAATATGGACTGTGCCTGCCTGCATAGCTATGCATGTAACTAGCATGTCGTTTTTGCTAAGCTGGAAGGGTGCAGGCCTTCACCTGGATGGGCGACCACCTGTGGAAGCAGGGCAGTTGGACTGGGGGGTCCTAGAGGCCCCTTTCAGCTCCTCCCGTTCACCCTTCTGGCTGCCACGTGCTGACTTAGGTTCAAGATTATGATTCCTCCCATGATCTTTTTATTCTAGACATCAGCAGGAAAGATGGGGAGAACAAGGAGAAAAGAGCTTTTGAACTGGAAAGACCCGAGTGCTTGACCCCTGGCAGAAAATGCTTGGAAGATATCCTCGGGAAATTTTTCCAAGTCCCTGAGGCAGACGAAGCTCCCGCAAACACACCCCAGCCCCCTTTGCCATGGAGAAGCCGTTTGAATGCTCCGAGTGCGGGAAACACTTTGCCACCAGCTCGCATCTCATCAACCACAAGCGTGTGCACACCGGGGAAAAGCCCTACAAGTGCTTGAGCTGCGGGAAAAGCTTCACGGAGAGAGGCAACCTGCTGAAACACCAGAGGATGCACACCGGCGAGAAGCCGTACGGGTGCTCCGACTGCGGGAAGGCCTTCGGCATCAGCTCGCAGCTCATCAGCCACAAGAGGGTCCACACCGGCGAGAAGCCGTACGAGTGCCTAGACTGTGGCAAATGCTTCTGCACCAGCTCGCAGCTTGTCCGCCACAGCAGGGTTCACACGGGGGAGAAACCCTACGAGTGCTCGGAGTGCGGGAAAACTTTCAGCCAGAGATCCTACCTCGTCGGCCACGAGAGGACCCACACAGGGGAGAAGCCCTTCGAGTGCTCACGGTGTGGAAAGTGGTTCTCGCACCGCTCGGACCGCCTGCGGCACGAGAAGATCCACACCGGGGAGAAGCCGCACAGGTGCGCCGACTGTGGCAAGGGCTTCAACCAGAGGGGCTCGCTCATCACGCACCAGAGAACCCACACGGGGGAGAAGCCTTTCGAGTGCTCCGAGTGTGGGAAGAGCTTCAATGACCGGGGCTATCTCGTCACCCACCGGAGAACCCATACAGGGGAAAAGCCATACGAGTGCACGGACTGCGGGAAGAGCTTCAGCCGGACGTCCCACCTGACTGCTCATAAAAAGACGCATGTGGGACAGGAGTCCTAGCGTGCATGGGCAGCTGGCTGGGTGCCTGGACCGGGGCGCTTCCTCCTTCACGGGAGGCGGCCTGCCTGCACTCGCCCGTTTCCTGCTGGGGAAACCGTGCTGGCAGTGGCTTTGCCATCGCGTGTACCAAGTGCTGGACTCACCTCGGGCCCGATCCAGCAGGGCGTTTCTCACATCCTTGCGGGTGACTTTGGGCCAGTCACAGACCCTCAGCCTAGCCTACCTCACAGGGCTGTGGGAGTATATGAGGAGGGGAGGAATTATGTGCACTGCACTGGATTTCTTGCGAGAAAAAACAGGGTGAGATCCAAATGTACTAATAAAGAGGGAAGGGAGCAGTGGAGAACCATGTGTTAGTTTCAGACTGAAGCAGGATTGTCAGTGCTGGCAGAAGTGGACTTCCTGGCCTCTTCCTTCCCTTGGCAGCCCCTCTGGCCCCCTGAAAATGGGGCACAGGATACCCCATGGAAGAGTGAGTGGAGCATTCTTGTGCATGGCGGAGATCTCCACCTTCTCTACACTTCGTCTAAGTTTATAACCTGCTATGACATCCACTTTTGGTCTTTTTTCTTGCTTTCTGCCCAAAAAGGGTCCCCAACTGGAAGGTCCCCCATAGAACATTAGTGGATTTGGGCCTCCTTGGAGTCATTCCAATGAAATCGGGAGGATTAACCACGAGTAATTTCAGTTAAGTTGCTTTCAGAGGGTGAACTCAAAGTAGGAGTAAATCCAGATCCCACCTCTACTTAGTTAGAAGGGACCTCAGACGAGTGTTCTAGTTCGACCCTGGTTGAGAAGGGAAATCCACCATTACAGAACGTCTGCATGAAAACGGCCAAACTCCTATTTATTTATTTTTGCATTTGTAAGCTGCCAAACTATTCCACTGCTCTGGCTTGGCGCCGTGGTCTCCCTCAGCACTTCCACCAGAACTGGGATTCTCCTTTGTGAGGTGGGGCGGCCAGAACCGGACACCACACTCCAAGTGTGAACCTATCCTGTTGATTTGGCGCTGAGGGCATTAAGACCCCGTACCTCAGATCTCTGGGATCATCCTCAAAGGATTTGGCTGACCATGACAGTTCCTGGTCAGGAAGCCCCCAAAGTTACTAGGCTGCCTCCTCTCTGTCTAATAGCTTCCATGTAGCCTGAAGTGCCTGATCCTGCCTAATCTTGGAAGCTAAGCAGGGTCAGGCCTGGGCAGAAGTGGGATGGGTGACCTAAGTGAATGATTCTATGATTATTGCTGTCAACTGCCTAGAGAGCTTTGGCTATGGGCAGTATAAAAATGTAATAATAATAATGTCTGCTTCAATTCTGGCTCCAGTGGTGGGATAGGCCACCTCCTCCTTGGGGCCAGCATGGATTTTTATGCCGGAGGTGGACGACTGCCAGCCTTAAGCTTTGGTGTCTTTCCGGCTTTGGTGCACTGTCATTTCCCCAAGCTAAAAGGCTGAAATCTCCCAAAGATTTTAGGTATACTTATGCTGGTGTTTTGGGCCTCAACCCTTCTGCCTTTGCTGCTGCCCACCACTGGAAGACATACCCCACCCCATAAAAATGCACCAAAGGGCTATTTATCCCCCCTCCTCCCATGGGAATGGATCCAGGTCCGCCTTCTGAAAGAGGAAGGGCTCTGCTCACCGAAGGTCCCTCCATCCCCTGCTGGGGGATCTCTGCTCCCCACATATCACAGCTCAGTGCATTCCCCAGGGTCTCCTCCTGCTCTACAAGCACTTTTAGGGGGCTCCCCCAGAGAGGAGGGGAAGGGGTGGTCCATTTCTGTAAACCTCCCCCTTGATCCAGTTTCTGTCTGAATCCAAGCCCTGCCCAGTTTGAGCAGATGGCACACAGATCCAGTTAGCACCTTGGGAATCATGAGGCCGCGTGTGCTGCAAAACGGCCCTAAATGACCCCCCCCCCCAGATTTTATTTCCTGGTGGTGCTTCGCCTCTGACCATGGTTACATGTTAATGGGACCCATGGAGAATGAATGTTTTCCCACCCTCATTCTGTAAAAAGATGGGATATAAATGCTATGCAGCAGTAAGAATTCTTATAATTATTTCTTCTTTTCTGGACAGCTGGGCGTGCAAGACTGCAATCAGCTGTCGCTTTTGTTTTCAAGCATGGTTCTGGGGCCTGCAGGGGACGCAAATAAAGATGGTGCTAATGCCATGAGTTTGTGCTGGTACTGCTGCAGGTGCTTCCTTAGGCGTAACGGGGTCTGCTCTCAGCGGAGTGCACAGAGGCGGTCAGGCGACACCTGCATGGCCTCGTAATTTGTTCATGTACAAAATGTCCATGCTGCTCTTTGTTATCCAAATATGTTATGGCGAAGCACTCTTCACAATAAATGGGAGAATAATAATTATGCTAATAAAACCAAAATGCAGAACGGAAACCTTTGGAACCGAATTGTGCCAAGAAAAGCCGCAGCGGGTGAGCCAGAGAAGCCTGGATTAAACAGAAATGTCTTCCACAAGCACCAACAATGCTGGAGTTCCCCAGAGAGGGAGCCAACACACTGAAGGCCCTGCTGGAAGGGGACTTCAAACAGAGCACCTGTCTGTGTCACACCACCAGCAGTACATTGATGACTTCTGTGTTTGGCAAGGGAGAAGGCGCCCTTCCACGTATCCTGTTCCCGGGAGACACATAAAGAAAAAAACTGGTTGCAAAGAAGCAGCCAGTCATTTTGTGAACTCACTGATTCCATCGCCTGATCTTCACAACAACCCTGTAATGTAGGCAAGACTGAGAAATCGGGAAGCAAAGACCAGGCATGAGTCCTGCACTGAACTTTACCACACTTGGTCGACTCCAGATATTGCTGGACTCCAACTACCATCAGCTGTTACCCCCATGACCACTGTTCAGGGATATTGGGAGTTGTAATCTAATATCTGAAGGGCTCCAAGTTCCCCACCTTTGTTGCAGAATAACTTTTCTTTTTTGCCATGTCAGAAAAGGGATTTGACAATTACTAAGGGGGGAAATCCACCAGCAAAGTGAAGATGAGGCAAATTTTGCAGGGAAGCTTGCAGCTCCTTGAAAAGGAGGGTGGTTAAGTAAAAGTTACTAAGCGCGTGTGTGCGCGCGCACACACACACACACACACAATATTCTATACAAACTGACATTGAAAAGGAAAAAATCCCAACAATATCCAAGCCAAGTGTCACAAAACAGTGCATAAAGCTCTTGGGCTCTGCAGAATTCTTTATCAAGCAGAATGCTACATACAGCACAAGTCAGAGGGACAGAAGGGGAGAGAAAAATGGAAATGTTGCATTATTCAGATTATTTCTATTGATGACCCTCCTTTTTCCTGCAAGGAAACTAAGGCAGCTCACATAATCTTCCTTTTCTCTGTTTTATCCTGACTACAGCCCTGTGAACCTTTTAGAGACCGAGTGCCCAAACTGCACCCCAAAACCCACTTATTTATCGCAGTGCCAACCCTGCAATAAAACCTGAATACGGAGGTTTTCGTTTAGAAAAAGCAACTCACAGCCAGTCCAAGCAACTGTATATATATGTATCCTTGGCGGCGCACTGACCGGCCCTGCGAAAGCTCGGACGAGTCGTGGCTAATGAGTCGTGGCTTGTGCCTTGTGCCGCCACTCCTTTCCGAGCGTGCGCAGGGCCCCTGTGTGTGCTGTTCTCCAAAGCTCGGCTGCTGGGGCCACGCTGGGGCGACCCGGCTTGCGTGCCGACAGAGAGGGCTCTGCGTGGCTGCTGCAGCACGCGTGCCACAGGTTGGCCGCCGATGGGCTGGGCTGACGGTCAGTGACACCTGATCAGCTTCCTGGGGAGGAGGACTAGAAACTGGATCTCTCCAGAGGTCCAGGCCAACACTTTTGCTACTGCCACTGGCACAAGCACACACACACTATTGTGTATCAGATGGAGATGGAAGAAATAAGCCTCCCGGAGTTGTGGGGAGCGGACTCCCACACAAGCAGGGACAGGATTTCAGCCTTAACCTGATGGCATGGATGTATCAAAGGCACATGGAATGATTAAACGGGCAACCAATGCGGGCCAGGCAAAGGAATGGATGTGACAGCCGTCTCCAAGTCCAAGGAAAACATTTTAACAGACAGAGGACAGAATGCACTCAGATTTTAAAGTATTTCATTTGGATCTATGTTCTTCAGAAGACACGAGCAAAGCTAATGGTTCAACACAACGTTGATGGTGACTTCAAGGAGGATCACGAGGGAGGAATCGTCCCAGGAGAAACTGCAGTTACCCTGGAGTACTGGGAAGGCGGCCCTAGAAAGGGGTGCGTTTCACAAAAAGTTCTGGACAATGTTCCAAGATGCTGAGCTGTAGCAACTTATGAAAAAGTTTATCGGGTTCTGGCAATCTGGCTGGATCCCACACGCCTGCAAGTGAGCCAAAAGAGGAACGCCATTAACATCCCGATAAAGACCCCGTTGCCTCGTTAAAAGCAGGCCCCGAAAGATGTGCAAAACTCACAAATGAGAGGAGAGAAAAAATCTGGACTTGGAGCACTTACACAGGAGTACTCACAAGTGCTATGAACTCCTAGGTTAAAAACGGCACCACGTAGGTGACTTCTGCTCCAGGGAGATCAATTTTCCACCCAAAGCAGAGTTAGACCCAGTCTGCAGTCCATTGAGCGTTCTGGCATCCATGAGAGCAGAGTGCCCAGGGCAAGGCTTTCGGTGTTAACCTGAGCATGCTAGTGGGTGGGGAGATGATCCGTCACCTATCCCAGTCCCAGAAAGTCCAGGGATTTAAACACAAAAAGCAACACTTTAAGCTGGGCTGGGAAATGGTTATTTCCGACACTTCTATCCCATCCTCCTCCTCCCGAGGAAGTCAGGGTGCCGAGCAAAGTGCTGTGTGGGTGCCCCCTCCCCACTCCTCCATTCAGTCCTCATACCAACCCTGCAGAGTAGGCTATGTCGAGAGTCGTGATTGGCCCCTCGGCACCCCCGGGGGCTGCAGCGGGCCGGCCGGCCCTCACTCGACTTACCCCAGTTCAGCTTTTGGAGGGTCTGGAGCTACACAGCGGTGGTCAGAATAATTGCATTGCAATCCAAGCTCATCTGGAAGAGTAAGAGTGACAGAGGAAGAACTCGCTCTTCGGCACAAGGAAGGAAGGAAGGAAGGGGGCAACTTCGCTTCTCCAGGCTTGGGCCTGGTATCAGCTGGACTAGACTGGACTCGTGACCCCATCAGTCAGATCCAGGACCTGCCTTCTGCAAGGCTGGCTATGCTGGCTGGGGTTGATGGGTGCTGTAACTGGACAAGACGCGGAGGGCCATGAGTAGCACGCTCCGAGTCTGCAGCCACCTTTCTAGAGCCGAGCAGGAACAGTGAAAGGGCGGGAGACGCCTCTTGACAGCTCCACGTACACTGCTCTGTGTTCCAAAAAAGTTCAGGTTAAAATACACTGCATATTAAAAACGGGATTTACCTACATCCTTGGGCACGCTCTTTGGTTTGCTCCAGTCTCTATTTTAAATTGTAAGCGCATTGGGGCAGGGATCCCTGTAATTTTGCCTAGGTCACACTGTAAGGAGCCATAAACTGTTGAAAAAGGTTGGATCCTGGAAGGTCTCTCGACCTGAATTTTTTGGGGATCACAGCCTGCCCCCCACACAATTTAGGAGGGCCTATGGACACTCTCAGCTGTTTTGAGCTCTTGACACAGCTGTGGGTTATGGCATGCATGTTTTGGATATTCCCCCAGTGGGGGATAGTTTGACGTGTCACCCCAACTTGCGTGTCAGGGGCTGTTGGGGGGTTAAACAACCTGCAGATAAACCATGATTATTAAACCATGGTGGGCTGCACAAAATACCCGTTTCCAGAAGGCAATGAAACTGTAGGAAAAGTAGCTTGCCCCAAGGCCTTGGAATGGTACCGTCTGAGCTGCTTTCTGAACCCAAGCAAAGATAGCGTGGGAACCTGCCAGCCTCCCAGTTGATACAAGATGCAAAAACAAATCAAAATCAGGAGGGGCAAACAGCTGCTCGACTTCCAGAGGCCTTGTGCATCTTTACATTATAGCAGAACAAGAAACACCACAACATGCTAACATTTACGAGTGAAAAGAGAGCAATGTTTCCTTACCACAGCAGTGCTAATTTCTTCCACAGAGAGTTCCGAAGAGGCAGCCACAAAATCTGAAATGCAGAAAATGATTCTGTGGGATCTCTCTCTTTCAATGGGGCAGGAAGAATGCGCACCTCCTCGGAGCCAAGTCCCAGACTGCCACCGTGCAAGTTTTGGGCTCTTTTCTGCACTCCCCACTTGGACAACACTTCCATTTTTTGTGCGTTTCTTCCTCAACCTTCAGCTATGCTGGCAACCACACCGACTTGGTCCTCTGACCTGGGCTGGATGAGGGTTAATAAACTGAAGCTCAATCCAGATAAGACGGAGGTCCTGTTGGTGGGTGATTCGAGCTCCTGGGTAGGTGGCTTGGGCCTTGCCCTGGACGGGGTTGCACTCCCTCTAAAGGACAGGGTCCGCAGCTTGGGAGCGCTCCTCGACCTGGAGCTGTCCCTGGAAGCCCAGGTGACGGTGGTGACGAGGAGCACTTTCCTTCAGCTTCGGCTAATCTATCAGCTGCGTCCTTACCTGGAGAACTGCCTAGCAACAGTGACACACGCACTGGTTACTTCCCGGCTGGATTTCTGTACCATGCTTTACGTGGGGCTGCCCTTGAAGACAGTCCAGATACTTCAGATGGTGCAAAATAGAGCAGCCAGATTGCTGTCGGGGACTGGGCGTTATTCTCATATAACCCCAGTCCTCTACCAGCTTCACTGGCTTCCCATTGAAGTCCGGGCTCAATTCAAGGTGCTGGTTATTAGCTATAAAGCCCTAAACGGCTTGGGACTAGGATACCTAAAGGAATGTCTTCTTCCCTATTTGCCCTCCTGCCCCCTGAGATTGGCAGCAGAAGCCCTCCTCCGGGAACCCTCTGTGAAATAGATTAGGAGACAGAGTACCCAGAGGAGGGCTTTCTCTGTGGTGGGGCCCCGACTATGGAATGTGCTCCCCAGAGAGGTCCTCCTGGCGCCGTTATTATATGTTTTTCGGCGCCAGGTTAAGACCTTTTTATTTAATCAATACTTCAATAAGTTTTAATATTGAATTTTATTATTGTATCTTATTAACTTGCAGCCAGAGTGGGTTGTCAATTTATTTATGCTGTAAGCCGTCCAGAGATGTAAGTAATTGGACGGCATACAAATTTAATTAATTAATTAATTAATTAATTAATTCTGCCCTGGACCGAGGGGGAAAATTAAAATAGGGCTGCTCATGCTTGCCCTTGCTTCCAGATCAGCCTGCCGGGGCCCACCGGCAGAAGAGGGGATTGTCTTCTAAGACAGTCTCTGGTGATGCTTGGGTGTATTGCACAAAAAATACAAAAAGCATTCTTTGCCTTTCTCCCCCGCTTTCTCCCACAGTTTTATTCTTGGGACAGGCCAATCCGTTTAGGATTTCACCAAGCAACACCGCTCACAGGATTCATCGGCCACGAACCCCACTTACTTGGGGAAAAGCCCTGCTTTTTCTCACTGCAGCTCGCTCCCAGGACAGAAGACATGATGGTGTGGCCCACCACGCCTTCAACGTGGCTGACAACCCCAGTTCTTACTGATGGCAGTGCTATAAGAATGAAACTTTTAACTAAATCAAACCAGGAAACATTCTCTGGGAAATAAGGAGTTTGAAGATGGTAAGAGACGATCAGTCTCTTTAATTCAGCCCTGTGTTTCACAACACACCTGAGCTGCTGACTGGGAAATCCATACAGGTAAGTGGACGGGCAGAAGGACACCTGGCTCTGTCCCTCCCTCTTCAGCTAGCCTGCTTGGTTTCCATGGAAGGCAAGGGTCCAGCTAGTCCAGCATTCTGCCCATGTAGCATCCGGAATTCCCATGGAAAACCCACAAGCAGGACAGGAGGGCAACAGCACCTCCCCCTCCATGCTCCCCAGCAACTGGTGTGCCCAGGAGTCTTCCTTTGATACTGGAGGTAGCAAACAACACTCTCAAAGAGCTGTAACAGGTGGGACAGGACTTAACTCTCTGGAAGACAAACTGATGATTTTCAGCAGAGCTTGCCCTTCTGTATGTAATGTAAAATGTACTCTAATGATTACAATAACAATTTTATCTTGAATAATATTGTCAAGCCCTTCACCTGGAACAGATATTAAATGAACTGGCCTGAAATTTCCCAGATTCTCTTTACAGAATGGGTGTTACTCGGTCCATTCTCCAGCTGCCTCATACAGAGACTGACCGAAGAGACTTTTGCTGCCTATTTTTGTTAACAGACTAGCAATTTTATATTCACGTCTTCCTCTTTTGTCAACATTAGTTGCTTCAGTTTCTGAGACTCCCTTCCTGAAAGATTGGCTTGGGCACAGATAATCTGTTCAGTCTCTTGCTATTTATACCCTGCAATACTCAAGACTTTCTGGGCAGTTAAGAAAAGCACACTCACAAACAAAAATCAAAACTAAAACAGCGAAACCCCACTAGCAATTGCTATTGAATCAGCATAGAAGCTCAAATGCAACGAACTGCAGCATTTTAAACGGTTAAAATGTGGGGAGAATTCACCTGGCAATGAAAAGAACCCAAGGCTGCTGCTCGGCACCCCTCTCTGGGGAGCTCACTCCACCACAGGGGTGCCACACGGGTGCTCTGCTGCCGGCGGGTGACTGTGCCACCTGCCACCCCCGTGGCTTCGGCGTTCTCGCTGGACTTGGCCGCAATCCTCGCCATAGCCGAGGAGGGAAGGGGATCCATTTTCCCAGTGAGGCTGTAGTGCTCCCCGGGACGATGCAAAGTCAGCTGGCGCGGCCTGGCCTTGGAGCGGTCTTTGCAAGAGCGGTCTGCTTGCTTGCTTGCTTGCTTGCTTGATTTATGGATTTATATCCTGCCTTTTCCCTACAAAGGGCTCAAGGCAGCTTACATAATTCTCCTCCTCCATCTTATCCCCACAACAACAACCCTGTGAGGTAGGCTGGGCTGAGAGTCTGTGACTGGCCCAAGGTCCCCCAGTTGGCTCCATGGCCGAGCAGGGACTAGAACCCGGATCCTCTGAGTCCCAGTCCCATGCTCTTAACCACTACACCACACTACACCACTACACCACACACCACCACACTGGTTTTGTGACTCAAGGGTGGAGCAACATTGCCTGCACTCGTTCACAGCTCCAAAATTTGGCACTACGCCAGCGTCTCTCTGCTTCCTGGCATGTATGTTTTTGCTTTTTTACCAGCCCGCTAAGACGCCCGCAGTCTGCGTTCGTGTGCTCGCTGTGGAGGAGGAGTAGAAAGCGTCCCGTGTGCCAGTTCATTTCTGGGTGGATTCTCTAGAAGTGATTGCAGGAAACTTGGATATGCAGCCTTGGGACATCCGCCTTCTGGCCCGGTTTTATGCGAGACCTCCAACGTCTCAGGATGAAGAAGTTCTTTGCACTGGGGTTATCCAAAGCCAGCCTTAGCTTTGAGTAGGAGCCGGACTGCGTCTGCTCTACTCAGCTGCTGGTACCTGTAGAAGCAGTCATGGAGGGCTGCGGGGGTCGCCATGTTAAATTTCCCACAAAGCCCTGGAGTGGCTCGATGTCAGGGGCACTGTGGGAAATTAAACAGGCAGCTGGACTCAGCCACCCGGCGCTATTCAGAGCACTGGATTGGAGAGGAAATTCTAATGGTCAGGCTCAGCAGGGGATCCTGCGAGTTCTGGTGCTAGCCCTCCTGTTACCAGCAGAAACTGTATGCATGGCAGGTGCCCCCCACCAAGGTATAGCCTCACCCAAAGTTCCGTTCAAAGAAGGCTCCCTTGCAAAGGCAGCGTTACCTAGTGGTTAGAGTACCTGGGATGCAGTCTCCACTTGTCCAGGAAGCGTGGTGGGTGACTTTGGGCCAGGCACAGACTCTTGGGCTAACCTACCTCACTGGATTGTTGTGAGGATAAAATAGAGAGGGGCAGGCCCATGCAAGCCACCTGGGTTCCTTGCAAGAGGAAAAAAGTGAGCACGCAACGAAGAAATAGAAACCTTCCCTCGTTCTTACCTATGTGGGTCCTTTCGTGTTCTGCAAGCTGAGACCGCCGGCTGAAGCTTTCCGTGCACTCGGAGCACTGGTAGGGTTTCTTCCCCGTGTGGGCCGCCTTGTGAGTGATCAGAGATTTCTTCCAGCTGAAGCTCTTCCCACATTCGGAGCATTTATATGGCTTCTCTCCCGTGTGAGTCCTGCTGTGCACTATGAGGGCAACCTTCTGGTTAAAGCACTTCCCGCAGTCAAAGCAGGCATATGGCTTTTCTCCCGTGTGGATGATCTCGTGCCGAGCGAGGTGGTCTTTTTTATGGAAACACTTCCCACACTCCGCACAGGCGTACGGCTTCTCGCCCGTGTGTATCCTCATGTGGTTGATCAGGCCCACCTTCCAGTTGAACCCTTTCCCGCATTCTGAGCACCGGTACGGCTTCTCCCCCGTGTGAGTCCTCTTGTGCGTCATCAGCCGGTCCTTCTTATAGAAGCTCTTCCCGCACTCGGAGCACTCGTATGGCTTCTCCCCCGTGTGAGTGCGCTGGTGTGCCACGAAGTTGGCTTTCACACTGTAGCTTTTTCCACACTCGGCGCATTCGTGTGGCTTCTCCCTGGTGTGGGTCCGCTGGTGCGCCAGGAGGGACGACTTCGCATGGAAGCTTTTCCCACACTCGGGGCATTCGTGGGGTTTCTCCCCGGTGTGGATCCGTTTGTGCTGGATGAGGATCCATTTGCCACTGAAAGTCTTCCCGCACTCGGAGCAGGCGTACGGCTTCTCCCCGGTGTGGGTCCTCATGTGGACGTTCAGAGCTGATGACCAGCTGAAGGTTTTGCCACAGACTGCGCACTCATGTAAATTCTGCTCCCCCGTATGTTTCCTCATGTGCATGATCAGGGAACGTTTCCAGTGGAAGCTCTGGCCACAGTCAGCGCAAGTGTGTGAACGCTCCCCCGTGTGGGTTTTCTCATGCCTCAAAAGATAAGAGGAGCATGAGAACCCTTTCCCACAGTGTGAGCACTGATAAGGTCTCTCCCCGGTGTGGATTCTCTTGTGTACATCAAGGTAGGATTTCAGAATGAAGCGTTTCCCACAGTCAGTACATTCATAGGGTTTCTCTCCCGTGTGGGTCCTTCGGTGTGTGATAAGGCCTGAGATCTGTTTGAAGCTCTTCTCACACTCGGAGCATTCATAAGGCTTCTCGCCTGTGTGAGTCCTCTTATGCGTGACGAGGGTTGCACCGTGATTGAAACTTTTCCCGCACACTGAGCACATGTAAGGCTTTTCTCCTGTGTGAATTCTCCGGTGTGTGATAAGATAGTCCTTGCGGCCAAAGCTCTTCCCACACTCGGGACATTCGTAAGATTTCTGGACTGGACCTACTGCATGAGTCTTCTTGTGCCTCCGGAAGGAAGCTGTGTAACGAAAACACTTCCCACACTCGGAGCACTGATACGGTTTTTCTGCCGTGTGGCTTTGCTTATGTATGTTAAGAGTTCCTTTCTCGCGGAAGCTCTTCCCACAGTCAGCGCACTGGTATGGCTTCTCTTCCGAATGAGTCCTCATGTGCACATTAAGTGCCGATTTCACACTGAAATTCTTCCCACAGTCCGAGCATTCGTACGGCTTCTCCCCGGTGTGAATCCTTCGGTGCACAGCAAGGTGTGGCTTCCGATTGAAGCTCTTTCCACAGTCTGAGCACCGGTACAGCTTTTCTCCGGTGTGCATCCTCTCATGCAGAATGAGGGACCCTCGACGGAAGAAGCTCTTCCCACACTCTGAGCACGCATACGGTCGCTCCCCTGTGTGGATTCTCCGGTGTTGAATGACATACGCTTTCTCGCGGAAGTTTTTCCCACAGTCTGAGCACTGGTAGGGTTTCTCTCCTGTGTGGCTGGCTTCATGGCCGAGAAGATCAGGGCAGGAAGAGAAACACTCACTGCCCTGGGAACCACTGTATGGTTTGTCTCCAGTATGACCCCTCTCGTGTAGAACCAGCTGAGACCGCTTATGGAAACTTTCTCCACAGTGTACGCATTTATATGGATTCTCTTTTACTCGTTTCCCTTGATGGTTTTCCTGGGAATTTTCTGCATCTTGCAGGCATCCGGTTGTCTCTTCCATCTTAGGACAACGGGGAGCCTCCCCTATCAGCTTCGCCAGAGTTACTCCTTCTCCGGCCTCAGGCGTAACCAACTGACTCTCAGCTCCTTTTCCTTGCATTTGGTCATTGTCTGCTGGAACAAAAAGGGAGAATTATGAGTCAGATACGCAGAGTTTTTGCAGGGTGGAAAGCTCCTACTCAGAATACTCCATTCCATTCTCCCCCACCCAATTTTGCACTCCTCACTTTCTCAACTATTAGCATTCTGTGCCCACTAAGCACACCTAGTTCCTGTGTGGAGAGTCTGTACTCATGTGGAGGATATAAAGATGTTTTTGTACTTCCGTCAGCCTGTCAATACCTCTCCTCTTGTGCACAGGTGCTGCTGTTTTGGTTGCATATGCAAAAGCATTTGGAGGGTAATATTATTGGAAAATATTATGATTAACTTTACTAAGCACTTATCATCTACATATCATTTTCTAAGTGCTGAATAGGTATTACTGGGTAGTGTAGTGGTTAGAATATTCAGCTGGGATCTGGGAGATCCAGGTTTGCGTCCCACTCAGCCACAAAGCTCATTGCGTGACTTTGGGCCAGCCACTAATGCTCAGCCTGACCAACCTCACAGGGTTGTTACTGTGAAAATGACACTGAAAAGAGGAGGATTGTGCAAACCGCCTTGAATTCCTTGAAAGGAAAAAGCAGGACATAAAAACAATAAATTAATTAAAAATAAGGCAGTGTTTGCCTTCAGGATCACAATTTAGACAATTGTGTTTATTAACACAATACAAAAGGAAAATGGGATGGGGAGGGAAGAGGAAAGCAAGCAATCCAGCTGAATGTAGCTTGCAACAGAGTGCATGTGTCTATGTGCTGTTGCAGAGTGTTGAGCATGGCTGCGATGTTGAATCCATCAGTTAGACTACCCGGTGGCTTACATGGCAGAAGCTTTTTGGAATAAAAATGCCTGCCTGTTCACAGAAGAGGAATAATAAAGGATGCAATTCTGTGCATGTGTAGACAGAAAAATGTTCTGCATCTCCCATGCTGGCTAGGGAATGTGGAGCCTGCATGATTCATTTCTGTCTAAAGATGCATGGGACCAAGCCTCAAATCACTGAGCAGCAACATATTAACGCAAAGCAATCTGCAAGACTGTTTAAATACCTAAAAATCTAAGAGATATTTCATGTATCTATTCCTCTTTAGAAAAACTGAGGAAGTAGAACTTATCATACCACTGGATCCTACTGGGGAGGTGAGAAACACTTCTGAATATACCACAGTATTTAAAAAACCAACAGAGGACAGGAAAGACCACAGAGAGAAGGGCTAGAGTGAATGATACAGGCTGTCAGAAAAATAAACTGCTACCTGCTCTAGACCATAGAGATGGGAGCAATACACATCACGGTGTCCAGGGACCCACAAAAATGCTTATTTTTTTTCCTGTTCTTCAATACGCATGTGCATTTTTATACAACCATAGCAACAGATGCCGATGAAATGCATGCAGTTCACACATAGGCTTTAATAAAAGCAAGCCAAACATCCAAAGAAGTATCCATTTGAAGGCAGCATCTAAATGCCATCCATTCATGTATCAAAGTCACTGTAAGGTTCTCAAGCCACTGGGTTACAGGAGCTGTTAATCCTTCCAACCTTGTAAAGTCAGTCTTTCAGCTGTCAAAAGCGTGGAGATAATCCACTTCCCCTTTGACATACTAATCTCCATGAAGCCTGTTTATAATTTAAAAGATGTGCATCAGTGAACATGAAAGACTATTCCAGTGCAACGTTTACCTGTGTGAGAACCACCCCACCCCAAAATTTAGCAACTCTGGCAGGTCACCGAAAGCTACGTTAAAGAGAAACATTAGCTGCAAGCACCTCCAGCAATTAGACAGCTTAGGCAATCCCTTCTTAAAGGAATATTGCATGCCACAGACATGAAGAACAAGTTTTCACTGAATGAGATGCAGTGTAAGATCCACAGGTGCAGTACAGAAAGCAGCGATTTTCTGATCGGGTGTTTTGTGGAGGTGTCTCCACAAAACAAAACAAAAGGCCGGGGACCTCTGTGTCCAGGTGGCCAACGCTGGCCAGAAGAGCAAACAGGACCAGCTCAAGGACAGCGGGCTCTGGCTCCCGCTCCCCTGGAGAACTGTCCAGATGTTCCACTGTGTGGGTGGCGGAGGGGCTTTTCTCCTCCAGCTGCTTCTAAACCAAACGTTCCGAGTTCCGAGAAGAAAGGGAAGGTTCTGCAACACAGGAAAATGGGGAACCGCTGCCACAAAGTCACCATGTACTTCTTTGTCTTCTTTAACCACCTCTTCTTCATCCTGGGTGCTCTGATCGTGGCTGCTGGGATATGGATCCTCTTTGACAAGGGCTCCTTCTCGTACTTTCTGCACACCTCGCTGTCCTCCTTCAAGGCCGGGGTGTATCTCTTCATCGGGGTCGGGGCTGTCACCATGACAATGGGGTTCCTGGGCTGCGTCGGTGCCTTTTATGAGATACAGTGTCTCCTGGGCCTGTACATCATCTGCCTCCTCCTCATCCTCGCCGTCCAGGTCACTGCTGGCCTGCTCCTCTATCTCCAGCACAGCACTATCCAGGTGAGGATGTCCAGGATCGTCACAGACCTCATCCAGGATTACAACCCCAATGACGAAACCAACCAGACCGCAGAGAGGGCGTGGGACTACGTCCAGACCAGCCTCTCTTGCTGCGGCTGGACAGGGCCAGAGAACTGGAAGATCAACTCCGCCCTCCACAACAGCGACCCGCCGTCCTACCCGTGCTCCTGCAGCAAACTCTCGCAGGTCCCCGTGGGCTTCTGCCCGCTGGATGCCGCTTCCCCCGGCCCCACCCCCGCAAAATGGCCCGTGGCGCAGCAAGGGTGCAAGGAGGTGGTGCGGAAGTGGTCGCAGGAGAAGCTGGGCGGCGCTCTGGGCATTTGCACCGGGGTGGCCCTCACCGAGCTGCTGGGCACGCTGCTTTCCGTGCTGCTCTGCAAGAGCGCGAAACGAGCACCGTGACGCTCACGCGGGCCAGGAGGGGAAGGCTGGCCTCGGGAACGGCCCTGCAGTGAACGGGGGACGGCTCTCCCCCGCCCCGGGGGCCCCCTTTGGCGACGGCCCACCCCTCCTGTGACAGCCAGCGCTGCCATGGTGGGCTCAAGGCAAAGGACTTGGGCAGCCCCCTCCTGTTTCTTGACTGTTCCCCTACAACACAAGCAATTGGAGCCTTCTCTGACTTGGGTGATGCCTGGAAACTTCACCCCACCAGCACCGTGCTGAGACTACCCCTTTCCTTCTTTGTCTCCAGACAGACGAGGCTGAAAACACTCCCTTACCATCATTGCTTTGTGTGCGAAACCCTTGCCATTCATTCAATAAAGAAAAATTTAGGGGGCTTTGGCTAGAGCTGGTGCTTTGGTCTCATTTTTTGAGGCATGTCGTTTCTTCTCCTTTCTGCCACCGACACTTCTGCCTTTCTCAGCGTCACTTTAGCAAACCTGATGAATGTCCTCTCATTCTGTCACTGCATTTTTGGCTGTATGTTTTCCCCTCCTTGAAAAAAAGGAAGGAAAACAGATTGTTCTCCTTTGCTGCTCTGTCTTTTGGAACACCGGCTGGATCAAAACTAGGGTCGGTCAGCTTCACCCCACTTCTGGTCAGCACCTACAAGTAATCACTTCAGTCCCGGGGCAAGATACCCCTTCCCTGTCAGCTGCTGTGCATGAATGAAGGATGGAGAGAGAAAGAGGAGGAGATGGGAGAGAGAAGACAACAACAGAGGCCTTTCAAGATTTTAGAATGGGGAAAACATGGTACAAAAATCGACTGGCAGCTGGAGAGATGGGCCGTGGAGAAAGAGCAAGGTTGTACGGAGAGCCCAGAGGGCTGGATCTTGGCTGGAGGCTCTGCACCCTGGTTGAAAAGTTCCCTTCTTTCTCCTCCAGCCTGGCATGTCTCTTTTAGGCTGATCCAAAGGGAAGTTTAACATTCGCCTCTTGTGCCTCACATGGAGACGCGGATCTGCTGTTCTCTTGGATTCAACTCCGAGCCTCCTCTGCATTTCTTCTTTGTTTTTGGAAGCGTCTTCCAAGAGGAAGGAGTGCATGGAGAGGACTAGCAAATATATTTCCAATGAGCGCCCCCCACCCCAAACCAGAACAGGAGCCCACCTAAGAATGTCCTTTGCCTATATAAACCTGGCCACGGCCTCACGGTTCAGCTGAGGTGGACTGGCAGTGAGGGGGACTGTTCTGCAGACGGGAAGGGACACCTGGGCTCCAGCCGAGTCCAGCCTCGGTGAGTGCCGCATCCTGCATTCAGGACTGTCAGATTTTTGCCCCCCCCCCGGGCAAATTCTGGGCCCCTGCGACATCACGGCAAGCCAGCCAATGGTGAGACTGGCTCTTGCAGCAAGTCCCAAATACCAAGTCCAAAATATGGGAGCTATTCTGATTAAGAAACTATTATTATGATTATGCATTACATTTATATCCTGCATCCACTTGTTTATATCCTGCCTTCTTTTTCTTTCGAGGAACTCAAGGCGGCTTACACGATCCTCTTCCTCCTTTTAATCTGTCCTTTACAACAACCCTGTGAGGTAGGTTAGGCTGGAAGTCAGCAACTGGCCCAAGAACCCAGTTGAACACCTGAATCGCTACACTACGCTGGCATGTCTATTCCTCTTGCAAGGTGGCTAATATATTTCTCTGCCACTACACTTTATTCTCACAATAACCTTGTGAGGTGGGCTAGGCTAAGGATCAGTTCCTGGCCCAAAGTCACCCACTGGGCTTCACAGCCAAGTGGAGCCCAGCGGTCAGATCACCCCAGTCCTCCATCCAGCACTCTGCACTAGCTCTGAAGTAATGAAGATGAGTTCCCATCCCATAATGAAAGGGGGCAGGAATGTCTTTCCATGCCATGACACTCTCGGGTTTACAGGGAATCTGTTCTAATGGTGATTTGAAAAGGTAGGTGAAGGAAATAGAAAACATTTTTGAATTCAAAGAAAGGAAGTCAGGGTCAGAGAGCCACAGTCAGACCCACTGTGGACGGCAGAAGACCACTTTTGCTCTGTCTTGCCCGTGTTCTGTCTAAGGAAATGGGGAAATGACGAAGGGGTTGGAAATGGATAATGCAGGCTGAGAAAGGAGAAAGTGGGAGAGACTTCTGCCGGAAGGCAAAACCGTGCCCAAGTCTGCTAGATATCAGAGTTGGAAAACCACACCTGCACTTCAAGGGACTGCTGTAGTTCCAGGAAAATAACCTGCGGCCCTCTAGATGCACTGAACTACACATCCCATAATCCCCTTACAGAAACCGTCGTCCAACACAATAAACTAAGGGACAGTGCCCAGCCACAAGAGGCTGAACTACCTGCCAGTATCTTGCTGTTCTCTGCTGCCTCACTTCTCTCTCGCATCCTCATTCCACCCAGGTACCCAGAATTCTCTGCCTTTGATTCCTCGTTTTTTGGTCACCAGGAAAAAATTATATTCTTCAAAAGGAAGACAGATGGCAGAGCTTCCCTACCTCCGATTCCTCGCTTATCAGAAATCAAACACAGTTCCCACTTTCCCCGTGACCAATGCATAAACAAAGAATTATGGCACATGGCCCACTTCCCACTATGGGGACTCCTGTTGTTACTTGATTTTGTGCATTAAGTTGCTCTAACACCCAACAGCTGGAGCTTCCTAGCCAGTTTACAAAGATTGAAATCTTTAAAATGCATTTTAAAAATGATATACACACAAACCTATAAACGTGCAGAGTAACACACCTATCTCAAACAACAGGTTAAAATATTTGAGATTGTTTAGCTTAGAAAAAACGGTGAGGGAGGGGAGATGTGATAGAGGTGTACAGAATTATGTGCAGCATGGAAAAAGTAGAGCGGGAGAGGCTTTTCTCCCTCTCCTAAAATACTAGTACACAACGGGGTCAGGTGGGAGACGCAGGACAGATCAAAGGAAGGGCTTCTTCGCACGGCCCAGAGCGAAACTGTGGAATTCACTTCCCAGAGATGATGTGATGGCCAGCAATCCGGACCGCTCGAAAAGGGGATTGGACCAGTCGTGGAGGAGGTGGCTACCCATGGCTACTAGCCCTGAGGGGCTACTAGCCCCAGCATCAGAGGCAGGAGGCCTATGCCCAACAGTTGCTGGGGAACATGGGCGGAACGGCACTGTTGCACTGACGCCCCGCTTATGGGTTTCCCGTGGGCAGCTGGTTGGTCAACATGCAAAGGAAATGCTGGACTAGGTGGACTGTCGGTCTCAGGACGGCTCCTCTTATCTTCTTGGCTTACCTACTGAGACTGCTCACCTGCAGCACAAGCCATGCCAAATGGTTTCCGCAATTTGTTCATCCATTCCCGGCTGCTGGAAATTCTGCCCAAGCCGCCTTTTAGTCAGATCACTCCCACAAGACCTCCACGGGCTGAATGAATCCATTTCGTCTGCAGCGCTGTTGGAACAATCGAACGGTCGGGCCTCAACACCCACTCACTGGTGAGATGCAATTCCCTTGCTGCGGCAATCCTTTCACTACGTAAGCTTTGGAAGGTCTTCACTCACAGATGCTCTCCATCTTGAAGAAGGGATGATCCCTTGGACAGAGACGGCAGCGATCTGGGCAAGCACCAGATGCCTGTCCTCCATTTTGTTTGATTTGAGAACATCGACGGAATTCTGGTAAATACTCCATGTGGAAATCTGGGTCCATCTATTTAGGAATCTACTTGGCAGTTCTTGGCACTGCTTGGCCTGCTCCCAGCAAAGAAAAGTTTGTGCTCAAACCTTCCTGCCCTGCCAGATACGTTCTGAGGCATCTCACTACCCCAGAACGTGCCAGTGTTTCCTTTTCAAGAAAAGGCTTTTTCCAGATTTAGGAAGTCCTCGAAGCAAAGTCTATCGTAACTTCTCTTCCTTTTTTAATTAAGACTGCATGCAAAACAAAGTCAGGAGCATCTCTTGCACAAATTATTCTTCCGTTGTTATTAAAGGAAGTGGTTGGTTGACAGTGACACAACCACTTGAAATCTGTCTGTGCAAAACTGATCCCAACTGAAGGGCTGCGACTACTTTCAAGAGCTGGCGTAAAGGAACCTCTTCACGGCAAATCGTTTTATAAATCTTTGCAAAGCTCAAGGAAGACTAAAGCATGTCTTCATTCTGCAGAAAATATTTTCCGTGAAGTCCAACTCCAGCTCTTTGCTGTTCTGTATTTGTGTCTTGAAGAAATCACCCACCCGGTGCAGAACAGATGCTTTGCGGGCAAATGGTAAGGCCACGGCATTGGCGTTTCCTCAGCATTTCCCTAGATGAGCATCATGTTCTGCAACAGACTTGCCATGTATTAGGATGTTGTCGTGACCCCCAACACATCCGCATATTCACGTGCGCCATTCCGGCAAACAGAGGCCGGAGAGACCAATGCAAGGGACCCGCTTTTCAACGGAAATGGTCTTTGTGGGATGAAGCGAGCTGTGCTTTTGTGAGAACTTCGAATGAAAGGAACCTGGTGACCAGCAGAAGAGATATGTAAAGACTGAGGCTTTTGAGCATCTCACTGATGTTGAGCAAGGGGTGGCAATTAGAGTTAGAACTGAATCCTCGAAGGAATGCACGTGTGTCTCAAAACAGTGGGAGGAAAGCAGGCGTTTCTGTTCTTTTCGAACTGCCCAGGCCACCAAGCCTCCCACCAAAGACAAGACACTTGGCCTTATTATGTGAGCTGGTCTTGCTTCAAAGTACCTCGTAGGTCCTGTTGCCGGCGATACGTCAGTGCCGGGATGCGGCGGGGCAGGCGTCGATGGCTAGGACACTGGGACCAGGCATGCTGGAGAGGAAATGAGGCCTCATCAGGCGCCGGCGGGCCAAGGAAGGGCAGAGTCCAAATGCAAGCTGAGGTCAGGCAGTGGCAAGGCAACGCAGGCTCAGAGGCAAGGGCGAGTCTGGATGCAGCAATATTTGCAAGGCAAGCTGAGGCTGGAGCTGGAAGGGGAGGTGAGAGATGGTGAGCAGCAGGCGCTTGGCAAGGTGGGGTTGGACTGGAGGCCGGGATGGGGGCGGTGGCGGGAGCCGGCAGCAGTCAAAGCGCAAGGACGGGGCAAGCTCAGAAGCAGGAATGTGATGTGGCCGCCATCTTGCTGTGGCCGAACTGAGCAACGCGAGAAAGCCTTTCTCAGAGCCTCCCGGGGATCCTGCGGGACTGCACGGGCCTGGTGCTTGCACGTGCCCAAGGGTCTAATCCTGGTCCTGCAGGCAGGTCCGTGCAGGGTGCCTTACGCCGCTCATCACCCCGGGAGTTGGGTCAAGGCTTTGACTCCTGACTCACTTCCAACGAAAGGGGTAGTACTTTCAGCAGCAGAGAGAGCCAACTTTAACACCTAAGGTGGCAAGTTTAGGAGTGCCAATGGCCCCCTCTTGGAAAGCTGGTTCAAGTCCTCCCTTTCTGGCCAGATGTGCTCACCACTTGGGACGCAGATCAACAGACGTGCGCAACCAAACCCATGTCCAAACGTTAAGCCAAGTCTGGTTCAACAACCCAAAGTCGCTGCCAGGAAGAGCAGAGACAGGAGGCAAGCACAGTCCAGGCAACGACAGCATAGTCAGGGCAGGCCAGAAGTCGGAAACCACTGAAGCAAGGCGACCGTTTAGGCACCTGGAGACCGAGGCAGGAACCAAGCCAGGTACAGGAGCAAAATCCAGGAGCTGGAACTCAGGCGACACCAACCAGGAAGCAGACAGCAAGTTGGAAGACCTTCACTGCCAAGGCAGCTTCGGGAAGGAAGAGCCAGTGCTTATATAGGTTTCCCCCCAGGGCTCCCAGGTGGGCTCATGAGGGCCCAGGCAGCGGCAGCAGACTGAGGGAGCAATCCTGCAACGACCAGGACTGCTATTCTGGAGCCCTGAAGCTGCCTCAGATCCCGAGGCTTCAATGGCTCTGACCTGCCATATGATTCCACACTGCTCCTCCCTCGCGTGATGTTGAACCCTGGGGCATCTTGGCTTCTCCGCTTCACTCTGGGCTGGCGTTCCCACGGTGTCGGAATGGTTGAGCCACCAGCAGTATTCTCACAAACTCCAGTGCTGTTGGCCACAAGGATTTGCCTGCCTCAGCCACCTCGTCCTGCTCCAAACCCATGTCTTCTTGAGGTGCTGAGGTGCTGGCATTTCACACAGTATTGATACAGGATGCCATGCACTGGCGTTCAAAATGACGTGGAAGCTACATCAATCACTCGCTCTCCTTAGATGAATCCCCTTCTTTGCTATGTAAACATTGCCTTCTGAAGCGCAGTTTGAAGCAGCTTTGAAACAATCAGACAGGTGATCCTTTGGGGTTTATCTCCAAAGCTTTAAATTCAGCTCCCAACTTGGCTTGGAAAATCGGATCTGGCAGAGCCGAGCAGAAACGAGAGCCAGAACAAGCCTCGGTTCACTGCTCTTCGCCGGACATTATGGAGGCAGGCAAAGCCCTGCGGTAGCCCTTAAAATAGCATCCAAGGGCTGCTTATCCTTTTCCCCATAGGAATATGCAAGCTTCAACCCATGTAGAACAGATTGGCACACTTAGGGGAAAAATGCCTTTCTCTCTCTCACTTTTGGGCACTTTTGGGGGTTGGATCCCCACAAGAGTAACAGCAATAACTTTTCCTCATAAATTTGCCTTGGAAGGCAGAGCCAAAGTAGGAGAAATGTTCTTGGAGGTCTCATCCTACCAAACGGTACTATAAGTGTTGAAAAAGCATTTGGGATACTGGAAAGCCATGGGCAGAAGGAACCAATCCAGAGATCGAGAAAACTAACCATAGCTTGAAGTCATGTCACAAGCCTCTTCGAGACTCAATCCTTTTGTTCAAAAGAGAATAACCAGCAGACTTTTCAGCAGACTGCATGGAGGGAGATGGGAAGGAAAGCAGGGCTGTTCCATCAGTCTTGCTAAAAGGATTTTTCACTCCTCTTTCCTCCCCATTCCTTCCTCCTTGCATGTTGCAGCTTTCTAGATTGTAAGCCTATGCACTGGGACTGTTTTAACTGATCGTACATGAACTGCCCTGGAAGCCTTTCTGGCTAAGCAGCAGCATAAAAAAATACTTCAAATAAGTAACTGCTTATCTCTGAATTTTTATATAAATACAAAAGCACTCTCTGGTCAGGCTTCTTTTCATACTGGCACCTATCTTCTCTTCCTTCCTATCCCTGGGTATTGGTTGGTATTATGGTAAAGCAATATGTCAACATTATAAAGACAACCTTTAGGCAGCATGGTGACCAGAACTATTCTCACCTCCTAATTTGTTCTCTGACAGAAACTGTTTTTAAACAAACACTGAATGTGGTTTTTTTTAATGCCTCAAGGATAAACCTTGCCTCATAAGCAAATGTTGACATTGCAACTGGGCCTGTTGTGCCAGAACACAGTCAAACTACATCAGCTAGGAATGTTCTGGAAAGAAATGGAAAGAGAGGATAGCCTAGAGGGAGGCCTCTCTCCTCTCTCTCTCTCCTTCCTTTATAAACTGAGGCCCTTTTGGTTTATAGTTCAACCTTTGAACTGCTTTTAATTTTTTTAAAATTTGTACCTTGAACAAGGCGTTTAGCGCCATGTATTTTTTAAAATTAAAAAGCTGAAATCTGTAACATTTATGTCTTGAACGTTTATGAACTGGCTAAACTACTGGTAGTCCTTTGTCTGTCTTTGGGAGTTCATTTTTATAGTGCTCTTTCCCCAAGAGCTCAAGAGATGATACTGCATTCTCCTCCATAATCATTTCATCATCACAACCTGTGAAGGGACATTAAACTGGCAGGTTATCATGAGCCCAAAATGCCACCCAGGAGATGCTTTGGTGTTATGCAGAAATTAGAAATTGGGTTTCCCCAGTTTTGGTCCACGACTCAAACCTCTAAAATATATACACTGACTTTAAGATGGAGACACGACGCTACCCCTCCTCCTTTTTCTGCATTTCTCCCCACACCCAATATCCAAATCAGGTACCCACTTTCAACAATCTCAACCTCAGAGGAAATATCCTCCTGGAATTCTCCTTCTTCTGACACAGGGCTGTCTTTCTGAACGTTCTTCACGTGGTTTCGCAGAGTTCCATCTTCTGGAGGATAAAAAGAAGACCAAAAAAAAAAATCTAGGAAAAACTGTTCCGGGAAGGAAGGAAACAACCAAGGAGTGACAGAATAAGGGATATCATTTTGGGATTGCCTTCAGAAAAGACTAAGGTAGTCTCCGTTGCTTCGATTCTTGCCCCACATCAAAGTATGTCTATCACCCAGAAAAGAACACTCTACATTTGTTTGGCAAAACACAAACTGATAAAAACAATACTTAATACTATCAGTTTGAGTATTTTTTAATCTTTACACTCCAATCAAAATATAGGTGATGTGATGCACATGCTTTAGCAATCAAATTACCACTGGAAGCAAATCCAGTTTATAAACTTTATAGATTTTGGTTTTTTTTAATCATAATTTTAAAATACTTTTTTAATTTTGTAGATTTGTATAATTTTATAAAAATTATCTGTATTTTTATATTTTAAACTCTATAAAATATATAAACTGGAGGCCCTACTGATGGTCACTGGTTCCTTTTTTTGAATGTTGTTATTATTAATTAAATTTGTAGAAAAGCTGCCTGTTAGCATCATGCTCTCTACCTAGACCCACAAACACAAAACAAAATGGATTTTTTAAATAAATAGCTGGGACAAAGAGCTCCTCCTCACACAGGACCAGGGGATTACAAAAGCAGCCCTCAACCAGGCACATGGGTGGGAATGGGTTCAAATCTATCCGTGGAAGGTTTTGGCCTATCCTATCCAGAGCAGCACACAGCAGACACACAAAGAATTCTAACCCAGCAGAGTGACAGTTCCATCTCCATTCTGCGAGAGCCTTCTGAGCTTCGATGCACACCGAGCGTCTAAAGCAGCCATACTTGACTCAGGGAAATCAGCTGCCGTCTGGGCCAGCGGCCTCCCCGCCTAAAACAAGAGAGTCAAAGAGGCCGGGAAAAGAGGCATGAGAGAACAACCAGGATTCCGTTGTGTCAGCTCTGTGTAGCTCCAGGCCTGCCCATGGGTCAGCTGCAATCCATGGGGCAGGATTACTGGGGGCTGAGTACTTCCCAAAGCCAGTAGGCAAGGAATAGGCTGTCCTGGGAGAGATGCAGAATCCCCTCTTGATATCCTCTCAGATAAAGTCCCTTCTCCAGGAACCCTCCATGAAAGAAATTAGGAGAGTAAGTACCCGGAGGAGGGCTTTCTCTGCGGTGGCGCCCAACCTATGGAATTCACTCCCCAAAGAGGTCCGCCTGGCACCGTCGTTACTGGTTTTTCGGCGCCAGGTAAAGACCTTTTTATTTAAACATCATTTCAATTGTTAAAACATACGATCTGGCCGGGGCAACTTCTTCTTCCTTCTCTTTCTCCTCCTATATTTTTATTTTATACTGATAATGTTAATTTTGTATTTGTAAATCAATGTATTTTTTTGTATTTTTATATTTAATGGTAATTTATTATGTACTATTGTATTTCAATGTATTTTATCATGTTGTAAGCCGCCCCGAGGTTTCGGCAAGGGGCGGCATAGAAATGTTATAATAATAATTAATAATAATAATAATAATAATAATAATGCAAGGCAGGAACCAGGCAGCAGAAATAAACAAGAGCGAAATCAATTAAAACTGAGGAATTAAAAGGGTTCCATTAGCCCAAAGTACCAACTCCCAATTGTTGGGGAGCAGCAGCAGGAGAAACGATTGCTCTCAAGTCCTGTGGATGGGCTTCTCAGAAACATCTGGCCAGGCCCCTGAGAGACAGGAGGTGGCCCTCAACAAGCCTTCCCTCTGATCCAGCAGGGCTCTTCGGCCGCTTAGTGCATCTGCCTCCCGATTCGAGGCCGAACAGGGGCTATCATGTTGTCCAAACACCCATCCATTGCTTGAAATGGCAGAATGTTTGGTAAGCTGTGTTTTTCTTAGCCACAAGTCCTTTTCCCATCTTAACATGCATAGGATTAGTTGTAGGACTTTTTCTCCCATTTAAGCATACATAAGATTGTGCCCTAAAGGACTTTTACACATGTAAGTAAAAGCTTCCCAATACGGCTTTCTCTTCAGTCTTTGCTGACAGAGAGCTCCTTGGCACTGTATTGATTTCATTTGTTCTGAACCTTTCTCCAAAGAAAACAACAGTCAAAGGAGCATGCAATCCTAGGAACCGAACCATGTTGTTTGAAATTAGAATTTGATTGCAATATAATAAGAGCAATACATTAAAAACACAGTAAGAAACATAGAAACAGAGTGAGTCAGAAGGGGCCTCCCGGGCCATCTAGTCTGACCCCCGGCTCCGCTCATGACATGCCCACCATGTGCATGTCCAGCCTATCTTTGAACACCCTCACTGATGGGGCTTCAACCACCTCCCGTGGAAGCCCATTCCATACCCTCGGGGTCCCGACTGTCAGGAAGTAGCGCCTGGCATCCAAATTGAACCTTGGATCCCTGAACTTGGCTTGGAGTGCGTCCCACCTTCCTCTGCAGGTCTTACCCACCTCTGTGTGACACTCCCCCCCATGTACTTATATGTTGCCAACAGGTCCCCTCTGAGTCTCCTCTTCTCAAGGCTGAAGAGACCCAGTTCCCTCAGTCTCGCCTCATATGGCTTCCCCTGCAAACCGGCCACCAACCTTGTGACCCTTCACTGCACTGACTCCAACCTGGCTCTATCCTTCCTGTAATGTGGAGCCCAGAACTGAGCGCAATACTCTGGTTGCGGGCACACCAGAGTCGTATGGAGTGGTAGTAATACCTCTCTCGATCTACAAGAGAGAGAGGAAGAGTAGAATAAAAACTTCCAGGCCAAAGGCCCACCCGAATGAAAATGTGTTAGCCTGTCAGCAAAAGGACAAAAGAGAAACCTCCCTTCGTGAGAAACTTCACAGCCTGGGAGTGGCCCGCGAGAAGAACCTTTCTCGGGTCACCACCAAAAGCATCTGGGATGGTGCTGGTGGCGGTGGCACCAAAGCTGGGTCAAACCCAGTGGTCTTAAAACCCAGACAGGCATTTAGGGGAAATGGCAGTCTCTCTGGCTGCACAACCCCAAGTCATACAGCGCTTGATAGGTCATGACCAGCATCTTGAATTGTGCTCAAGAAATAGATCCAAAGCCAGCAAAGTGGTTCTAACTGGATGTTACTGGACCATTCAGGAGCACAGCCTGGAACAACTGTGGCCAAGCACCCTCACCTCTTCCCCTCGCTGATTCTCCACAAAATCCTCCACCAGGCCCACTGCCTCGTCGCAGCTTGCCGGCCCCGATTCCTTGACGTAGTCCTGCATTTCCTGGGGCAGGATGGCCAGGAACTGCTCCAGGATCACCAGCTCCAGCATCTGCAGCTTGGTGTGCCTTCCCGGCTTCAGCCACTGGTGGCAGAGCTCCCAGAGCTGGCTGCAAACCTCGCGGGGACCCTTGTGCTCCTGGTAGCGGAACTGCCGGAAACGCTGGCGCTGTAGGTCCGAGTTAACAATGGGCTCCTCGGAGGCATTTGGCCTTGTTCTTTCCCGGCAGGCTCTCCAAGGCCTGGCCGGGAGCGAGAGGGGGCCTTTTCCATCTGGGGGATTCGTTGGACCTTGTTCCCCCATGGATGACGACTGAAGATCCAGATCTGCAAGGGCTGGAAGGGAAAGAGACAAATTGCGAGAATCAAAATTGGGAGAATCGTTTCTCTATCCAGAAGCAGAAATGTCATATTATCTCTTTGATTATTAAACTGGCTTTTAATAAGGTTGTGTTTTTAATGTTAATAAGTATTCGTATCCTGTTCCTCAGCCAAAAAAGGGCCCCACAAAAAAGGGTCTCACATATAATCACTAAAACACGACAGTCCCTCCGCAAGCATGCAGTCTAGAAGAGCACAACATGCAAGGAAAAAGGAGCACGGAGGGAAGCGAAAGAGAAAACACACATTTCAGCGCCACTTTCTCATGCTCTCTTTATCCTATGATATATCAAGTGTGGGAGTCTGATGGAGCAAGTAGTAACAGCAAAAGGTCATCTTGGTTATAGATGCTTCTAGGTTTTTCTTATGCTGGATCATGGAGAAAGCTAGGGAGTTCCAGAAAAACATCTACTTCTGCTTCTTTGACTATGCTCAGGCCTTTGATTGTGTGGATCACAACCAATTGTGGCGAGTTCTTAAAGAGATGGGAGTACCAGACCATCTTATTTGTCTCTTGAGAAACCTATATGTGGGTCAAGAAGCAACAGTGACAACTGGACACGAAACCACTGATTGGTTCAAAATTGAGAAAGGAGTTCAGCAAGGCAGTATACTGTCGCCCAGCCTATTTAACTTATATGCAGAGCACATCATGAGAAAGGCAGAGCTAGATGAATCACCAGTTGGAAATAAGATTGCTGGGAGAAGTATCAACAACCTCAGATATGCAGATGATACCACTCTCATGGCAGAAAGTGAAGAGGAACTAAAGAGCCTCTTGATGCGGATGAAGGAGGAGAGTGCAAAAGTTGGCTTGAAACTCAACATTAAGAAAACTAAGATCATGGCATCTGGTCCTCTCACTTCCTGGCAAATAGATGGGGAAGAAATGGAGGTAGTGACAGATTAATTTTCCTGGGCTCCAAGATCACCGCAGACGGGGACCGCAGCCAAGAAATTAAAAGACGCTTGCTCCTGGGGAGGAAAGCTATGGCAAATCTAGACAGCATATTAAAAAGCAGAGGCATCACCCTGCCAACTAAAGTGCGTATAGTCAAGGCTATGGTTTTCCCAGTTGCAATGTATGGCTGTGAAAGGTGGACCATAAGGAGGGCTGAGCGCAAAAGGATTGAGGCCTTTGAATTGTGCTGCTGGAGGATCCGCAAGGCGATTAAACCAGTCAGTCCTAGAGGAGATCAACTCTGACTGCTCTTTAGAAGGCCAGACACTGAAGATGAAACTGAAATACTTTGGCCACCTAAAGAGAAGGAAGGATTCCCTGGAGAAGAGCCTAATGCTGGGAACAATTGAGGGCAAAAGAAGAAGGGGGCGGCAGAGGATGAAGTGGCTGGATGGAGTCACTGAAGCAGTCGGTGTGAGCTTGAGTGGAGTCCGGAGGAAGGTGGAGGACAGGGAGGCCTGGAGGAATGTTGTCCATGGGGTTGCGATGAGTCGGACATGACTTTGCGATTAACAACAACAAGGTTTTTCTTAACAGTGCAAAACTGTGATAGCCTTTGGGCTAAATAATAAATAATCCCTTTACAAGAGAGAATTCCAGGAATGACCTGGCGAAGTTAACCACCTGGACTGGCCTGGAGAGAGTAGGAATGCTCCAGCCCAACAACATCATTTCCAGGAGAGGGCAGCTCTGCGCTTTCCTTGGCTTTCAGTGGTCGGCCGCTTGGTGGAGGATCAGCCGGCTTCTGGCGGAGAAGAGGCCGTCTCCTCTTGGCACCCTGCAGGTTTAAATTAAAAAGACAATAAAAATGATGCACAGTGGCCAAACTTGGCACCATCAGTGATGTGGGGCCGATCTTTCCCCCCTGCAGTAAGCGTTCAATTTCTAATAGCATTGGCTCTTACAACTAAAAGGGCAATCTTGTGCATGTCTAGAGAGAAAAGAGGCCTACAATTCCCAGCATGCCCCAACCAACCATGCTTGGAACTGTGGGATCCTTTTCTGTCTAAATATGCAAAGGATTACACCTTAAATTAGCTAATTCTGGATGAGTGAAAGCCCAAAAAAGAAACAGAAACTTTGGGGGAGATGTTTGTCCATGTCCCCCCCCCTTTTAATCAAAGCATGATTTGGAAAAATAAGGGAAATAAGGCAAAATAAGGAAAACTGAACTATCTTGGATTATGAAACATTTTCTTTGAGAATTATGGAGCAAGATGGTCCTCTATAGCTATGCAACCAGACTCCATCTAAATAATTTCTAAAACTTAAGTAACAGGAAGACACACAAAGACTAGAAACGGAAATTTCTAAGTCATGGGGGAGAGAAATGGTTTTTAAGCCTTTCTTTGACTTCTTACACATCATTGTTTCTTCCATCCCTTATTGAAACTATTCACCAATTAGGGACACTACAAGTCATGCTCATTTGCTAAACATATGGCCAGAGTCACCGCATCCGCTGAAGAATCGGCACAGTGAGATATACCTTCTTCAGTCGTTCAGGGATGTTGAACACAGTTGGAATCGCTTCAGGCTTCAAGTATCGCCTCCCGGAGGCCACATTTTCGAGATAGTCTGCCTCTCGGAAATGCTCCGAGCATATCACATGGTGCCGTGTAGGAGTGAAGTTCTTCCGCCGGATGTTCCAAACCCACCTCTTTAGCACTTCTTTTTTCCCGAGAGGAAACCTACAACCATTTAAAAGAGAACTATTAACGGAAGGGATTAATTTTCCATGCACCCCACCAGCTCATGATAAGCAGAAGCATGGAAATGAGAGGCGTGTTCGAGCATCGGATCCCACGCCCCAAAGATGCCCCTCAGCGGTGCCCTCATTCAACTACTGCCCAGATCGGGAGAGGGGCTGGTGCCGCTCTATAAAACTGTGGTGCGGCCACAGCTGGAGTTTTGCGTCCAGTTCTGGGCTCCACATTACAAGAGGGGCATTGCAAGGTTGGAATCAGGTCAGCACAGCATCACAAAGATGGTAGCTGAACTGAGGGGATGACACACGAGATGAGACTGAGGGAGCTGGGTGTTTCAGCCTGGGGAAGAGGAGACTCAGAGGGGATCTTATAGTGACATACAGGGGTATGAAAGGGTATCACACGGTAGAGGGTCATGATCTGTTTTCCCTTGTGGTGGAGGAAAGGATGCAGCCCAATGGGGCAAAGCTCAAGGAGCCAGGTTTCAGGTCGGATGTCAGGAAATAGTTCCTGACGATTAGGACCCCTAGGATATGGAATGGGCTTCCACGGGAGGTGGAGGAGGCCCCATCAGTGAGGGCATTCAAGGAACGGCTGGACACCCACATGTTGGACATTACATGAGTGGAGACGGCAGGTGTCGGGGGGTCAGACTAGATGAGCCAGGAGGCCCCTTCTGACTCGCTACGTTTCTGTTTTGTTAAATGGAGGTGCTGGTGGTCAAATCCAGGACCTTTCACATGCAAACGAACTCCTCCACCACTGAGTTATTTTGTATTTTATGTTTTAATTGCTGTGAACCACCCAAAGCATTTAACCTCTCGGATGGCACAGAAATGTAATGAATAAATAATTTTAAAAATGCTATGGCTTTTCCCGCAAGTTTCTCAGAGCCCAATCCTCGACACATTTAGATGTCATGCTTGTTGGGGAATGCTGGGAGCCGCAGGATTTTCCTATCTAAGCAGGCACAGAACTGTAGCTTTCATGCGTATTTATGAAAACTTAGTCATCCTGCTCTTCCATGGAATTTGCAGTGGTTATTTAGCCGAGGAATGGACCACCTCTCTGCTTCAGCAAAGCGAGAGCACCTGGTGCTCCCCCTGCACGGCTCACCATGCATTCAAATTCTATTCAAACCAAAGGCTTCATGATGTGACTTTACGTCAGACTTTATGCCAACTAACCAATGTACCTGTGAAAGGAGATGTTGTTGCCGAGCGAAAATTTGTTGTTGCAGTTTATCGCACAGCATGATTTCACCATGGTTGTGCCCACGCAGATTCCAGCTAAGATCTGCAAAGGGAATTCACAGAGAGCAGTGAGTCTAGGAATCAAGCTTTCTCTGAAGTATGACCCAGCTGGTTGTGCGAACAGGAAGCAAAGTGCCATGGCCAGTGTTATGGGTCACTGTGGCTGGGCCTAAGCTGAGGGATCACACGAGCCCAGGCAGCCCTTGGAACCTGTTCCCTTACTGTTGTGAACAGACAACAAAGCTTCTAGAGGCACCTGAAACAATAGAAAAAAATCGTTCTGGCTTAAGTCCTTATGGAACCACAAACCGTTATCCTCAGATTGGCAGATTCGCATAGACAAACTGATGGTGGAGTTGCGGGTGAGACGTGAACTCTGTGGTCAGAAGGAATTGAAATGCAAATAGTACAGGCAATGCCAGAATAATTCTGTATGTCTTTAAGTTGGCTGTTTTTGCTGCAGTGGGTGAAAACAGCCACCATTGCCCCAGGGACTGTGTAAATTGGCTTCAATTTCATCCATTTGAATTCTGCTGAAAAAGCATCACATGTCTGACTTCATCTATGTAGTGGTCTTGCGAAATCTTCATCCATATTTTTATTCCTTCTCTTCCTCCATGTGTATGCCATTCAGAATGTGCACATTCACACATGCTAACCAACAGTGGTGTTAGGATCTGGACTTGGATGATGGGGCATGCTGGGAATTGTAGGCCTTTCTTCTGTCTAAACATGCATAGGATTGTGCCTTTAATTATTTCATTGCAGAGAGCTGGTTGTGAAACGTATTTTGTGTGTCCTCAACCCTTTCCCCTATGCTACAATTGCTTAATGACCCTGCTGCGGTGCTTCAGAGCAGGAAGGAAGGGGGCTGAGGCGCCACTAGAATATGTGGCACCTTGGGGCACTGCCCTTTTCGCCTCCTTGGCCTCTGGAACACCTGAAAGGCCGTTCTGAGGTCACACTTGAGACCTCAGAGAAGCCCACAGCTGATTCTTTCTGCTCCAGCTGCAAGAGGGAGGAGGGTCAGAGCGCCGATCACAAGTTCTAAGCGAATTTACAACCTCGTTCTTTAATCTCTGAAAAATCCTTCAGCAATCTAGAAGCTGACCCCCAACTGATTGTGCTACCCTTGTAGCCTTTATGCCACTGCATTTTATGAGTGAGAATTGGCAGAAGAAACATCACTAATCTAAGATATGCAGATATACATAATACTAGCAGAATACAACAGTGACTTGAAAAGACTCGTGATAAAAGTGAAGGAAGAAAGTAAAAAAAGCAGGACTGGAGCTGAATATTAAGAAAACAAACATCATATTCACAGATGGATTACAGAACTTTACTGTTAAGAATGAAGAAACTGAACTTGCGAAACATTTCATGTACCGTGGCTCAGTCATCAATTCAAAGGCAGACTGCAGCCCAGAAACTGAAGAAGACTGGGAAAGGCAGCAATGAAGGAACTAGAAAAGATCAAGTATAAGAGGATGTTTCATTGGAGACCAAGGTCACGATCGTAAGTCATTGTATTCCCAGTCACAATGCATGGATGTGAAAGCTGAACCGTGAAGAAAGCTGACAGGAAGAAAACTGATGTTTGAAACATGCTGCTGGAGGAGAGCTTTGTGAATACCCTACACTGACAGAAAGATGAACAAGTGGGTCATAGATCAAATCAGGACAAAACTTTCCCTAGAAGCAAAAATGGCAAAACTGGGGCTGTCATACTTTGGACACATCATGAGAAGGCCAGACTCCTTGGAGAAGACAATCATGCTAGGGAAAGACGAAGGCAGGAGATTTATTTATTAAAAGCTTTTCTATCCTGTCCACCACTATAGCGTCTCAGGACGGCTTACAACAAAAACGAGCAGAATAAAACAAAACACCACAGCATCCGACAACTGAAATACTAAACCCCCAGTTAAAATCCATTAAACATTAAAATGACAGGAAAATAAAAAGGGGTTTGCCTGATGCTGAAAAGAATATGATGTCTGGTGAACTCAGATAAGCCCTCGGCTGATTTTTTTCTGCTTCAGCTGCAGGAGTGAGGAGGGTGTGAGTGATGAAGATGAAAAGGAAGACCAAATATGTGATGAAAATCCATTAAGAAAGCCACAGTGCTGAACTTGGGAGAATGGAGCTGTCATGGACAGGACATTTTGGAGAGCTCTCATTCATAGAGTTGCCATAAGAGGGAGGCGACTCGATGGCACATGACAAATGTTATGTTCATCAATTTCACAGCTTTGTGGATAGCAGTATAAACAACTGCATAACAAATACATAACTATTAATCAACTAAACGGATCAACTAAATCAACTAAAAGATTTAGATGGTATTGCAGCAGCCCCATTCCTTGATCAACAGATGCCTCTGTGAGTACAAGAAGAACCTTGCCAGATTAGGCCAAGGATCCATCTAGGCTAGCTTTCTGTTCAAAGTCCAATCACCGTTCACACAAAGTCCAATCATTCAGGACACCCAGAAGCAGGAACTAAGCACCACAGTACCTTCCTGCCCATGTTCCCCAGCAACGGATGAACATAGGAATTCTGCCTCTGATACTGGGGGTAATATATAGCCATGAGGACTAGCAGCTGTTCCTTATATAAGATTCTAAAAAGAGCTCCATCTAGACCAGCATTCTATTCACACAGTGGCCAACCAGCTTACTCAGGACGAACCCACAAGCCCGACAAGAGTAACTGGTGTACACGGGCATTCAACCTCTGATCCGGGTGGAAGCTTAAGGCCATGAGGACTAGCAGCCATCTATAGCCTTCTCCTCCAGTAACCTGTCATCACCTGCACACTCGCTTGCTGGACCGTTCCTCGCCTCACCCCCGGGACTGCGCGGCCCTTGACTTCGGTCCCCAGAGGTTCGGCCGCAGCTGCACAATTAAGGCGACGCCTCCCCAGCCCGCCGCAACCTGGAGTCGCCCCGCTGCTTAACGACAAGAGAGGGCAGCATGCGACCCGCGGGCTCCTTGGCGGGACCGCTCCAGCTTGCTCCCGAAACCATCACAAAGCTTTCCCAGCCCTCCTCCAGCCCTGCTCCCCCTTGTGCACCTTTCGCCGGCTGCGCGCCCAGCCCAGGCAACTTCCCCCTTCGGCCCAGAAGAACGAGACCGGAAGGTGCGCTCTCGCTGCTTTCCCCCAGCAAGCTTCCTCCCCTGCATCCTCCCTCTCTAGGCGACGGGAGCTCGTTGGTGCTCTTAACCCTTTGCGGAACCAAGCTGGGCTCTTGGCAGACTCGCGCAGCGCGAAGGCGCCCCGCTCCCCACACACAGAGGATTCAAACGCACGGATTCGGGTGACTGTTAAAAATACATAACACATAAATAAGCACGCAAATACATAAATAAGCACGTAAATAAGATAACACTTGTAAAATAAATTGTAATCACGAAATAAAATAAAATCATAAATGACCAAAATCCCGAATGGGACTTGCCTTTATTGTTATTTTGAAGGCACGGATACATTATTTTACGCCGCATTTGCAACCCGCCTTTCTTCCCCTTTCAAGAACATGTCACGAAATCCTTGCAAGTTAAAACGTGGCGGGGTGGTGGGGAAGAATAGAAAGATGCGCACTGGCCGGGTTCAGACAGCACGGAAACACCGCGCAAGAGGCAGGTGGCTCCTTTGTCCTCCGTGGGGCACCTTATCCACGGAGGCTTTTATTCTGGGTTTCAGAGGCACTATTCACGGTGCTGGACTCTAAAAGGATTTACCAGGATGGATGCTCCTACAAAGTCCAAAACAAAAGCTGCCATGATCTGGCCAGGGCAACTTCTTCTTCCTTCTCTTTTCTCCTCCTATATTATTTATTTACTTATTTTATACTGATAATTTTAATTTTATATTATTATGTTTGTAACTCAGTGTATTTTTTGTATTTTTGTATTTAATGGTAATTTATTATGTTCTATTGTATTTCAATGTATTTTATTGTGCTGTAAGCCGCCCCAAGGCTTCGGCAAGGGGCGGCATAGAAATGTTATAATAATAATAAAATAATAATAATAATAATGAGGAAGCAGCCTCCTCCATACCAGCCCCCCTCGACTCAGAGGCTGAACATGCGTGATTGGGTTGTCCAAACATGCAGTCACAGTTTGACATGGTAGAAAGTTTGGCAACATAAGCTGGCAACAGTGATCCGCATCCTGATTATCCCTCCTTTGGATGATTGTAAAGCGCTTCACATGGGGCTGCCCTTAAAAATGATCTGCAAACTTCAGTGGGTCCAAAACAGAGCTGCTCGCCTCCTAACTAGAACACCAAGGCGTAAACCCCAGGCTTATACCATCTGCACTGGCTGCCAATTGAGGCCCAGGCCTGCTTTAAGGTGCTTAGTCTGACAAATTTATTTATTTATTTATTTAGATTTTTTTTGTATGCCGTCCCATTGCTTACAGCCTCGCCCGGCTCACATAAATAAACGTAATACAAAATACAAATAAAATCCAGAAACACCCTGGCTGCACAATTAAAACCTATAGATATTAAACGCTATTAAAATATTTTTTAAATAAAAAGGTCTTAGCCTGGCGCCGAAAAGCAAATAACGACGGTGCCAGGCGGACCTCTCTGGGGAGCGCATTCCATAACTTAGGCGCCACCGCAGAGAAGGCCCTCCTCCGAGTACCTACCCTCCTAATTTCTTTCACAGAGGGCTCCCAGAGAAGGGCCTCTGCTGCGGATCTCAGGGGGCGGGAGGGCAAATATGGAAGAAGGCGTTCCTTCAGGTATGCAGGTCCCAAGCTGTTAAGGGCTTTGTAGGTGATAACCAAATAAAGCCCCAAATGGTTTAGGGCCATCCAGGGGTCGCGATGGGTCGGACACGGCTTTGCGACTAACAACAATCTGATGGAACTTCTCTTCTCATATGCACTTGCCCAGACTTTAGGATCATCATCAGAGGTCCTTTTCTGAGAGCCCCCACTAAGGGATATGAGGAAGGTGCCTATCAGGGAAGGGCCTTTTCAGCTGTGGCACCCGACTTGTGGAGCCAGTTTCCTAGAGAGGTGTGCCTGGTGCTGACACTCAGCACCTTCTGGGACCAGGCTAAAACCTTTCTATTTTCTCAGTATTGTAATGGTTGCCATTTTATTATTTACTGTGTTTTATACATTCTGTGGCACTGTGGATGAATTGATTATTTAATTTTATTTATTGCATTGTTATTAGTTTTATGTTCTCTATTGGTTATATTTTTATTATTATTGTAATTTAGCTCATTTTTATTGCAGTTATGATATCTGGTTTTAAATATTGTAAACTATCCAGAGAACTGATATCCAGGGAATGGTATGAAAATGTTTTAAACAAAATAAACAAGTGTCACTGGAGTGGTTTTCTTGGGAGCAAATTCTATGCACAGTAATACAGAAAAAAGTCCTACAACTCTGAGACTTATTTGCAGTCTTAATATGCATAGGATTAGCTGTGGGACATTTTTTTCTTTCTAAGTATGCATAAGATTGTTCCCCTAATGGCTTTTTCACTTCTGGAGCAAGATTCCCCATTCTCTTACCCTCCAGAGATGTTTGGGACTTCCAACTCCCATCATCCCCAGCCAGTATGACCAATAGTTTGGAATGTTGGGAGTTGTAATCCAAATCAGGAGCCCCTTCCAAAGGAAGTGAGGGGGGTGGCTTCCAGCAAAAGGGCCTTTTCAGTTGTGGCAGCCAGTTTTTTTTCCTAGCCATCTCAACTAAAAACAACTAACCCTAACCTTATACTTCTCCTTATGATATTCCTTTTTAAAAAATAAGGGTGGCCTTAGAAAGCAGGGTCCTTTCAACACAGAAATTTTACACTATATACAGTTCTGTGTTGTTTTGTCTTGCCCTGGGAACTGTCCCTGTGGATCACTGACCAGTCTTTTAGAACAGTAAGAAAAGTAATCATTTCTAGGTTCCACATTTATACTGATTACACAATACAAGTTAGCAAACTCTCCTGGAAATGAAGTAAATTGTTCTCAGAATCCAGCACAAATCATTAAAATATGAAGTAGCTCTACTTGAGAATGATCCATGGGAAATGTCTGCTCTTCATTTTTAATCCTAGAACACCAGGGTCCACCTGCAGCTACATTTATATTTAAGAATATAAATGCAGGCCACATGCCAATCTGCATAAGCATCATCCTAGAATTACAGAGGGACTCATGAGATCATCTAGTCCAACTCCCCTTAAGAGGAGAAACCCAGAGCTCAAGCCCAACCTCTCCTCCAACTCTCTTCCAGAGACAGACTGCCCAAAAATCCTGGAGGGAATATGTTCCAACCTCAAACTTATCAGGCAAGAGGGCCAGCCTGACAGACGAGGCTGGAAATGCAAAGCAAAGCATCTTCCTTCCTGAAGCAAATGCTGTTTTTTCCGTCCTAAAAGCTGCACGGAGGTTATACTCTTCCCTAACCTGGCGTCCTCCAGACTACAACTCCCTGCCACATGTGGACGATGGGCGTTGTAGTCCAACGCCTCCAGAAGGCGCCAGGGAAAGCTGAGGCACCTCCTTTCTTTCTTTGGTAGTTGGAAGCCCATGGCGCCCCGCAGAGCTTACTTCGGAGTAAAGGGGCTCGGGGATCAGAGGGAAGGTCCCAGGTGTGGGGGGCAGGGGCGAAGAAGAGACCCCCGAATATTTCCCCCGGCAGTGCAGAAAAGGCTTCCGCGACATCTCAAGCGGCCCAGCCCTCCGCCTGTTGCGCGCACTCCGAGCCGCTCGCCCGGCCGGGATTCACGGGTTCTTCTCCCCGCGCTCCCACCCCGCAGACCCGGCAGCCATCCCACCATAGAGATAGAAAACAAGGAGGCCTTGCAGCGCAGCCCTTGCTTCCGGCTTCCATGCAGAGGCTTCGACAGGTGAGGCAAAAAGAGAGTGCGAGTAGGTGGAGGGGCACGGTGCGGCCTTTTGCCGTCCCCCAGTCACCAGAGCAAAGGTGGCGACCCCGTGGCCTTCCTGGTGCTGTGGGGCTACAACTCCACCACGGCTGACCGTAGACCGTGCTGGCTGGGGTCGATGGGCACTGAAGTCCGGCAAGAGGCGCCACGGATTCTCCCCTCCTGCTCTGATGGGCGTGTTTCTTTGCATAGGTTCCTCATACCTCTTGCACTTCCAATTAATTCATCCTCCTTTTTTCCTCGGTCTCCCACAACCTGGTGTCTTCCATGCCTTGGACCCCTGCTTCCAGTACTCTAGAGCGCTGGGGCTGATGGGAGTTAGAATCCACTGTTCTCTGACTGCTTTGCCGTGGAGTTCCCTATTCCCTTGGTACATCCAATACCTTCAACTGGACGCTTATTCGGGTAATAGGGCTTCGTGGAGTAACGAAGCAAGATGGTCCCCAGCCCCGAGGAGCTTACAATGCTGCAACTGTACTATGAAAGCAAGGGCGACACGCATCTCCTATTCTGTGTCCCGACTGACCTCGCCCTAGCTCGGCCTTAAATCGACGTTCCACAACCTGGTGCCCTCTGCAGGCGTAAGACTACAACTCAGCATGAACTCATAGGAGTTGGTAATGGGAGTTATAGTTCGGGAGGCACCAGGTTGGGCAACGCTGCCTTGCGGCCTATGCCAGCTGTCCACGTTAACTAAGAAAATGCCACTACGTTTGAATGCGGTTTACTCCTAGGTAAACCTACGCAGAGTCTGGCTAAAGGCTCATTTCTCAGATCATCCCCTCTGCCCCAGCTGCTGGCGCCCGGAAAAGAGAAAAGTGTAGAGTAAGCAAACAAACTGAATGCAATCTAGAGCTATACAGGAAAAAGAAATGCGACTTGATTAATGCAAGCGAGCTACACTGCGCGCTCACCCCTTCCTCCCTTTTTAGATCCTCCTTTATTTAGGGTGGTGGTGGTGTGGTGGTGGTGGTAGAGTGGACTAAACCACTTCGAAATACCGGGGGGACCTTTTCTCAAGTATTCCATTTCTTTTCCCTTTTAAAGGAAGCATCCTGCAGATAGAAAAAATAGTACAGCAAGGATTATGCTGAGCTCGATTTTTGTTTCCCTGCTGTGCGGGCTTTTTTCTATACGTAACGAGCTCTGTTGTTTTGCATAACAGCACCCCCCTCAAAATGGTTTGTCCTGCCTGCCTATCAGGCAGGACAGACCATTGTACCGCCTTATTCGGGGGGTGGGGAAGACATAGAGATAGGCAGATTAGATAGAGAGGGAGAGGTTGAGAAGAGCGAGGCCTAATTCAGATTTAGCCTGGATGTTTTTTTGATACGTCGGAAACCAACAGGAGCATCGAATACAGAGACGTTTCTTGAGGGTAGGCGTTGTAAAAAAAAAAAAAATGGGAAAAGCGTGCTTATCGTGTGAATGTGGCTTCTTGCGGATCGTCCATCTGCAAAAAAGAAGCCGGGGAGGAGAAGGGCGAAAAGGGGAAAGGAAAGAGAAACGGGGCTTGGGGTGGGTTTGCTTGCAAAGAAGCCGCTGCGCGGAGCGCCGAGGGGTCGCGAGTTTCCCGGGTCCAGACACGAGCTGGCGCGCGCGCGTGTGTATGCGTGTGTTTGTGGGCGAGGGGGAAACACGCGTTCCAAACGTAGACTTATAAAAAAGGCTAGACTGAGAGCTCCCATTGTCTGCAGTGGACACTTCGCAGTCGCTTTGGGGAGCCATTTTGTTCCCTCCTTCGCTAGCGCGGAAGTCGGAGGTTGAGAAAAGCGGCGGGGAAACGCAGGAAAATTAAGGATTTTCAGCGAGGTGTGGTTGGGTGGAAGCAAAAGAGAAAAAAGGGGGCAGAAGAAGGAACAAAACCAAGTGTTCTGCATGTTCCTAACTCTGGTTCTATTCCCTATGGGATGTGCTCCTGATTTATGGATTTTTAAAAGAATGCCTAGATCATGAAAAAGCAAATTCCGAATTTTTTTGCTGTCTGCCAGCCATGCAGACTGTGGCTGAAAACGGATGGTTTATGAAAGCCCTGCGATGTAATATAATTTTAATTTATTTAGGCTGCAATCCACAGCACGCTTATCTACAAGTAAGTGACATTGAACATTGTAGGACTTACTTTTGAGTAAATACGCATAGGATTGCGTTGTTAATGCATATCTATACCGCTTGTCGTATAGAAAAAATATTCCCAAAAGTGCAATCGTACGCACATTCCTTTGGAGTAAGCGCCACTGAAATTAACGGATGTATTTCTGAGTAGACGGGCGTAGGATTCGTGATACAGGCTGGAAGTGGGGCGGAGATTAACTGCGTTACACCAACCCTGCAATGCAGGCTGGTGCTGTTACACTTTTTTTCAAGGCGTGGTGGTGGAGTCAAACTGCAGCTGAGAAAATGGCACACAACAACCCTGCAGTATAGCTCACAAGTGAAATGACTGGCGGGGCTGAAGCTCGGAAAGTGATTTATGCTAGCTGTGCAGTGGAATCCACTGTTGTCTCCCTCTTACTGCTGCGGAGTGTGTGTTAACTGTCAATGTCCACCCTCCTCTTTTATATTTATATTTATATAAATATATAATAATATATTATATATATATATATATATATATGCGCGCTATTTAAAGGAAAAGCTTATCTCAGAAGCTGGTAGCTCTATAGTTGATCACTCGAGTAGCTTTGCTTAAGGGGACAGTTCACCCTTTTCTTGTTGGGGTGGGGGGTATTTTTGCAATCAAAATCCCAACACACGCTTACTTTCCTACCCTCAGGAGTCCTCTATTTCTTGGGAGGAGGAGGAGGGTTTTAATTAATTAATAAAATAAAATAAAACAAAACTGGGGAAAGAGTAATCACCGCCTTCCTCAGCAGTATTTCTGCCCTTTACTTATGCTGTGTACACTGCATTTCCCCCTCACACTTTAAACAGGAGTGAGTTTTGACAATGCTTTGGTTTTTTACGGATCTCCCCACCCCCAAAGGGTCACATTCCGCTGCTGGATGCCTTGGATGTCTTTGCAGCAGTCCCTTCTCGACTAAATACCCCGTGGGTTCCAGCCAAGGCCAGTCCATTCACATGGCCCTGACCCCAACTTATCCGGTGTTCAAATGGTGCAAGGTCCATGGGCTTTTACCCCAGCCAAACCTAATTCAGGAATCCCAAGCCACATTGGAAGCGTGCATCAGTCTAGCCTTTTGCATCTATGGCTCCAGTCGTTTCTGTTTTACCCGGCACGGACCCCCTTCACACACGGTTTGCCTTTGTGCCCCCGGGGAATTGCCTGCTCTGGTCTTTCTCCTGGGCAGAAGTCAGTCCGCTGAATTTAAAAAACAGCAGGACAGCCGCCTGGAGTCACCATGCCATGAGGTTGCCCCTTTCTTTACTAGACCTCCATTGCATTCACACATGCCAGCCTCCCCCAACCTGGTGCCCTCCCTCCAAATGTGTTGGACTACAACTCCCATCACTCCCAGCAGATGAGAGTTGGAGTTCGACACAACTCTGAAGGGACCAAGTTGGGAGAGGCAAACATACCGTTAGATTCCTAACTATTGAGAGAGCCAGTGTGGAGTGGTGATTCAAAGGCTGGACTGGGGACCCGGGAGATCTTGCTCTTGACCTGATCTTGAGCTTGGCCTAGCCTACCTCACAGGGTTGTTGTGAAGATCAAATGGGGTTATGTGAACTGCCTTGGGTTCCTCACAAGAGGAAGAAAGGTGGGCTATAACTGCAGTATAGTAATACTATTACTACTACTACTAATAATAGTACTTAGCTCGGATCCATCGGATTGTATTACCAAACAGCAGACAGCATGATATATGAGTTTAGTTTATCCTGGCATTTCTCATCTAGTCCAAGATAACTTCTCTCCCTGGTTTTTAGCTGGAGAGAAGCTTTTACAAGGATGCCCCCTGGGGCTGTCCCTCAGGTCATTCTGTCTCCTGCAAAGGAAGTCAAGCCCTGGTTGTACTGTCTATGGTGTCTGTCACCACCTGGTAAACTGGCTAGGTTGGCCGGATGCAGAAGGGCAGGCTGGGCTGAGCAGAGCGGGTTCACTAAGGCTGCCTAGGGAGTAGGTGGAAGAGAGGGGCGAGCTGAACCAGGAAGCTCAGTCTTTGAGACAGGAGGCTGAGACTTGTGAGTCACAGCTGATCTCAGCTGGCACAGATGTGGTTTTCTGTGCACAGGTTTGCAACAGCCTGAATTCAGGGCCTGTTGGCTCCAATCCTGCATCTGTAAAACAGGGATGAGAATAACAACCTACCTCGCAAGGTTATTGTGAGGTTTGCCGTGACCACGGAGCAATTTCCCACTGGATGGGACTCCCAAGCCTGCTGCTGGCTGGGGAATGCTGGGTATTGTATCATTGACTTATACAGTATAATTATATCCCACCTTTTTTCTGCAAGGAACTCAAGGAAGCTTGTATAATTCTCCTCTTCCTCTCTGTGTTATCCTTACAACAACCCTGTGAGGTAGGCGAGACTGAGAATCAGTGGCTGGCCCAAAGTTACCTAGTGAGCTTCACAGTTGCAAGGGGAAGAGTAGACCCTGATCTCACATGGCACACAGTCCAGTATTCATATCCCTGTACCCTACTGGATCTTTTGAACTTCCTTCTGTTTAGGGTGTGATCCCAGGCATGCTTAATGGTGCAGCCAGCTCAGGCTGGAAGAGCAATGCAAACTCTTTTGTCCTTTGAAAAATTTCCCTCTGCGCTCCTCTGGTGGAGTTAAACTTGAGGGCTTCAGAAAGGAACGAAGCATCCCGTCCGCTTCTCCTCCGTCCTTTGCTTCCCAAATGGTGCAACCCTTTTTCTTTGCTTCGGAAGCCAGGATACCAGTCCCAGAAGTGAAGCCGTTGGGGAGCTTTCTATGGCGGCTAGGAGGGGCGGATGTGAACAGTCAAACCAAGATTCGCCCCTTGGGTCCGCAGCTTGCAGGTGACAATTTGCAGTATCCTGTGAGCCCAAGACAATGTCTAGAAGTCCTAGGATTACACCCTGTGCAATATAAAAGTATTGCAAATAGTATAATGTAACCGGCATAAATATATATATATATATATATATATATATATCCCCCCAGTTGTGCACAGGGTGGAATGATGCCTTGTATGTTTAAAGCCTCCTTTGTTTTCTTTTCCAGGGCCAAGTCACAAGGCATCGCTTCTTTCCTTTGTCTAGAGGGATGAGTCTACCAAGCCCATGTTCCCAAGATGATGTCTAAGAAGCAACGATGTGAACCGCCAGAGTCCTAGAGGGGCATGTGCCGAGCTCTATCTCAGTGGGACATTCCCATCTGAAAACACCACCCGATCCGATGTGCAGTGATCTTTGGCCAGGAACCAGTGTGTGCTGGGCAGAATAAGAGTTTCCATTTTTTAGGACGCGTGCTGCTTTTCTACCTGTGTCCTCTCAGGAGCAGGGGCTGAATGTAAGAGGCGTGCATAGAGCAAGAAGTGCACATTGGTCCTCCGCAGAAGGAATCTACATCTGAACATGGCAAGCTGTTGCTCGGTAACCAACTGCAAAAACCGCCGTTGGCATGGTACTCGTGTCACCTTTCACAGGTAGGCTGATTCGAGGGCTCTGAGGCCGCTTTCTAGGAGTGGAAGATGCTGAAGGAAAGCGGGCGAGGCCAGAAGCAAAATGGACCCAAACATTAAATTCGGGACTCTACAACATTTAAATTCAAGAACTGACTGCCCTGTTTGTAGCTTAAAGCTCTCACTGCCAGGAGCAAAACTTTGGGAGAGTCACTTCGGCCTTTTCAAGTGGGGGAAAAACTTTTGCAAAATTGGGGATTAGTTAAAGGACCTTTGGTTGGGAGAGAGGGGCAGGCCCAGAGAAAGTGGGCATGGCCCAGTTTGGCACTCCCCACTCCTTTTTAACAAGTGCAGCTTGGACTGAGGGAACATTCCCACCTCTTCCTGTGCACCTTGTGAGGCCAGCTCCCCATTTCCCTTTTTCCAGTTGGTGCTATTAGCTCCCCGTACCTCCTTGAAAGATGTGGGCGGGCTCAATGTCCAGATTGTGCATGTGGTTTGTGGCCATGTAGCCGTGCTTTTTTTATTTCTTTTATTTCTTTTTCGATTTATATCCTGCCTTTTTCGTACAAAGGGCTCAAGGCAGCTTACATCATTCTCCTCCTCCATCTTATCCCCACAACAACAACCCTGTGAGGTAGGTTGGGCTGAGAGTCTGTGATGGGCCCAAAGTCACCCAGTTGGCTCCATGGCTGAGCCGGGACTCGAACCCGGATCGCCTGAGCCCCAGTCCCATGCTCTTAACCACTGCACCACACTGGCTCTCTTTCAATGTACATGTGTTTATATGCCTGTATTTCTAAGCTGTTTTGCTTCCCTACTGATAGGTATCCAACAGCCTGCAGGTGTTGTTAAAGAGAATAAGAAGTGGGGTTGCAGTGAGAAAATGTTGCAGCGCAAAGTGCTATTCTACGCCTTTCCTCTTCCCTGCATGGGTTTCTTTCTCCCCTTCAACACCACATCAGCCGGTTGTATTCACTGAGCATGCTCTGTCCTGGCAGATTTTCTCCCTGCCCCGTTCTTCCATATTTTGTGCCCAGTCCTACTTTTGCTAAAATTCTGGATTTCTCCATTGATATCTGTAGGCAGCTTTCTTTATTATTATTATTTTTATTATTATTATTAGAACATTTCTATGCCGCCCCTTGCCGAAGCCTCGGGGCAGCTTACAACACAATAAAATACAATACAATATAAAAATAACAATATAAAATTAAAATTAATAATATAAAATAAATAATCTAAACGATATAAAAGAAGTTATAAAAGAAAAGTTAGAAAAGAAAAGAAAAAAAAAGGAAAGAAGTCGCCCAGAGCCATTTTAAAGTAGCTTCTCAGAACCTGCAAATGACCTATCTAGACCATAAGGTTATTTCTTCCCCTTTAAAAAATCCACATGTGTTTTCTCCCTTCCTTGGCGGTCACTTCATTCCATGCTCTCTCGCACCCAGTTGCTGCTTTCTCCACAAAGCTTCCTCCCCTACCTGGTCAATTCATGCCCTAGTGGGGCTGTTTTGGATGATACTTATTTAAACGTCATTTTAATTGTCGTTTTAAACGTCATTTTAATACTTATTTAAACGTCATTTTAATTGTTAATATTATTTGCTTATTTTATCTGGCCAGGGCGACTTATTTTATATTGTTAATTTGTTGTATATCTGAATGTTTTATATTTTAATTTTATGTTGTGAGCCGCCCCGAGGCTTCGGCGAATGGGGCGGCATAGAAATGTTTTAAATAAATACATACATACATACATACTGCTCTTAGCCCTCCCCCTTTTTAGCAACTTCAGAACTTAAAGTTTTCCCACATCTGGTGAGATAGCTTTCTTGGCTATCTCACTGAGCATGGGAAGTCTTGGATTGGAAACAGGAAATGACGGTGCATTAGTTCAATGTGACCATATTTGGTACAGCGTAGACAGTACCAATAGCTCAAAAAAGGCACTGCGGAGTTGGAAAAGGGCAAAGATAAGCAATCCAGGCAATGCGACACCTTTCCCATGACAATAAGTCTAAAGCAAATGTGCTTCTTTCAGAGCTCAGAGTGAATTACATTTTAGCAAATCTCGCAGGGATTGCATTCCGGTGGAGTAAAAGATCAAAAAAACCCGCCTGTGTTTCTCAGCAACATAGTTACCCTACCTCAGATACTGGATGCAGCATATATCCATGAGAACTAGCAGCTTTTCCAATGTTGACAGCATGAGAAAAGCCGTGCTCCTGACCTGACCAAAGGCTTACCTAGGCTGTCAGTGAGAGTCCGTGCAAAACTCATTAATCACCAGAGTGCAACAGCACTGTCCTTCCCACATTCCCCAGCAGCTAGAGCACATAGGCATGCTGGCCCCGATCCTGAGGGTGGCATAGAGCCTTATTTATTTATTTTATTAAAACATTTTTATGCCGCCCCATTCGCCGAAGCCTCGGGGCGGCTTACAACAATAAGTTAAAAAATAATTCTAATATTAAATTAAAAAAATATAAACATTAAATTAAAAATACAAAAATACCTATATAAAATAAGCCGCCCTGGCCAGATAAAATCCAATAATATTAACAGTTAAAATGCCGCTTAAATAAAAAGGTCTTCGCCTGGCACTGAAAAACAACGATGGCGCCAGGCGGACCTCTCTGGGGAGCGCATTCCATAGATTGGGCGCCACCGCAGAGAAAGCCCTCCTCCGAGTACCTACCCTCCTAATTTCTTTCATGGAGGGTTCCCGGAGAAGGGCCTCTCCCGCCGATCTCAAGGGGTGGGCGGGCGGGCATATATGGATGTAAGCGCTCCTTCAGGTAACCAGGTCCCAAGCCGTTTAGGGCTTTATAGGTCATCACCAACACCTTGAATTGGGCCCAGACTTCAATGGGAAGCCAGTGAAGCTGACGGAGGACTGGAGTCATGTGAACATAACGTCCAGTCCCCGTCAGCAGCCTGGCAGCTCTATTTTAAATCAATTGAAGTATCCGGACCGTCTTCAAGGGTAGCCCCACGTAGAGCACGTTACAGAAGTCAAGACGGGAAGTCACCAGCGCATGTGTCACTGTCGCGGGGCAGTCGTACTCCAGGTAGGGGCGCAGCTGATGGATCAGCCGAAGTAGCCATTGAGAGCCTTCTCCTCCATGAACGTGTTCGATCCTCTTTTAAACCCATCAAAACTGGGAGCTGTCATTACACATTGTGCAACCAAATTTCATAATTCAACTTCGCTGGGTGGAATATATCGGCAGCAGATTCCAAATGGGAAAAATAAAGTAGCTCCTCACCCAGCACATAGGTATTGTGTTATTATTATATTGTTATTATTTATTTCATTTATACCACCCCATAGATGAAGCTTTCTGAGCTGGTTCCTAATGCAAGTAATCTGCAGACACCAGTTTCTGGCATTCTTCAATAGATTAAAAAAGGGATTTAGATAAAATCATGAAGGAGAAGGGAAGGCATATTCACTGTTGGAAGCCGTGATATCAAAACAGAAACTCTCAAGATACTAATATATATTAATACTGATATCAATATTGTTTGTCCAAGTGCCAGTTCTAATGTAGGTGAAATGGTACCCCTGACAAGAGGAAAACATTGGGGGAATCCTGAAGTTTAGAAAATTCTTCCTGGAGACACATAATTGGCCACTCATGGAGGGCAAGGTGCTGAAATTGCATCCAATTTGTCTATATCAAGAAGGAAACATTTTTGTAACTGATTGTACATTATCCTGTTTTGTCCTTTTTCTTGGAACAAAATTGCTGCAGGTTTCCTCTTACAAAGGAAGAACAGTTAAAAAAATGGCTCGCGAACATCGGACGCAAGAATTTTACCCCTTCCTACAATGATGTTGTGTGTTCAGACCATTTCAGAAAGACGGATTTTTGGGGGAATGTGGCTTCTGGACGAAGAGATCTAAAACCTGGAGCAGTTCCAACTGTGTTTAGAGTACTGGGTCGACCGAAGAAGGTACGTGTGGCTGTGGTTAATTTACATGGGAATGGGCTGAAGCTAACTGGCTTGTTTAAAAACTCCTGGAAAGGCCAAAGGGTTGGTTATCAGTCAACGGGAAGAAGAAAACCAATTGTCATTCATTGATGGAATATGCTTTTTAAAATAAGGAAATAAACAGGGTTCCGGGCACTCCATTTCCATCCTTCCTCCTTAGAGTCATAAAGGAGGTGGTGGAAGAACTCTCAGAACGGCGGTCAGACTTGTTTCAAGTTCTCCACCACCTGAGCTCTGGCCATCTTTTCGGCGCCAGGCGAAGACCTTTTTATTCAAACGTCATTTTAACTGTTAATAGTATTTATTTATTTTATTCTTTGGCCAGGGCAACTTATTTTATATTGTTAACTTATTTTATATTGTTAATTTGTATTATTTTAATTGATTTGTGTTGTGATACACCCCGAGGCTTCAGCGAATGGGGCGGCATAGAAATTTTCTAAATAAATAAATAAATCTCCCCTCTAGCTTCATCACCCTCAGCTCTGGTGTATACCAAGGAGCCAGCCGGCTTTGCCCAAGGGACGAGGGTGCTTGGGGGTGATTGTATCAGCTGCCTGGGACATCTCCGTATTCCACAGAGCAACCTGGGCTTTGACAGGAACACTTACCATGCCAGTTGAAAAACCCCCCAGAGCTTTCTGGACTCCATCCAGATCCATCTGCCTCTGGGAACGAACCATCGTAATAGGTCCCCCACCCTTGCAGAGGGGAAAAGGAGCCAAAGGTTTGAACATCAGGAGGAAGTGATCTGACCATGACAAAGGGGTAGATTTTAACCCCCCAATTTTCAGATCACCATCTTCCTGCCCAGTCATAAACATTGGGTCCAGAGCGTGACCTGGTGACATGTCAAGACAGCCCCATGGTTGTCCTAGCTGTATATAACTTGTATCTACTGTGTAATCTTGGTCTTCTGCAAGTTTAGACAGAAAGACCGCTCAGCTCCCAGCATGCTCCAGCCCAGATGGTTGGGGAATGCTGGGAGCTGTAGGTTTTCCTTCCCCCTAAACTTGCAAAGGCTTGTACGTTTAAGTAATCAAAGTCCTCCATTTCAGCTTGGAGCAAATAGCTTACAATAAGGATCTGAACACTGGTAATCTGCTGACTCTGAATACCGTGGAATCAGCAATTCCAAAGAAGGAATTGTTCTTGGTTTTCCTTCTACAGGGTGCTAGGAAGCGAATTGCTAAGAAGAGGCGAGCCCTTGTGCGGCGCAAGTTACCAGATCCTGAACCGAGCAATCCAACAGAGATCAGCGATAGCAGTGTGGATGCAGAAGCATCCTCCTCCAAGAGTGACATTGTAACTTTGGAGCATTCCTACTCAGCGCCACCAAGCCCAGGTAAAGGTAGCAATTCAGCAGTCAGTCTATTAAATTCCTGTGACAAACAGGGATGTGTGAGGACTCTGTTTTGGGGGTAGGAGTCCATGAGATTCCTCAGCTTGGCTCCCCGGGCTCTGCCCTACTTTCTCGCTTCCCCAAGTCTGCCTTACATGACATGTTTGTGTACAAGGAAACAAGGAAGGAAATCCAAGCAGAGTTCAGCTTCTGCTTATGTGAATTTGTGCAAAAAATTGTTCTTTGCATATTTTGCACAAAGAATCACGTACTTTGCGTAACTTGTGCCAAGAATTATCTACTTTGCATACTTGGCACAAGAAATTTGCTAGCATCCCCGAGCATCCACAGTGTTGATCTCAGCTTGGTTTACTTCCTGGTCAGGGCCATGTGTGGGAAAGAATTCCAGCAAGCACAAGAGAGCTGGATTCTGGCCTGATCTTCACATCACTCATGACAAATAACATGACAGAAATCAGTCATTACAAATCAGAAAGCAATCAGAAAGGGGTGTGGGGAGGTAAATATGCCCCCTGACTGCTCCACCAGGGGTGAGCAAGAAGCTTGCAGAGCAGGTGTCTAGCAAAATCAGATGAGAAATGGGAAGCAAACCTGGAATTTTGCTGATGCTGGGATGAGTGGATGCTTTTCCTGGTATTGGCCGGATCCCCTTTATCTGTGCCGAGGGGAGTCAGGAAATCCCATGCTTCTCTTCAGCAGAGTGAAAACGGGTCAAGGATGAAGGCAGGTAGGGTTCACAGCCACCTCACCTGGCCTTTGCAGCAACAATCCTCCCCCATTCTATTTGGACAGGCCTTTAGCCTACGAACTGACTTTTACTCATGCTTATTTTATGTTTAGCTGCTACTTTTTAATGCTTTATCGGCCTTGCTTTCTATGCTTGTTAACTTTGCTTTATTTATTTATTTATTTATTTATTTATTTATTTATTTATTTATTTATGCACGTATTTATATACTGCCTATAACTGCCCAAAGGCCTTGTTGTTTAGATGGATTTTTATTATTTCTGCCAACTCCCTGAGCACCATTTGATAGAACGGGGGGATACAATATTTCACAGACAACACGCATCTCTTCTTTTGTCCTTCATTTCCTACAGCCTCTTCCACTCTGGATCGTCGCATGGTTTCCACACGGGACCAAGGGGCAGGAGACTCCCAGCCGAGAAAAAGCCCTCGTCTCCTCCAGCTTAGAAACAGAATGAGCAGGGAAAGAGCAAGGCAAAATGCCCCGGGAGAGGCCATGATCATCTCAGACGTACAGCGGCAGCATTTCCGGGATTACTGCTACCAGGAGACTGAGGGCCCCCGCGCGGTTTGCAGCCAGCTCTGGGACCTCTGCCGTCACTGGCTGCAGCCAGATAGGCACACCAAGCTGCAGATGCTGGAGCTGGTGATCATGGAGCAGTTCCTGGCCATCCTGCCCCAGGAAATGCAGGACTACGTCAAGGAATCGGGACCAGTGAACTGTGATGAAGCGGTGGGCCTGGCGGAGGAATTTTTAGAGAATCAGCGAAAGGAAGAGGTAGGAACATTCCCCTCCTGGTAATTCCAGTGCTTTGAAAAATGAATGCAAAGATATCTTAATTATATAATCATTTATCTAATTTATGTTTATTATTTATTTAGAAACATTTGTTGAGAGGGCAGGAAGGGGGGCATTTAGGCCATCGATCCGACCCCCTTATGCAGTGCAGGATTCCATTTTGAAGCATCCCTTGAAGATGGTTCCCTAGTCTCGCGCTTGATTACCTCCGATGGAGAGGTCGTCACCTCCACTGTCTGATGGCAGCTTGCCTAACCTTAATGTTTCCTTGGTCCCTGGTAGCTGTCACAATTTTTAATTTGAATTAAAAGCTGAAGGACACACTTTTTTAACTGATAAAAGTTTATTTATTTATTTAAAGTTTGTATATGCCATCCAATGCTAAAGTCTCTGGATGGCTTACAAAAAACAAAACAACCACATACAACAAACAACATACAACACACTGCATCTGATAAATAATGATAAAATCAATGATGAAACCAATTAACTGTTCAAATATTGGGAAAATAACAAGGTCTAGTTGGATTGATTAGTAATCCTATGCAACTTTAGACAGGAAAAGAACCTATGACTTGTTGCCTTTTATTGTCTAAACTTGCATAGAATTGTGTCCTAATTAATTCAGCTTACTGTTGTTGTAGCTATCAGAGCGATACTGTGTAAGGGTAAGAAATATCTTTATTCAGAGGGGTCCATAGGAGGGATGTGTGAGGAATCTGTTTGCAGGCTTTGGAGAGGCCCTGAATTTGAGTTCCTGGTGAGCCTCCCCCCCCAGTGTTTTATGGGGTGCTTGCCAGGATTCACACCCCATATGCCCTCTTCTGTACCGCTTGCAGCAGCTCTTGGAGCCGCGGAGAATGCTGTGCGGGCTTCCTCTTGGCTCGGTTTGCTTTGCAAGACCAGACTAAGCACGAGAAGACATTTGCAAATGCTGGAGGGATGGATTCTAATAGGGTTTGTCCCAACCATAGGTCACTTCCGAAGCATTTATTTATTGGTTTATTTATTAATTAAAAGCTTTAATATGCTGTCCTATTATATAACAATCTCAGGACAGCTGAAATCTCAGAATTGCTGATAGGAGCAAGGAGTCAAGGCCAAACCAATTCAGTTGGAACCGCACTGTGTATTTTCCAATAAAGGGAAGCAATTCTACTTCAGACATAACAAGCAGCAAAATTTTACTTCTTTACTCTTTAAAACTCTTTTTAAATAAAGCATTTTTTTCCCACTGCTGAAACCAGAAAGACTCCCAGATTTCCATGCAGCCAGTTAAATAAGGCAGGTTTACAATCTAAAGGGATGCAACACCCAAATTAAGGGGGATAGAGAAGAAAGAGGAAAAATCATAAACCATCTTTCAGATGTTGCAGCATTGTGTGCTCTTGTTCAGAGTTCCAGTTGTCTGGCAACACCTGTAAGAGAAGTTTGACAATGGAACAAATTTCTTAGAAGGAAATTTGCCTACAAGGCCCCTTCTAGCTCTGTGATTCCACTAAGGTGGGGTGCCATGATTCTGGTCCCTTTGTCTCTCCTCTTTCAGGAAGCACCAGCTGATTTCTCAGTAGTGAAGGTTTCTTTAGGCACGCAGATAATCAAGGAGGAAGAAAATGGCACGTTGTTGAGTAAGTATCTATTCTGCCTGCATTGTGGGATACTTCCATCTCTTGGCTGAAATTTTGCAAGCTGCTAGTCCTTGGTGAGGAAGATACCTGTCTCTAGAATCTGTCAATGTGCGATCGCTCCCTCCCTCCCTCCCTCCCTCCTTCTCTCTCTCTCTCTCTCTCTCTCTCTCTCTCTCTCTCTCTCTCTCTCTCTCTCTCTCACACACACACACACACACACACACACACACACACACACACACAGAGCATTTAAGATCTAGTACTTTCCTCCTTTCTTCCCATGGTCTCTTAATTATAGCCGTCCTTTCTGGAAAGGAAATTGCATCCTTTCAGGTTCCTATTTTTTTCCTTTATCCTCCAGAAGATGGGACTATGAAAGAGAACCAGGTGGAGAGCGTTGAAAATGAAGGAGTATGCCAGGAAAATATTTCCTCTGTGATTGAGGTTGCAGAAAGTGAGTATCCACAGCTTCAAACTCTTTGGAGAAAGGTTAAGATTAAAAAAGCCTTTTTTTAATGGCTATTTTTTAAAAAATGGCTGAATGATCCTATGCATGCAAGAGATTAAAAAGTGTTTTTTAATGGCTAAGGGCACAACCCTATGTATGTTTAGAGAGAAAACAGTCTTACAACTCCCAGTGTACTGTCAGACTTTTTGGACTAAACTTACATAGGGTCTTGCTCTGAGGGACGAAAAAGGCCTTGGCAGAAAAGAAAAAAGAACAAAAGGCCCTAATCATAAGCTATCTTTATCAACTGTACTATTCAAGGGTAACCTCAAAGGCAGTTTTTTCCCAGTTTGTTAGAACAGCAAAGAAGATAACGTGTTAGAAAGCGAAAAATACAGCTGCAGTCCCGAAGCGACTTACTTCAGAGTAAGACTCACTGGATTCAGTGGGACTTGATTCTGAGTAGGCACATACTGGATCACAGTGTTGCTGAAGCCGTTTGAGCACATCCAGAAGCGCTAAGCCTGGATCTAGTGCTAAGACTGGGGTATGTGCTCTGGTTTTATTGGGCATGGCTTCACTGAGGGGGATTTTGTGTATTAAAAAGATGATGTCAGAGAAAAACCCCATCAGGAAATGGGTTTGGAGGCAGCGGTCAAAATACTGCTCTGTCCAATGAAGATACTTCGGTCTGGGCCTTGTCTGCCAAGCTGAAGCCATCTTGGTCTGGAAGGGACGAGGGGACAACCAAAGCAAGGCCGGATTGTACCTCAGGAGAAGGCAATGGAAGAGCCACAAAAGTTGCCCTGAGGGGGATTTATTTTGCATTTACTTTAATACTATTTAGAGAAAACAACTTGTGTTGCATTTGAGAGGTGAAAAGAGCTGCTCCTGAGTGTGACATAAAAAGAGTGGGCCAAATAAATCCCTCGGGCACATTTTTTTACCTCAGCCCAGAGCCGGCTGTGAGGCCTTAGGAGGCCATTTGTAGTGAGGAAGACGCATTTATTTTATTATATTTACATCCTGGCTTTTTTCTTCATGGAATCCAAGGCAGCTTACGTAATCCTCCCATTCCTCTTTATTTTATCCTGTGAGGTAAATGCAGCTCAGTGACTTTGTCAGAGTCTCCATGGCCAGGTGGGGACTAGAACCCGGATCGCCTGAGCCCCCTTAATTAATCATTATGCCACACTGGAATACAGATGAACACAACTGCAGCTCCTTCTGGGCCCATCCAAAATCTGGGAAATATTCATGGCTTAAAGCATAAAGGGCAACAGGATCAACATGAAATTTTTTTCTTCCTAACACCCATTTTCCCTCAACACAGATTCCCCTAGAGAGGGGCAAGCAGCTGACTAATAGCTGCACCCTTGAAATAATAATGTATGAGGCAGCAGAACTACTTTTCCCCACCATGGTAAATTTGTTTTGGGGCACTTTGGTGTAGTAGTTACAGATCTGAACTAGGCCTGGCTTTAAATCCCACAAAGGCCCCTGGGCCACCTTGAGCCAGTCGCTTTCTCCCAGGCTGGCCTACTCCACCAGGTTGTTGTGCGAGCTTCGTATGGGGAGTGGGGAGAGGCCCACATAGGCCCCCCGGATTTCCTTGGAGGCAAAAAAGCAAAACGGAGGCTCAGTTTCTCTCTTGTCTCTTCGGTAATTCTAGCAAGTGAGGTCTGGGAAGGCAACGATGACAGACGGCCTTGTGCAACATGGACGGATGGGGATGAAGTTGCTCGGGGGGATTCTGGGAATTCAGACGGCCACAAAGTGGCCAAGAAGAGGAGGAAGGAAATGACAGGTGGGCATGTGTGGAAGGATTATTTTATCACCAGGGGCTTTTGCACCCTTGAAGGGCAATTTCCTTCAAGGTTTTGTTGCTCAGGAGGTTTTGTTGTCTCTCTTGTCCACCTCGTATCCTCTCATGTGGATTGTGTACCTCATGGGTGTTTCCTACACATACGTTCCTTAGCCTGAGCGTGGTGTTTATATTTATTTCTTTCATTTATGCCCCAGTAGGATGTTGGATTAGATGAGCCTTTGGCCTGATCCAGCCAGACTCTTCACATGCTCTCATCTGCCAGTTGTGGAAGACTGCGCTGACTTTTAAACCAGGATTAGATCTCTCTCAATGAGTCAGCTTCTGTGAACCCAATTTATTTTAGCTGATTGCTTAAGTCTACCTGAACGTTGTATATTATTTATTTATTTATTAATAATAATTATATTTCTATACCACCCGCAGCCGAAGCTAACCTGTATTTACAACAGGATATAAAAACAATAAAATACAGTACAGAAAACAGTTTAGAAATATTTTAAAAATAATTGTTAAGCTATTTAAAATTAAAATACAATGATAAAACAACAACAACAACAATACAATACTTTGATGGGGCATGTATCATTTGCATGCTGCCTTAATAATCCCCATCTGGCATCTGTGTTGCTGCCTTTGCAGATAGTTTTTTGTTAGTTTTTTTAACAGCCTTTTCAGTGAAATCTTATGTCAGTTTAGGCAGAGAAAAGGCCTATAATTCCCAGCATGTCCTGCCTAGGATTAAGCCCTTTAGACTGGATTATGTTGAATGATCATTTATAAAGTGCCTAAAATTATTAAACCTCGAGCAGTATCTAGAAATCCCTTATTAATTTATCTGTTTTTTATTCACTTCCAATGTACTGTGGAGAATTTTGGGCAGCCTGTTTGATGAAGAGAACTTACCTTCTGCCAATGGTGTACCCATAAGAATCCATGAGAAGTATAAAGAACCATGGTTTTCTGTGTGCATTTCCATTCTGGAAGCCCAGCTTTCCAGGCAAATTTTCTTGTCTTCATTAAACAGGCTACTCTTAGAATCCCCACACTGAATCAAGAGTTACATATTTAAACCACCCACTGATGAACTGATTTTGAGAAAGATTCTGGATTGCGCTGAAATGGACAGATTGACTTTGTCTCTGAAGGAGAAAGAGGATACAGTAGACTCCCAACTATCCGGCCTAATGTGGAGGAAGGGCAGGCCGGATAGGCCGGAGTTCTATAAATGCTCACTTCCTACCCCACCCATACCATTAAAAACACCCTTTTTATACCAAAACCTGCTCTTATTCATATTTTCTGACCTTTTAGTACAGGCCAGTACTTTATAAATGTTAGTTATGTACTGTATGTTTTAAACATTTATTAACAGAAAAAGGAAGTCCAAGGATAAAAATATTGTACACATTTTAAGATAAATTTTATAATGTCTAACTTAATTGCAGGAAACATAAAATCATGTACACTGTACAGTATGAATACATACACTTTTAAAATAAACAAAATATTAACATAAAATGTGGGCTTAATTCTTACAAAAATTATTTAAACTTATTTTACTGTTCATTGATAGTTATTTTTTAACTAGGCCGGATAGTACAGAGGCCGGATAGTCACAAGCCAGATAGTCGAGAGTGTACTGTACATAATTCTATCAAACTTGGAACTCTTTTTATCATTGGCTAGAGAAATGGGACTATGCGTGGATATGAATATATTTACGGATTGCTATTTAAAAAAATGGGGGGCTGACCCATCAGGTCTGATGGTTCTGATGATTGATTTTTTTTTAGTTTCTTTTTTTTTGTTGGTTTGTTTGTTTGTTTGTAGAAAATAATAATAAAATCTAAAAAAAAGAGTTACATATTTAAATCTATATCTGTGACTGAATGATTAAATTAATAAGAAACTTGCTAGAAACAAGTACATGGCTGGCAAACCTTTTCCTAAAGTTTTTTTTGTGTGAAGAATTTTAAGTATTTTGGCACCAGATTTCATGTTTTGTTTTATTTTTGAGCTTTTTACTACATCCAGCCCTACTAATAATTCTGTGTTTAATCAAGCAGGTATCAACCAAGTACAGGCCAATGATGACAATAGCTGTCCGGTGGAAAAACCAGAGCAAACAGGTGTTGATGGAGTATCCCTAAAAGGAGCTGAAGGGAATTGTTCTCAGGGTCTGAACCTGACTGAATCGGAGAAGTCTAATGATGGGGAGAAGCCATATGGATGCTCCAAATGTGAGCAAAGCTTCAGTAATAAATCACTCCTCCTAGAACACAGAAGATCTCATCCAGGAGACAACCGATACGGATGTTCCATGTGTGAAAAAAGGTTCAATAAGAAAGCCCGTCTTCTTGCTCATGAGAGGTCACATACAGGAGACAAACCCTACCAGTGCTCCGACTGTGGCAAGGCCTTTGGTCAGGAAGCATCACTCATTACCCACCAGAGGACCCACACAGGAGAAAAACCATATGAATGCCTCGAGTGTGGAAAAACATACCCATGGAAAACATCCCTGGCTGTGCATCAGAAAATCCATGCTGGAGAGACCTATTCATGCCCGGTGTGTGAGAAAAGTTTCAATCAGAAATCGTTACTACGGATACACAAGAGGATCCATACGGCTGAGAAACTATACAAATGTGCAGATTGTGACCAGAGCTTTACCCTTGAAAAATACCTTAATGCCCACAGGGTGAGGGCTCACACGAGAGAGAGGCCTCATGCATGTGCACACTGCAGCAAAACCTTCATTTTTAAATATTCTCTCATCGAGCATGAGAGGATGCACACCGATGAGAGACCCTATGAATGCTCGGACTGTGGAAAGCGCTACAACGGGAAAGCTGCCCTTGTTGTCCACAAAAACACCCATGCAGGAGAGAAACCGTACCTGTGTCCCGACTGTGGCAAGCGCTTCAAAACCAAATGTGCCTTAACTGGACATGAGAAACGCCACAGGGGAGAGAAACCACACAAGTGCTCGCACTGTGACAAAAGCTTCTACTGGAAACATCGCCTTGTTTTACATGAGAGAATCCACACAGGAGAGAGACCATACCAGTGCCCCGAATGTGGGAAAAGCTTCAGGTATAGAAACAACCTGACCAAACACAAAAAGAACACGCATGAGACAATCCGGACAGGAGACAGGACCTATCAGTGCTCCATCTGTGGCAAAAGTTTCCGTTGGAGAAGGAGTTTTATTTTGCACGAAAGAGCCCACACAGGAGAGAAACCATATAAATGCCTTGAATGTGGGAAAAGCTTCATGAGCCGGGTATCTCTTATTGTTCACAAGCGAATCCACACTGGGGAAAGACCCTTTCAGTGCCTTGAGTGTGGGAAAAGCTTTATTAAAAAACAAGCTCTCAGTAAACACAGAACAGTCCACACAGGGGAGAGGAGATATTTATGTACAGTGTGTGGAAGGAGATTCTCTAATAAGGGCAACTTGATCCGACACACAAAAATCCACACAGGAGAGAAACCGTATACCTGTGCCACATGTGGGAAAAGTTTCATTCAAAAAGTGTGTCTTATTGAACATGAGCCAACTCATAGCAAAGAGAAACCTTACATCTGCCCTGAGTGTGGTAAAAAATTCAAACGGAAACGAGGCTTCCTTTTGCATGTTCGAGCACACAGGGGAGAGAAAGCACTTAGCCCCTCCAAGAAAAGCATTAATGGGGGAGAACCCCTTACTCCAGATGCAAAGACCTCTGTGAAAGAGAAATGTCATCTGTGCCCGGACTGTGGCAAGAGCTTCCACTCAAAGTGTCACCTCATTATGCACCAGAGGACCCACACGGGAGAGAAGCCATACCAGTGCACAGAGTGTGGGAAAAGCTTCAGCCAACAGTCCTCCCTTAATACACACCAGAGAGTCCACACGGGAGAGAAGCCGTCATTATGTACGGAATGCGGCAAAAGCTTCCATAATAAAAGCAACCTGGCGAGACACCAGAGGATCCACACTGGGGAAAAACCGTTCACGTGCCCAGAGTGTGGAAAAAGTTTCAATCAGAAAGCCTCCCTGGAGGCCCACAAGGCAACCCACAGCAAAGAAAACCCCTTCTCCTGCCCAGACTGTGGGAAAACCTTCAAGCTGAAAGTGTCCCTCCTCATCCACCAGAGAACGCACACAGGAGAGAAACCCTATGAATGCTCTCAATGTGGGAAAAGATTTATTAGATGTTCGCAGCTTCGAAGGCACGAGAAGAGCCACACAGGTGAGACATTGCATGAGCAGATGAGGAAACAAGTTATGATTTCTCTTTCCAGATTTCCTGGAGTCTTTAGCAGCGTGTTAACTCTGTAAAAAAGAAGTCCTTTGAAACCAAGGGTACATTTTGTAGTGCAGAGATTGGGAGACCAAATCTGTCCCTCCGAGGGTCCAAATCTGCTTTCTGAGGTTCCCTAGAAGGGCAAGATGCCCTCCACTGAACACCCCCCCTTTCCTCCAACCAGCCATTGTTTGGTGGCTTTCTGACTTTTGTGCAGTTTGTTCCCCATCCAGAAAGGTTGAAACATTTCTCCTTAAACCTTAATGCTTGACAGTAAGCTAAAATGTTAAGTTAAAATACACTGATTTTTTGTTTATTTGTCCCTGGCCTTTTTGCCTTTGGTTCTGCCCAGCACTGAAATATGGCCTTAGACAGCTTCTCCAAAATGGAATTTGGTTTTTGGATTGAAAGCTCTTCTACACCCTAATCAAATGGGTAGCCATTTAAGTTTCATACTAACAGTAATTATAATCTAGGAATTTTTGAATTCATAACTTTATTCTATTGATACAAATACAGTTATTTTCCAAAAAATATATTACAGTATTTAAAAGCTACTAAAGTAATATTTCATAAGCATTTCTAGGTATGAGTGTTGCTGAGTCTGTTTTCCCATAGAGTCCCCTGAAATCCTTCTGCCACATGCAAGGAGATTCAATATAAGAAGCAATCATATTCCAAAATGAGATCATACTTATACAGCCTCTAAAATATCACTATATCTTTAATACTATCCATTGAGTCAGATACCAAATTAACTAACTAACTAACTGGGGCTTGCAACCTTCTAAAATAATCCTACGTTGTTTACATTTATTTCTCCCCTGCCCCTCCCCATCATTTAAACAATTATAACTCACTCTTCTCATTTTTAACAACTTCCCAAAGTATCAAATAAGATAGCATATTTAAAACAACAAACAGGAAACAGACAGTAATCAACGTAAAGTAAAATGTGGTTCCATTGTTGGACAAGGACTTAAAAGATGCAGGTTCAAATTCTTATACAGCCATGGATTTCAGCAGGCAACCTTGGCCTACTTGCTGTCTCTCAGTTTAAATTACTCCACAAAGTTCTTGTAACAATAAAAGATGAAGAATGGAAACTACCTTGAGCCCCTTGAAGGAAGGGCAGGATAAACGTGAAATATCCAATCAATAAAAATGTGGAAGGACTGAAGTTAGACAAGCAGGGACTGCAGCATGGCATTCATATGTTAACACAGCCTCTTTTAGTGCCTGACAGGTCACTTCTGATTTTTATTTTATGTTTACTAATATTTATTGTATTGTTCAATGTATAACAACATAACTGGGTAGCTGGCATATTACAATCCATTATTTCCAATACGTCCAGAGATGTTCTTAGTACTTTCTTAGAAGGATGATGGGACATGGTTGCAACCCAGCATTTCATTTTGAAGTATGCCCAAATTCCCCCAGAAGGGGAAAAAAGACAAGCTGAGGGTGCTAAAAAAGTATCCCGTGAGATAGAACATAACTTGGGGGACTGGAGGGGTGTGGTGAGAAACCTGATAAATCCTATTTCACTTAAATATCTGCCTCAAAAGTAACTGCTTTCATCTTGGTCTGCTAGACCAGGCAAAATCACACTGGAGTTTACAAATTGCTGATCTGTGGCTATTTTATTTTTCTCTCTAGATTTTATATCGCTTGAAGCAAATCAAATCATTTTGCCCATTTCAGAAGTGGTCGCTGAAGCTACCGAAACTACAGAGCTTTCTCTGGAAACAATAAGCACGGCCGTGGTAAGGAAGAAGTGTTTTATTCTTTTAGAGAAATGTTGCATGGAACAAAGCATGCTGTGTCAACCGGTAATAGCAACTGCAACATCTCCAGTCAGACGACACCTTTGTTAGAGCAAGCAAAGCATCACAGGAATGCTGCAGACCTGTTCATCCAGGTGGGATGGGAAACAACACTGAGGGAGCAAGGAGGGAAATAGCTGCTTGATTTGAAGCCATGGGGCAGTATTGTATTTCTGGAATTTACCAAAAAAAAAAGAAGAAGAAAAGGAAAATCAACTGTTTGCACACAGATGAGATGGATGGGCAAGTATCTCATGCCATGATGAGAACTAGCCCACTCTGGCCAGATGTGTGAAATCTCATATTTTAATCCATAGGAATTAAAATTTAATGTTCCGCCTAGCAGCCTCTTCAGGGTCCAATATGTTCACATTGTACATTTCTCTAGTGGAACCTAACCTAAATATCTGGTGCCTCCTCCTGCACGGCCTTTTAAAAATCGTGACTTTGTGCAAGCACTGCATGCAGCACTCAGCTGGGTTACTGAGTGGCTGCTGTTTGTGTCAGGCAAGTGGTGGTTTTTGCTGGAGCAACAGGGGCCTTGAAATTCTTAAAGAAGAACTTAAACTTCTCCAGAAACCAGTGGGAATGCTAATTTGCAGATTGGGACAAGTCTTTGGAACTCCCTTCTGTGATCTGCTGTCCAATACATATGGGGAGGCACCAGGATAGAAGAGGCTTTTAAAGTAGTTTTTAGATAATCACAATAAAAATAATCAATGACTTTTGATGGTGGCCCAGTTATTCTATCAGGTTATGGATTATAGAAACATAGCAACAGAGCGAGTCAGAAGGGGTCTCCCGGGCCATCTAGTCTGACCCCCGGCTCCAGCCGGCTCTGCTCATGACATGCCCACCATGTGCACATCCAGCCTATCTTTGAACACCCGCACTGATGGGGCCTCAGTCACCTCCTGTGGGAGCCCATTCCACGCCCTGGGGGTCCTAACGGGCAGGAAGTGCTTCCTGGCATCCAAATGGAACCTGGGTTCCCTGAGCTTTGCTCCGTTGGAGCGCGTCCTGCCTTTCTCTGCAGGGGAGAACAGGTCTCTGCCCACCTCCGTGTGACATCCCCTCACATACCTGTATGTCGTCAACATACCCCCTCTGAGTCTCCTCTTCTCCAGGCTGAAGAGACCCAGTTCCCTCAGTCTCACCTCATACCCCATCCCCTGCAAACTGGCCACCAACCTTGCGGCCCTATGCTGCACTGACTCTAACATGACTGTGCTGGACTCTGGAAAGACCGCTGAGTTGGATGTTAAATTTCAACTTCCATGCATTAAATTAGTTCACATCATCTTGCTGGGTATTCATATCTCTTGCCCATCTACCACACCTGAATGCAGAAAGGTAGATTTTCTAGTTTGCTGTACATACTGGCTTTTGAGTTGGATTGATTTCTAGTTCTCCTCCTTTTGACCTAGGCAGTTTTCTCCAAAATAAACATTTACCTTGCTAGTCTGTCTGCTCCTCTTGGGCTAGGAAATTACTCATTCTTCCTGGTTCCCACATCATCCCAGGCAGGGGATAATTCCTCCCACTTGCTTGAGAGGACAGGGTGTGCCAGTAGATGTACCACTGGCAGAGCCTCCCTAAGTTCCCGTTCCACCTGCTCTGAAGCAACTGGGCTTTCAGAGCTGCACTTCTTTGGTCAAAATGGTTGCCACACTCAGCGTTTATTCACATAACCATTTGGTTGAAGTGAATCGGGGAAAGTTTGTTCCTCACTGTCTGCTGAACGCCTCACAGATGTCGCCGAATGGAACATCAGTAATGTGGGAGCAAAATGCTGAGCTCCTTGAAAGGCCTGTGGAAGGAATCCCTATTGACAAGACATCTGGTTTATGTTTCCAGATTGCTTTTCTAACTGTAGTTTGTCGGATGTTTCGGTGATAAGAACACCCTACAAACTGGGCCATTTCAAATCTTGTAGGAATGCCCGCCATCTCTTTTCATTCGGTCTGTAGAATCAAAGGGCACTCAGGGTCACTTTCTTTCTTTTTTTAATTTAATTTAATTTAATGTTTAACAATCCTCTCATTACAGCACAAACCAGACCTGCTAACACCAGTAACAAGAATAACATAAAATATACTCACATATACGCCGGAATACAGCCTTATATTAGCCATACTTCCGTATCATAGTATTATCTAACCCCTTATCTTATTATTATCTATCCTAAAAACTTAAAGACCAACAATCCACATTATTACCTATAATGGAGCCCTCTTTCCATCCTGTGTGTGCCCACCAACCTCGAACGCCTGGCGCCCACACATCGGTCCGTTGTGCAGCATGAAGGTCCAGGCCCCATTGGTGCAGTGCTGCTCCTCTTCCTCCCACTTGCGCTTCGAAGTGGAGACAGCCTGCCTCTCCCTTGGTTGGCCGAATGTGGCCCAAACACTTGCTAAGCTGCCTTATGTTTGCTGACGAATATATAGCTGACTTCCTTGTTCTGATTCTCATCATGCCAGATAAACGTGGACGGAGATTTATTTTTTGTGCAAACAACTGCATAGACCTGGATCGCTTGCTTCAAGGAGCAATGGTTAGGTAAGATGATGGGCTTGACTGCTTCTCTGGAGCAGTGAGCACGGTCACTTTCACCATAATTGTTTTTTCCCCCTTTTATAGAGGTAATGTGGGTTATCTTTTTAGAGGTGGTCCCTGGTGAGTGGAATCCCTAAATATCTTCCTAGCTTGTCCATTTCAGAGCATATCTATTAGAGCTTCAGTGTCAATTCAGTTAGGTTAGTCAATTTAAAAAACTTAAATCAGTTTAAAAGGATAGTCCTAATCAGAAATTGTTTTTAAATTATTTCTGAAAATGTACTTATACAATTCCAAATGGCAAGCACCATTTTAAGAGGCATTCTAATTCCTCCCCAAAGCACGGATGGGATACCTCTTCTAAAAGGTTGCATGCTGCCAAGTTTGTGAATCCTTTAAAAACAACCAGTTGAATCCAGAGTTAATCACGCTTGGAGAAAACCATTGATTAGAGAGTGTTCTACCAAGAAGTCCCTGAGAGGTACCACTGGCTCCTTTTGTGGCTGTTTTAAGAGCGTGTTACAAAACACTAGCTTTTAATTGAAGGTTTTTGTAGTATTTAAGACTGATAGGTATTTTGAAATGGTATTCTAACCGGCTTATTTAAAATTGTCATTTCTATTTAAGGCAACTTTATATCTGTGGTATCGAATAGTTGTTTTTATATTGCATATTTTACAATAGGAATATTTTACAATACTTTAGGAAGGCAGTGATCTGGAAAGGCAGCTCAGAAATACCTTTAAGGGTGCAATTCTGCAGCCTTCTGACTTTGCCTGGGGGAAGCCATCAGATTGTTCAGGGTCCCAGCTTCAAGGTCCTGTGGTGTCGGAGCTGAGACTCTGAACATGGAGGCCACACCCCACCCTGCTCATAGACAGAGCCGTGCTGGCTGTTCCTCTTGAGGTCAGCAACTGACCACAGAGAGGGGCAGCAGGGAGAGGAGGACGGGTTGATGGCTGACCCCAAATCCAGATGGCACCCCAGCCAGCCCCCCTCAGCAGCGTCCATCTAAACGGGAAGTGTCTCCCTCTGAAGCATGGGGCAGCCACATTCCACGGCCTTTGCCGCAGATGCCTGTCAGCCTCTGTTTTCAAAGAGTTATGTGCATCACAGGTGGGCAACACAGGCTTGTGCCCAAGGACTGGGGTGTGCGGGAATCCGTAGGATTTGTTCCTGTCTAAACATGCCTGTGGTTGTCTCCTGAATAACACGGGGTTGGGGAAGCTGTGCAGCTCCCAGAGGCTGGATTACACTTATTTATTTTATTACTTCTGTATTTATTTATGTGTTGTGAGCCACCCCGAGGCTTTGTTGCGATGGGGTGGCATAGAAATGTTTTAAATAAATAAATAAAAATAAATAAATAAATCATCATTGGCCATGTTGGCTGGAAATGATGAGAGTTGTTGAGCAAGTAAACTTGGAATGCTACACGTTTCTCACTCCTGATCTAATATAATAGGCTATACTCCTGTGCATATGCACCTGTAAGTTCCACTGGGCATTTAATACATCTATCAAATTAAAAAATATATAGGGACTCTATATAAATATAAAATATATAGGGTTGATATGCCAAGAGTGCTCTGTATGTCTGCAGAAGGTACCCTTTATTTCACAGTCCGGGGCTCTTTCCTCATGCCCTATACCATCTTCAGTTTTACTTCTTCTGCATTTTTTTTCTTTAGTGCCTAGAGCAGGGCTGCAGTCTCTTAGGACTTGGGGTCAAATCTGCTCCTTCTGCTCATGATTCTTCAGATGCCCATGAGCCACACTTAGGTTTAAATCCCCATTTGGGTTCAAATCCTCATTCAGCTATTAAAAACTCTCATGGGCCTAAAATATTTTCTTGGTCTGGTCTACCTACAAAGGGGGTTGTGAGGATAAAACGGGGGGAAGAGCAAAGACCATGGATGCTACTCTAAGCTTGTTGGATGAAGAACAAGATAAAGATGATGTGATTACCTTGTTCAATCTATTTACAGGTGCCATGATTCAGATTGTCTATCTGTCAACCCAAAAATAGAAGTTCACCAGAATATTCGTCTTTAGTCATTCTGTGTGTTATATTTTTGTTGTACTGCTCTATGGCAAAACACCCTCTGTGTTTTATAGTTAACTACAATTTTTCTTTTGTAAAATGCAATAATATCTTTAGGAAACACAATATATTGCAGTGTAGTTCAACCTTTCTCAGCACGGTGCCCTCAGGAACACCTGGAAGGGAAACTGGTTGTGGGGGGCTGATAGAGATTATTTCAGGCTAGACTGTAAAAGAAAAATACTTCTTCTGAAAACAACTACAAAAGAGTTTTTGGCTGTTGATTGTCCATTGCAGTGTCTCAGCCTTAACCTATCTCATTATGAAGGATATAATGGCCATGAGAATATAATATTGGGAGAGCGGAGCAGTATCTTGAGCACCTTAGAAAGGCAATATAATAAATATAATATATACATACAAGATTCCAGAATTCTGAAAGCCAGCAGGAGGATGCCAGATGAAGCTCCTTGTGTCAAGAGTTCCACAACTGGGATGCCACCACGAAGAAGGCTCTGGATCTTATGACAACCTGCTGGATTTTATGTGGCAGGAGGACTCGCAAAAAACCTGTTTGCCCTGACTGCACAAATGTACCAAGATAATTCTCTGCTTTATCCCTACCTTTATAGTTTAACTGGAAACCATCTGATCAGTTTATATGCAGCGACACCCTTGGTTCTTTCTGGATTGAATGTAGCCTCATATGTGGTAGAGAACTTCCCAGCTGTGATTTGACCAACATTTCAGAAAATATGCTCTGTAGTCATGTTCCTTTAAGCTGGATGCCACTCCAAATGCTTTTAATTATTTTTGTATATTGGTAAGAGATTATTTTGGATTGCTGAGTAAATAAATTTATGTTACCTGCGCACCGGCTCATTCTGTATTCTTTCTTTGTATCCTTCTGTGTCCTTTTTGTTTGGTCTCCCCACTCTCATACCACAGTGGGGTATTGTTCCCTCTGGAGAGTTAAGGGGGAGTGTTCACATCTCTGCTAAACTCCCCTTTCGTAATCTGGAATTAGAGAAGATAGTATTAATTGATGTATAAGATCCATCTGTGGGTTTGTTATCAAAGGAAAGGTCAAAATGTAGTTTTTGGGCACAGTGCTTTCAGGAAGCAATGAAGGAGTGGGAACAAAATGTTTAGCGCTGCTCCCTCTAGAAGTAAACCCAAGTGTTGAGTGCCAACATAAAGGGGCTACTGCTAAACTAGGAGGTATTCCACTGCCTACAATAAGTCTCCACCCAAGTGTTGTAAACTGCCCTGAGGGCTTACAACTTTATGTTGTAAGCCGCCCCGAGGCTTTTTGCGAATGGGGCGGCATTGAAATTGTTTAAATAAATAAATAAAGTGAAAGCTTAGCATGTTCAGTAGCCATGTTGAGTATCAATGGGAAGAGACAAGTCTTCCACTGTTTGTGTACTAATCATGACTAGCCTTTAATCACTCCCAGGTCCTTCACTATACCAAGTGGCTAACACAAATGAGTTGAGGATGCATTATCAGTACCCCATCCCATTCCTTTTTGTTCGAGACCAGGGTCTCGGCTAAACCAACAGGAAGAAACCCTCCAACAGATAATTTCCCCTTGACCCATACAGCAAACAAGATTCAGTCCTGCCAGAGGTGGTGGGCCACATACAGTTTTCAGCAGGCTCAAGGCTGACCTGAGCAGAACTCGGTTGTTTGGCTTCAGTATGGAAATTAAAAATCCATGCATTCTGGAGTCTGTCATACGATGTTAGGACCCATCCCTGTTCTCTTAGGTAGGAAATTTTGTTGAGCAGCAGAATGGACAGCAGACACACAGTATCCTAATCCTGTCTCGGGTTCCCAACACCAGGTATAGATAACTCAAAATATCCGATTACAGGCTTTAAAGCAGTCTAATCTGAATCTGAATGTGGATCTTTGCCAGTCTCAAGAGTCCACAGACTCAAGATTTTAAGTGAAATTAATAAGTTTAATTTGCAGTTCACTGTGGCTTGATTTTTACTTCCTTTTTCTTTTATTTTTTGAGATTGCTAAAGCTGCTTCTCAAGTCAACTTTTATGATCCTAATTTAGCCATCCTTGTCCAGGGTGGCTAACCAGCCCCACAGTAATGTTTAGAAGTACAAATTTACAAGCCGTGGATGGCATAGTGGCTTAGAGCATCGATTTATGCCATCCTGATAAACCCATTGCAGGCTTGCATGACACACTCACCACACCTTACAAGGCAAGGTGGGTTGTTGTGTCACATGAATGCAGTCAGTGGCTTGGTTCATAATATTCATTTCTCTAAAACATTTGTATGGTGCCCAATTGTGCCATAGCACCTCTAGGCAGCTCACAGTTACAAGATAAAACAAAAACCAATAACAACATATTAAAAATAGGATAACAATATGGATTAGCAATCCAGAATAAAGACTTAGTATTGGCTGTTGAATAGTGAGTTGTAATTCCATGCAAATCTTGCACTATGGCTTAACTATGGTTATTAAACATATACAATGCAAGAAGACAACCCATGGTTTGTGGCTGGGTTGTAAACTTAACGGTTAACAACTCGGAATTAAATCAAAGTACAGTGTGTGCACTAACAGCAACCCACAATTCAATAACTAGCCATCGTTATCTGGTTTCTACCCTGCCTTTCCCTCCAAAATTGGCACTCACATTTGGGTACAAATCATGCAAACTCATCATTGTGTTGTGGCTATTATTAAACTGGGAGTTGGGATCTACTCCAAGTTGTCCAGAGAGTGACCAGAAGATCTCAATCTAGTTTGTGGACATCCCTGCCTATTCCAATGCTGTATTCATTCGACTCCAAACTCTGAATAGTACAAGTATATACTACATTTTCCCACCCTACCCAAACTGGCAGCCAGTTTACCCACGGACGATCCCTGTCCATTCACTTTTATTATCCTCCTCTCCCAGCGTTTGCTTTTGAGATAAAGGGACAGGTAAGATATATCGTAGGAGCCCGTGGTGGAAGAATCCCATGGGAGAGGAAATCGGCTTAAGCAAGCAAGGCTGGGGATATTCACTGGTAAACTGCCAGCCACCACCAGTTTGGTGGGACGTGGGTGGGGAAGCGAGGTAGCTATTTGAATGCAAGATTTGCAAATAGCCAGAGTCAACTGCACCTCAAATATATATCCATATACATTTAAATGTATAGGTGCATATATATAAAATCACATTGCCTTTATATCCCACCTCTTGTGAAGAATCCCACGCAGCTCACACAGTCCTCCCCCGCTCCATTTCCCCCCTCACAACAACCCTGTGAGGTAGGCTAGGCTGGGAGTCTGTGACTGACCCGAAGTCACCCAGTGGGCTCCGTGGCCAAGCAGAGACCCAGATATTATTTGCTTATTTTATCTGGCCAGGGCGACTTATTTTATATTTGGATGTATTATATTTTAATTTTATGTTGTGAGCCGCCCCGAGGCTTCGGCGAATGGCGAATGGGGCGGCATAGAAATGTCTTAAATAAATAAAATTAAATTAAATAAATCTCGCGGGTTCCCAATCCAACACCAGAACTACCACACCACACCGGCTCTCTCTCTCTGTGTACAGCTCTTACGCATTAGCATATAAAAGCTGGAGTTAAATAAGTAAGTAAATAAATATTAGCTGCAGTTAATTCTTTAACTGCATTATATATAGCAGCAGTTACACACATAAGACGTGTTTGTTAGATAACATTCCAATTAGTGTATTTTTCATTCGAGTACTGGCGGTTTTTATTTTTTGAGGTTTTCACATTTTGTAAACCGTCTCGCGATTCCCCGGCACAGGAAATAAATGAACGAATGAATGACACGCGAGCGCGCCCGCGCCTTTCCGTGTCGCTCGGCGCAGCAGCCGGCGCGAGGCGCCCGTCGGTTCTTCGCGTCCCACGCGGGGGTTAATCCTACCGAGCGGCCGTTCCTAGACGGGCCCTGCCGGAAGCGCGCGGCGGCACGCCCCTCTCTGCCCCAGGCACTTCCTGCCTTCCCCGCGCCGGCGGTCCCTCACCGGCCCGCAGGCCCCCGCGCCGCCCGCGCTCGCTCCCCGGGGCGGCCCGGTGAGTGCAGGAGGCCTCGGGGCCACAGGGGCCAAGGGGCAGGCTGGTGCGGCGCCCGCCGGGCCGGGGCAGCCGAGCCGCGGCGCGATCGCCCTCCTGCCCCGCCGCCCGGAGGCGCCTGCTGCGCCGGGCCGCTCTCCGAGACGGGCCCTCGGCCCGGCCCAGGCCGGCTCCGCGCAGCTGCGGCGCTCGCCGTTGACGGCTGCCTTGGCCGGGGCGGGACCTCGGGCGCCGCCGGGGTTGGCCTTCGCCTGGGAGCCCCCAGAGGGCTGCGGCGAAAGCGCCCTCGTGATCGCGCTGCCTTCTGCTCGTCGGAAAGGTGGGCTGTCAGCAAGTGCAACACGCCAACTGCACGTGCTGAAGAGCATTTTTTTTTTTATTTATATCCTGCCTTTTTCCTACAAAGGGCTCAAGGCAGCTTACATTATCTCTCCTCCTCCATCTTATCCCCACAACAACAACCCTGTGAGGTAGGTTGGGCTGAGAGACTGTGACTGGCCCAAAGTTGCCCAGTTGGCTCCATGGCCGAGCGGGGACTCGAACCCAGATCGCCTGAGTCCCAGTCCCACGCTCTTAACCACTACACCACACTGGCTCTCAGGGAGGACAAGCATCCGTGTTGCAACATGTCAGGGATGGAGAAGCAGTTGTAAACCATGCAATGGCACGGATGGGGTGGGAGAGGGAAGTATGAAGGAGGGCATCTCTTTATTTCACTTAAAGTGTTGGCATGCCATCCCTCAGCCCCCAAAATGTATCCTGGAATGACTTACAATTAACCAGTAAAAGGCAATCTAAAAAGGTACAGCACAAGAAAAGAGGATTGGGAAAGCCCCCCCAAGAGGAAGAAACAGGTTAGCTATGTGCTCGGCTGTCTAAAGGAGTTCCCCTTAAGACCACAAAGACCAGAGTCTAAAATTTCCCAGGTGCACCACCCCTGACAAGAAGACCTTGAGTTACTTCTTGTTAGGCTACTGCAGCAGAAATCAACAGTCTTGTGAGCCCTTTACAGTGAACAGATTTATTCTGCCATAAGTTTTCAGACACCAGAGGCCATCAAGTGCTATGGAGTGTTTCAGGTACATTTTCTGCACATTGTGGGGAGGAGGTTAAGGATTGTAAACTGAGATTACATTTAGGAAATACTGAGCATGACAATCACATCAACAGTGGATATAAATTCATTATTTACAGGTTTACAGTTAGGAAAATTATTACTTCTTTCACTGGAGAATTTTCACCCTTCTTTTCTGCCCCAGAAGGCTCCGGGGCAACTTACAAAGATAAGTAGTGAGACAGTCCCTGCCCTAAGGCTTGGAATTTAAAAGGTATGGCACAAGAGGAAATGGGATTGGGAGGAAGAAGGAAAAGGCAACCTTGTGTACCAGTTCTTTAAGCACTTATGGCAGAGTTAAAAGCATAGCAATTTGTCAGGTGTAGGATAGTTGGCCCTGTGTGGAGACAGCGATTCATCTCGAACAGGCTCTGGTGATTTCTTTGTCCTCCTTCCTTTTCTGGCTGACTTGGTGGAGCAGTGCTTCGACTGGCACATTGGTGCCTGCTTAATGCATTAAAATATGCATTAATGGCTCCTGTTGTCTGGTCGAGCAGGGCAGTTCATAGGAAATTTTAATCCGGCTTTGCTTGAAATGGATTTGGGTTTCAGAGCAGCTTTCTAATCACATTGAATCCAGGTGGGTTTTAAAGCAGTCTTTCCTGGGTTGCTATCTTTGTATGTGGTGACAACATCAGGAGAGGAACCTCCAAAGATCTTAGAAAAGTTTGTTTCCCTCCCTGTGTGCATAGTCACCAGTGTCTTTCTTTGAACCGATCCTTAGTGTCTGGCATCTCTTCTTTCTACAGGCAAACCCCCCACTTTTTAACCAGGCAGATCTTGTTTTGCTCGTAAAGCATCGGCTTGTGTGAGGACCATAAGAATTGGCTGCATTGGCTCCAAGCAAGAGTTGCCAATTTGTGGAACCAAGACACTGCTCCCTTTCTATCCTGAGAGACCATGGCAGTAGCAGCAGAAGGAGGAGACCTTGCAGCACCAAGCCTTCAGTTAGAGGCTTCACTGGAGCAGGATGAAAAAGCAGAAGAGCAGGATCTGCCAGCTGCTGAAGCAGGAGGAAGCTGTCAGGCCATCCAGGCAGAGCATGGCACGGAATTCGGGGAAAGGGCTGCACCAAAGTTCCTAAGCCAGGACCTGATAAATCTGGATGTCGAATGTCAGCGCTTCAGACAGCTCCGCCACCGAGAGGATGAAAGCCCCCGGGAGGTTTACAGTCGGCTCCAGGAGCTTTGCCATCAGTGGCTGAAGCCTGACAGGTGCACAAAGGAACAGATCCTGGACTTGGTGATCCTGGAGAAGTTCTTGGACATCCTGCCCTTGGAAATGCAGAACTGGGTCAGACAAGGTGGTCCTGGGAGCTGTGTCCGGGCTGTAGCTTTGGCAGAAGATTTTCTAGTGAAGCAGCAAAAGGATCCAGGTTGCAAAAAGCTGGTGAGCACATTCCTGGTGGTAACAGCTTAACTTAAAGGGGACATTTTGGCCTCACACCTCCTCTCTGTGGCCCCTAAGAGCTTCTCCAAAATAGAAGTCAGCCTGTGTGCCGAAAGAGGTTCCACAACCCTGACTTATAGGTGAAAGGAATACAGAGGATTTCTGCCTCTGCTGTTCCTTCCCAGCTGATTCATGGAATCCTCTTCTCTGTTTCAGGTGCAAGGGCCATTCATGGAGGCAGCTGGTTGTTCTTTCGAGGCAAAGAAGTCTCCGTCGGACGACGACTGCCCGGGTCTCCAGTTCAGGGGATTCCTCCAGGGAGCTGATGGAGGTGGTGCCTTGCCAGGTAAGGATATCACACACTTGGGTGCCTGGATATTCTCCAACAGCTGGATGGCCTTGCAGCTTCGTAGCTGCTGTCATTTTCAGATTCCTGCATTGTGCAGAGGGTAGAGCTAGAGGACTGCTGGAGTCCATTCCTGATGGGCTCTTCAGAAGCACTGCCTCTTGCAGTTGGAAGCTACTGTATTCATTTTGGAATGCTCTCCCCAAGGAGATTCACCTGGCTCCTTCCTTACTTTCTTTTTGGCACCAGGCAAAGACCTTCCTTTAAAAAAAAAAAAAAACTAATTATCATAGATCTTTGCTTTGTATGTTTTGCTGTATTTTATTGTTGTTTTTAATGTGTAATGTGTTACGGGTTTTATTATGTTTGATTGCATTTTTATCTCATGTTGTTAGCTGCCCAGAGGTGCTGTGGCACAATTGGCTGGCATACAGATGTTTTAAATAAATAGATATTCGTGCATTTATGGGCACCGTCCTATTGATCGCACCCTTGGCCACTGGAAGCCCCCAGGCTCAGACATGCCTGGTTATCCAGTACATGAAGAGAAAACCAGTGGGAAGTGATGGGCATTTCCAAGGCCAGAGGGCAGCTGGCTTGGTTCTTCCCACGCTCCAGGGTTGGAGTGTGGTCTCCAGTCTTGGAAAAGAGGAATCCAGGCAATCCTGTGGTCCCCGGAGTGCTCACTCCTGAGCCAAAGGATTGCTCTTTCGAGCATTTCCTACCCAAGCTCTTCATTTCGAATGGGCCCCGGAGTGGTTTATGATAAGACAACGCTCGGAAAGCGAGCTTCTGGATTTAAAACAAAACAGACAGTCCAGGTTGCAGTCTAAAAAGACACAACCTAAAAGGGAAAAGAGGTGGCGGGAGGGGAAAGGAAAACAGGAAAATCCAAGCAGGATTTGTATGGTAATGTTCATAGGAGCATAAGAAAAGCCCTGCTGGATCGGACCCAAGGTCCAACCAGTCCAGTGGCAAAGCAGCTGTCCAGAGCATCCCTCCAGCAGGATGGGGACAAGGCCTCAGCAGTGGGTGTGCAATGTGTGACTGTGCGACAGTCGTGCACCTGTAACGGCTGCCGGGTTTATTATTTCCCTATTATTAAATGTATATTCAGCAAGTGAGCAGTCCAACAGGACTCTCTGAGTAGGTTATTTGTTGATCAGAAGCTGTTGGCCCTCTTCTCACCAGCTGAAAAGAAGCAGTTGTTGTTGTTGTTGTTGTTGTTGTTTCAGCTGAGCCAGAGGAATAGCCCAGCTTTGTCTTTTGTAGCCAATGGAATGGCTGCTGGATGACAGCTGGGCAGGAGCAAAAGCCGTTGGCGTTTGACTGGCTGTTTGGTATCACAAGAGGGCGAGTCATCAGCAGGCTGCCTTTCCTTATTAAAGGGGCAGGATGTCAGTTTCCTGGAGAGGCCTCTAAGCTATAATTTTGATTGCGGAGACAGATTGAGAATTAATAATTTGGAAAAAAAAACCTTTAAAAAGAGATCAGCTTACTTAGAATTCAAAACAGTAACACATATTCTTTGTATCCTCACAGTGTTTTCGAAATAGATTCTTTCTGTTCAGAATCCCAAGTAATTTGATTCCTTATGAAGAATTAAACATTTTTCCGGAGGCTCCTCTCAGTGCCCTGAGGGGCTAAAGCAGTGTTTCCCCAACCCTGTGCCTCGGAATATGTTTGTTTGTTCGTTTGTTTAAAACTTTTCTATACCATCCCGCACTTAAAAGTCTTGGAACTGTTTACAGTATGTTGGGGCTACCATTCCCATCAGGGGTTGGTGGGGCTTGTGTACTCAGTACATCTGGATGGCACCAGGTTGGAGAAGGGTAGCCTAAAAGTGTGAAGGCCCATTTGCAATGTGATCGTCCATATTCGCTCCAAGCAGAGTGTGTGTTTTTAATGGGAAAATCTCTGAGCTGGGAGCCTCAGTAAAAGCCTGCTTCGATCCTGGATTATCACCTTCCCGAATTTTTCACAGGCAGCGCAGCGGCATCTGAGAAGCACTCTGGATCCCCTTCTTTTAGTTTTGGTGAGAAAATGGCTGCCACACTGCCTGCTCAGGTAGGTCAAAGATCCTTAGGAAGATGTTCCCTTAAAAATCCCTTATATTGGGATGGGCGACTTTAGGCCCACTGGTCAAATCTTAACTTCCTGGGGAACCAAGGTGGCATTCAAAGTTTCCCCAGACAGCCTCGCCCCCTCTGCTCGATCTGCTGATAATTGGGTAGTCTTCCTGCATTTGCAGTTTTCTCTGCTCTCTGAAAAGTTGGTATTGCTTCTCATGAGACCTAGCAACTTGCCTTAAATGCTTTAAGGCAAAATATGCTGACATGTGGGGTATTTTGGTCCTGCCCACCACTGGAAGACGGCCCCTGAGAACTTCTCTTGGATTGGAAGAATCTCCCCATTTCAGCCTCATATAGTGATGTAGAACTCAATTCTCCAAGGGGTGGTGCTCATGTAGTCAAAACAAAATGCTTCATATTCAGGAGGGAGTTATTGGCAGGCCTAGCAGAACCTCAGAGACTGTACAAAAGCACAAAAGCATTTTAGGAAAAAACGTAAGAAACCCCCCCACCCCAATGGTCCTTGGAAGACTGAGCATGTTCCATTAACACAGAGTGGTGTAACTCTTGAAAGGGAATTGAAAACCTGGAGGCTGGGGTGATGGAACAAGGCAGAACAGAGCATTCCAAAAGCGGGCCTGAGGAGCAGTCAACCCTGCAGTGTTTTGTTGCAGTTCACACTCTTTGTTCCCAAAAGAAGGTCTTCCTTTTCCCTCCTTTATTTTGTGTGCTTTGAGAAAATCAAAGTTGCCCACGAAGAAAGCCCTGAATTTCATGGATGTGGCCAGTCTAAAGTCCTGAACCTTATGGTGCGTGTGTCTTATGTGTGTGGGGAACCATATTTACCCGTGCTGTAGCATATCTTGTTAGATTGTGATAGAAACAGAGCAAGTCAGAAGGGGTCTCCTGAGTCATCTAGTCTGACCCCCGGCTCCAGCCGGCTCCGCTCACCACATGCCCACCATGTGCATGTCTAGCCTATCTTTGGACACCCACACCGATGGGGCCCCAGCCACCTCCCGTGGAAGCCCGTTCCACTCCCTGGGGGTCCTAACTGTCAGGAAGTGCTTCCTGGCATCCAAATTGAACCTTGGTTCCCTGAGTCTGGCCCCGTTGGAGCACGTTCTGCCCTCCTCTCCAGGGGAAAACAGGTCTCTACCCACCTCTGTGAGACACCCCCCCATGTACCTATATGTTGCCAACAGATCCCCTCCCTGATGAAAGGAGAAGGTGCATTTTCAATTCTTTGAGATGATCAGCTGGGAAGAAAACTTGCTTTTGTGGTGTGTAACAGTAAAGTGCTGAACCAGTGCCACAACTGCCCAGGAGTCTCCCGGGGGAGAAAACCCAGGCCCCCAACACCCGCAAGGAGTTGAACCCACTGGAATTCAGCACATGATGACCCAAGTTCTTGGGGAAGCAGAAACTTTGCAAAACACAGACAGTAGGAGTGGAGACATTTTTAAAAGGGCACAGAATGCAGACACATGCAAAAGGGGAGGGGGAAAGGGGGGGAACGGACAGCAGTATGCAAAATATAAATTAAAGGTTTAAGCATCAAATCTCCAGCCTTTTGGCCACCCTTGACCTAAAATAATCTAGCCTATGGCTAAGAACCAGCAGAATACTTAGCAAGCTTTCTCAGAAGTAGCAAACCAAAGCCTCCAGCGGCAGGCGGGATGTCGCTCTCAGAAAGGGGGCGCCGTTGGCTAGCTTGAAAGCCCGTCTTTTATTCCACTCGCCTCCACCCCCCCCCCCCCCGCCGCAGTCAGGACTGTTATTCCCCTGAGGTGACATCTCCTGGGCCTCCAGGTGGAATTCATCAACGAGGGGGAGGGCCAGTCCTTGGGAACCTGATCAATGTTTTTCCTCTCCTCCCTCTGCCCAGCTGGCGCCGGCGCGGCCTTGGCCTTGAAGCCACCTGCGCTCTGTGCGCCTGGAACGGGCCTTAACCCTTTCTCCCTCTTCGCTACATGGCAGTTTTCTCTCTTTCAGGGCCTGGTGACTTTCGAGGAGACGGCTGTGCGCTTCACCGAGGGGGAGTGGGCCTTGCTGGATCTAGGCCAGAGGGCTTTGTACAGGGAGGTCATGCTGCAGAATTATGGGATGGTGGTCTCTCTGGGTAAGGGATTCTCTGCCTCCTTTCAGAGCCCACGAGAGTGGCACAGCCTCACAGATCCGTCGGAAACTGCGTCGTACTGCTGAGAAGTGCTAGCACGACATCGCCAGCTTATGGTGACCCGATGAATGAAAGCGATACTTTCCACGTTCGTGGCTCCATATTAGCTGTTCCCAAATGGCAGGGGGTCTCCTGGTTTTTGACAGAGGGAGGCTTTTCCCCGATCGATTCAGTGAAATGTCCCTCTGAGTGAGCACGTGTGCAGTGCATTAAATTACTGGCAAATAGACCTGATCCATGCAGTTTAGGGTAGCCCTTACTTTGTCACAGCAAAGCCCTCAGGCACGTGTGTGTAACTGTCTGGAGCTGGACACACACTGAGCTGCCCCGTCTGCTGGCATTCTGAGGCACAGCCCGAAAAGGGACCTGTCCCATGGGGTGCGGGGGGGGGGGTCAGTCTCTCAGCCTATTAACCTCCCCCAGCTTCAGACAGGATGAATCGCAAAGCTGTGTGCTGGTTAAGGAATTCTTCCCCTAGTGGCTGAAGATGTTATATGTTTCACTTGTATGCATAGGAACACCTTAAATTTGCATCCATGCTTGTTTAAAACAAAATAAACCTGAACTGCATGCTCCTAGTGCCCCCTTAATATACACGCCAAGTTGCACGGGTCTAAGTTACACCGTCTTGGTGCAAGGGCGCTCATGGATGGACAGACAGACACAGAGCTATAACAACAGCCACTTGCTTTGAAAAGGAGACCGAGCAATTGGAACGGGTTCAGAGGAGGACAACAAAAGCGTCAGGGTGACGGAAGGCACATCCTAAGAGGCAGGGTGGAGGAATGGGGAGAGGCCCGATAACACCTGTCCAACATTGGAAGGGCTGCTGTCACATGGGAGGCAATGAGCCGTTTTCTGCCAGTGCCCCCCAGGGCAGGCCTAGATCTAATGGGTTTAACTTTAAGAGGGGAGATTTGGGGTAAACATTAGGAAATATTTCTTGGTTGCCAGAGCAGTTTGACAGTTGAGGTAGTTCCCTCGAAGGCTGGAGGTCTTCAGGTAGAGCTTGGACGGTGGTCTGTTCAGGATTCTCCAGTACTCTGGGGTCCCGCAATGGCCACACGCCCATCTGTGCCCCACTCCCTTTCCCACATCCACTGGTAATTTGCTGGTTTCCCGGGTTTTGTGCAGTTTTCTCTCTGTTTAAAATGTCGAAGTGCTTCTCCCAAGGCTTAATGACAGACTCTGGGGGTGCCACTGTGGCACAGGGGCAGGGGCGTTTGACTGGGACTCAGAAGACCCAGGTTCAAATCCCCGCTCTGCTGGGTCTTTTCCGGGAAGCTCACTGGTGACTTTGGGTTGGTCCTGGACACTCAGCCTAACCGACCTCACAGGGTTGTTGTGAGGAGAAAAATGAAGGTGGTTAAGTCTGTAGGAGGGTTCCTTAGAAGGGCAAAAAGGCAGAATATGCATGTATTAATTAAAATTGAAGATGCTTATTTTTCATGTTTGGGCTCCATGCCTTTTCCCTTTGGCCCTGTCTCTTGCATTCAGTCCTGTCTCCCAGAACCTCTCTGAAATTGAATTGACCTCCAGCCCCACTCCTGGTTTATAAGCCCTGAATGGCAGCAGCAGAGCAGGGAGTCTTAGTTACCTATTCAATGTATTTATTGGATTTTATCTTGTCCTTCTCTCTGCGAGGAACCCAGGGCAGCTTTACCTAACCCTTCTCTCCATTTTCTCCTCGCAGCAACAACCCTGTGAGGTAGCTTAGGCTGAGGGTGAGTGACTGGCCCCAAGCCACCGAGGGAATGTCATGACTGAGCAGGGACCCAAACCTGGATCTCCTGAGTCCCTGCCCAGCACTCTGACTACTAGGTCATGCTGGCATCATGGCCGTCCTTTGGGATTTTTTTCTTTTCTTTTATAACTTCTTTTATTTATATTTATATTTATATATATATATATATATATATATATAAATTTTAATTTTATATTATTTTGTATTGTATTTTATTGTGTTGTAAGCCGCCCCAAGGCTTCAGCAAGGGGCGGCATAGAAATGTTCTAATAATAATAATAATAATAATAATAATAATAATAATAATTTGTAACAGGTGAGAGTTCTGGCATTTGCTTGTTTCTTGTTTCTCTAGGCACTCTGCTGTTCCCCAAACCAAAACTCATCTGCTTGTTGGAAGAGGAGGAGGAACTAAATGGCTGGGACACTGAGGAAGGAACAATATTGGCAGGTAAGAGTGGTGCCGGTGACGGATTTTTGTTGCTTAGAGTGGCGGGACCCTTCGGTGGGCTCTCGAACTTCCCCAATTTTGTTTTCATCTCTTCAGGCTAAAACTGATCCATTATGTAGATCAACCTGGTACCCTTGAGATGCTTTGGACTACAACTCCTGGTATGCCTGACCATTGGCCATGCTGGCCAGGGATGATAGGCTTACATGTACAATATTCAGAGGACAGTAGGCTGGGAACTGATGTTCTAGGCTTTGTGTTCTCGTGGCTCCTGGGCCTTGTGCCTTCATGCCATTCCCTGTTTCTGTTTCTTTTTTGTACATGCACAGAAGAGTTGCGATGTCTGAAATGATTTTAGCCCCTCCCTCCCTGCTGGTTAGGCATTTTCCATGCTTGACCTTGATGCTGTTTCAGTCTGCCCAGAAGTATTTCCTGTTTCTTCTGTGGGGCTTTCTTCTTTTCTAGAAATTAGCATCATTCTCACAAATTTTCTGTTAATTTTTCTGTTTGTAAACTGCCTTGAAAAGCATTCTTGATGAAGCAGGATAGAAATATATTGAATAAATGAACGAACAAACAAACAAACAGGGAGTGAATCTCAATCACACACTAGTATGTACCCTTTTCCTCATCCTGTTCTGTAGGATTGCCTTACTCAGCTGCTTTATACCAGGGGTACAGAAACCTAGGCCTGGAGACCAAATCCAGCCCTGTTGGAATCCTGACCTGACTGTCTGGGAATCCTAAATGGCCCCCTCCTCTTCCTCCACCCCAGATTGTTTGGCAGTGTGGAAGAAGCATTGTCAAATACAAAGAAAATGTTCACTCATATCTTAGTGTGGCAATCCATCAGACCTTTGTTAAGTGAAATACACATGACAGCACAGTAGCGAGAGAGTTTTCTGAACAAGTCCAGAAAGGTTGTCTCTTGATCTCCATCAAAATACAAGTTTTCTTATGAACTGGAGTAGAAACCTAAGCCAATTGCAAAAGCAGAAGTGACAGTGGTACAGGAAGTTTCCAAATTTATTGGGAATTCCTATAGCAGAGAGACAGGAAACAAATACTAATTTGAGTCCTTTCTTTACTCCAGGATGGACAAGGGGAAATGAAAATGATTTATATGAGGCTTTTGCAGAAAGAACCAAGAGTCAAGATGCAAAGCAGATTTTTGTGAATGAAGATGGACTGAAGATGCAGGTTGTAAAACCAGCAGTGAAGTGGAAGAATGAATTCCTTTATTCTCAAGATATCAAATATCATGAAATCTTATTCCAACCAGAACAATACAAAGGAAGGAGAAGGAATGAATGTACTGTGTGTGGGCAAATCTTCAGTCATAAATCAAGCCTTGTTACTCATCAGAGAATCCACACAGGTGAGAGACCGTATAAATGCACAGAATGTGGGAAGAGTTTCAACCGGAGAACACGACTCACTTCACATCAAAGGCTGCACACAGGGGAGAAACTGTATAACTGTTCAGATTGCAGCAAGAGCTTTTGTGAAAAATCTAGTCTTAATGCCCATCAGAGAATTCACACAGGAGAAAAACCCTTTAAATGCTTGAGCTGTGGGAAGAGCTTCAGCCGTAGCTCAAACCTTATTGCTCACCAGAGAATTCACACAAGGCAGAAACCCCGTAGCCATTCCAAAGCTGGCAAGGGCTTCTCATTTCAGTCTAAGCATGTTTCACAAGAGAGAATTTGTACAGCAGAGGATCTGTGTAATTCCTCAAATTTTAACAAAAACATCTGTGATGAATCACGTTTTATTGAACAAGAAATCTATGCAGGAGAAGAAATGTATAAATGTTTTGACTGTGGAGAGATCTTCAGCAAGAGCTCAAATCTTTTTACACATCAGAAAAATCACTTAGAAGAGAAACCATATAACTTCTGTAATAGTAATTTCTGTGATAAATCTGGCCTTATGACACATCAGGGTGTCCACTCAGGAGAAAAAATGTTTAAGTGCTCCGTGTGTGAAAAGAGCTTCACTCGGAACTGGAGCCTCATTACGCATCAGAGATATCATAGAGGAGAGAAACCATATAAATGTACAGACTGCAGTGAGAGCTTTTGTGATAAATCAAGCCTTATCAGGCATCAGAGAATCCATACAGGAGAGAAACTGTATAAATGCTTCATTTGTGAGAAAAGCTTTAATCAGAGCACAAACCTTTTTACGCACCAGCGAATTCACACAGGGGAGAAGCCCTATAAGTGCTTTGACTGTGGGAAGAGCTTTAATCAGAGCTCGCATCTTATCAGACATCAGAGACTCCATACTGGAGAGAAACCATATAAATGCTCAGAATGTGGGAAAAGCTTCACTCAGAGCCCTAATCTGATTAGGCACTGGAAAATTCACACCAGAGAGAATACTTAGTAACACTTTCTTTGTGTTATGAAAATGTGTCAGTCAGAACTCAAGGGTACAGCCCATCAGATGAAGCACCATCAGAGCGCAAAGAGCTCATGCAAAGGAGAAATGACTGCTAAGGTCATGCTTCAGAATGGTTTCACATGCACATCACAGATTATCATATCCCCTGACTTTTTCCTCAGGTGACTGCAGATCCTTCCTAATAGTTTAGGCAAGGTAGAACTTGAGTTGGAAATACAAAGGCTCAGTTTTTGGTAATGGTTGATGGGGAGTCTGAACAGATGATGACAAGAGATAGAAATGAGAGGAGTCTGTTTTTTAGAATGTCTTTGGTCTACTGACCCAATTTAAATTTCACCTGTTTGTGGTTTAAATTGTTCGAAATAGGTTCTCCCTGTCCCAAACCTTCTGCTTTGGGCTGGGTTAGCATCCTTTTCCATCCATCTGCTGCCCCATTTGGATTCCTCATTTTGCCAGGGAGCTGTCCAGTAGGGCAGAGCTGCTGAAGAGTGGAGAATCCATCCAACCAAGGAGCTGGTCAGAAGAAGGTGTTCCAGTAGTAGCATCCAGGTGGCAAAAAGGATTTTGTGGGCATCACAGGTGCCCCAAACATGCCTTGTGGAGCCATGATCTGGAGTAACTAATGGAGGAAGCTTCGCACTGCTGGGCACATGCTGAGCGTTATGGGCTGAGCTTTGACTTGGCAGTGATTCTGCCATGGGCATCTTGGGATGGTGCTGGAGGTTCGGGATCAGTTGTGTGTATAAGCCCTGAGAATGCCTCAGGGGCCCCTACACACGTGCACGCACACACACGCACACACACCCCTCCCCAACTGGGGCATCATAGAGGGTGCTGGTGCCATGGTGTTCATCTGGAGTCCCAGCAGTCTTTGCGACAGGAAATGGGATCCTCCTTCTCTGAGGAAGGGGAGGAGGTCTGTCCTGTCTGGACCGGGTCTAATCCACTAAGCACCGTTCTTAGAAGAAGGCATCTATGGAGCGATTTTATAAATAGACTGCTAGCTGAGAGTCCAAAGTCAACACATCATGCGTGGCCTAGAAGACCCGAATTTTGCAAATCATGCTGATCTTGAGAGAGTCTCAGGAAGGGTTACCCCATACCTGTTCTTTCAGATTGTATGATTGATTTAACAAATTTCCTCGCTGCCTTTCAAAACTGTAGACTTCCCAAGGTGGTCCATACTGTAAATCAGTAAAAATTAAATAGCAAAGTATAAAGCTACCTTTAATTTTAAAATTGCATAGAATAGACTGCAACTATGTAGATGTAACCAATGCAATAAAGCTGATTGTTTTTCTTACTAAGGTAAGAGGAACAGAGGGGCAGTCAATTAAGCACTGGAATAATTAGTTCATATATGTTTATTCATTAAATTCATTAAATTTCTTTCTCTCGCAAGGCAGTTTATAAGGTTCTCCTTTCTGCTTTATCCTCACAGCAACAACCCTGTGGGGTAGAATAGGCCCAAAGTCACACAGTGTCCCTCATGGCTGAGTGGGGACTAGAACCCCAACCTCCCAAGTCCCGGGCTAATGCTTAAACCACTGTGCCAGTTGTTAGTCTAGTAGGAGGCAAGGGAGAAAGGGCAGCTTAAAAAGATAGCATGCAAATAGGAAAAGAATTCTAGCCCAGGGATGCAGAGACCCAGCGGCTGAATTCCATTTCAGGAAAGTTTTTGGAGATTGCCCGTGGTAGGCAAGGGCAACCTGAACAAAAGGCTGAACAGACATCGCCAACTCTGCCAGTAACTAAGCCTTAGAAGATGCACTTCAATATTTAGAATGGGGGAAAAACTATCAAGGCTAGGGAACCATCCAACAGTCAGGATCATGGGGATGGAACCACCGTCTGGAACAATCCCTAAATTAGGCTCCAGGGTATGTAACTCTGCCCTCTGGAGATGGTGCTCGTGGGTTTTTCTTGCAAGGAATGTATAAAATGCTAAAAATGTAAGCAATGGGCAGCAGACATACAAATACGGAAAATAAAAGCGCACTTTCTCCCCCACCAGAAGTCTAAAATAGTGTGGTCCATTCACACACAGCTCCCTAATGGGGGAGAATTCTGCAGAAGCTGAATTGGACCTTTGATCATTTCAGCCTGGCAGTGATGGTGGTGAGGGCGAATTGTGATTTTGACTACTCAGGTGTGCAGACATAAATAAATCCAACTCCCCATGCAAGGAGAAATTTAGCACAGTAGGAAATGCACTGTGCTGGCTCTCCTTTCCCTGATGCGAAACCACACAGGAATCACATTAAAAAGGTGCTCACCTGGAGCTGAAAGGAATGTCTTTCCCTCTACCTCCCATTCATTTGCTCAGTCTGTAGATCTGCATTTCCAACAGCAACTGAATAAACCGCTCTGGGTGCCTACGAAGAGGCCAGGAAGGAGCTGGCCAACTAAGTGTTTTGTCACCAACATCTTTTGTTCCCCAGGTGTGTGACTTCTGTATGTGCAGGATGGGGAACACGTGTCTCTCACGGTTTTTTACTTTTCCCTGCCCCATAGCTCATCACACTTTCTTTCATGGTTACTAGTATTATTCATAGTACCTGAAGTTTCACATGCTGAGCAGTATACCACAGGGGCAATTTTCATGGGACAGAAAACCCGTCCCCTTCACAAACAGTGTAATGTACGTCACTTCCTTTTGTAAAGAACAAACGATTCCTAATAAATTTGTATCATCACATTTATTCAGCATTTTTATTTATGTATGTATTTTCCTTCAAATATTTATGTCCTGGCCTTCCAATGCATCCACTTTACTCAGAGCAGCTTATAACAATTAAAATTCGTTAACTGTATTAACAAATTGTAATATATTTGGTGCAGGAAACAACTGCAGTGTTAAGGCACAGTGTAAGGGATGGAAATACCGAAAGTATTCCATACGACTATATGGGACAAAGCACCAGATTTAAAAAAAAAAAAAAAACAGCAAGCAAGAAGACAAGTTTTGTAGAAGGAACAGGTAACAGTTAAGAGAGAGAGGAATGTTTTGTCTGGTAAGTTTTCTTTGGTGTACTTGAGCATAACAGGTCACTTGTAATTGCAACTTTTGAGGAAGGCCTAGGAGGCAGAGTTTGTCCTAACTTCATGCAAAGCTAATGCATCCTGCCCACTTGCTTATGTGTGAGTTAATACGAACTCAGTCGGACTGGCTTCTGAAGAATGCATCGATTGCACTGTTAATCTATTAGCCCCTGAAAATTTCACTAGCCTGTCTGCATAGACATACATGTTTGAATTATTTTTGGAATGATGGTGCTACTGAGGCATTACTTCCCCAGTTTGCAAAAAAGTGGAATTAAGCTAGAAGCTCCACAACTTACATGGCTTTAGTGACAGTTCTTCATGGCAATTCATAAGTATGACCCATTCGCCAATGGTCCTTTCCAATGTTAATAAAAAGCTTCCTGTTTACAGATTCTGGCTTTCTTCTTGTCCAGTGCAGTTGGAAGGATTAGGGATGAATTGCCCTATATTAGTCAAGGCTATGGTTTTCCCAATTGCAATGTATGGCTGTGAAAGCTGGACCATAAGGAAGGCTGAGTGCCAAAGAATTGAGGCCTTTGAATTGTGGTGCTGGAGGAGACTCCTGCGAGTCCCTTGGGCTGCGAGGTAATCAAACTGGGCAGCCCTAGAGGAGATCAACCCTGACTGCTCTTTAGAAGGCCAGGTACTGAAGATGAAACTCAAATACTTGGCCACCTAATGAGAAGGAAGGACTCCCTGGAGGAGAGCTTAATGCTGGGAACAATAGATGGCAAAAGAAGGAGGGGACGGCAGAGGATGGGGTGTCTGGATGGAGTCACTGAAGCAGTTGGTGTGAGCTTTGGTGGACTCTGGGGGATGGTGGAGGACAGGAAGGCCAGGAGAAGTGTTGTTCATGGGTCAGACACTATTTCGTGACTAACAACAAGTCAGCTCACATTCCCTGAAGGGTGGGTGTGACTCCTTTAATTAGTGGCTTCCTTTCATTTAATTTCATTTTATGGCACTACTTTGCCATAAAAGAAAGAAGCAAGTGGAAAATAATGGAACCAAACCTGCAATTAAAGCCACTTGCTCACCCATGGAGAGCAAAACCCGAAAAAGTTAGGGGCAATGTATAACATTCTTCTCAAGTCATACTGAATGGAAAATAATAAAACAGCCAGAACATGCATACAAGAAGCTTTTAATTGAAGGCACAGTATCATTCCTGAAAATCCTCAGCCTAACATTGTACTACTCCTAGCCAGAACCCAAATAGTCACGTATTAGGTCTGATAAAAAGAGAAAGAACAAGATGGAAAAACGAATGCAACAGGTTCACTGGATTCAAAAAAAAAAAAAAGTGAACAAATGTTAGAGTTTTTAGAGAACTGAGCAGATGAGCAAGCAGCCATACAGTATTCACATGGGAATCTCCTGTCTGCATTCTAAAAGTGGCCATGTCTGGAAAGGCCTCACCATGTGCCTTTGCTGCAGAAGTCAGGCTTTTAATCTTTGCAGCTAAGTTTGTATAAGAAAGGACTCGAAGCCGTACAGATAAGAAAAATAGGAGCTGCACATCCATGAGGTTCCAGCACTGGATGCTGGTGAGAAATGACCACATGCAGAATGAATAATGGCATTTGAAAATCAGGCGGAGCACCACAGAGATAAGAGCTGAGCAATTGAATTCCCTCAGCTGCATTGAGTGTGTTCACTGAGTTCATTGAGCTGTGCTAACCCCTGCAACTCGGATCACTATCCCGTTTTGTTCACTGCCATACTTTTTGCTGGAGAAGAGAGTGTTGTGGAACCTCAAAAAAGCACAAGGTGGTCATATCATTATCAGAATTTTTGTTGCCCCCGAGAATGGTGCGACTCATATTTCCAATGTTTTAAAACCCATTCCTTGTTGCTCTTTTGCAAGTACGCTCTTACAATAATGTACGCGGCTATATGATATTATGATCCTGCCTGGTGAGTTAAGAGAAGTGGTGAAATGTTGCGCTGTATGTCGTTGCGAGGGCCCAGTTGCCAAGCCGCCGAATGAAAAGCATCGATAAGGGGCAAACAGCGGCCAGAGAAGATGCACTGAAGGTCAGCTGGCGGGGAGTGGAATATCTCTCAGCAACATAATCCTCTCAGATCTAAGTGTTGAACAGATCGCTCTTAGCACTGCCTACCTTATCAACAGTTCCCCGAGTCCACCCCAGAAATTGGAAATATTAACCCCCCCCCCCCCGGCCACACACACACACTTTTTGCCGTTCCTTTTTGGACTGCTTGCTGTTCCAGTCACTGCAATTCGACAGTGCTGAACCCTCCCCCCCCCCCACCACAGAAACAGACACAAATATAATCGTGAGGAAGTAAATGGAAGGGGATTTGCACTACTTTAAGGGTGGTGAAGTAAATGGGAGATCTGTGCAGCTGCAGTAAAGAAACAGTGCAAATGTGCAACACCTCTACTATTATTACATTTCTATACTGCCCACAGCCAAAGGTCTCTGGGCATTTTGCAACATTAAGTCACCCATCCAGATTTCAACCAAGCCTGACCCTACTTAGCTTCCGATATTAGGCAGGATCAGGCACTTCAGGCTATGCAGAAGTTTGTATTTACCTCTACTTACTTCTTAGTCATTAATTTGCATGCATTCCTGTGATTTTCAAAAGCTCAGAAAACTGCAGTAGTACCTACTCTGAAAAAGAGTTTTGAAAAGTGTGTGCGGGCTGTGTGTGTTAATATCTCCTTTTCTGAAGTAGCTGGAGAATGAATCAGAGAAGTGTTGAAGGATGGAAGCCACCTGAATTCTGCCATGGTGTTTCAGTATGGCTCAATGGGTGTTTTAGAAACCACAATACAAACAACAACCTGTTCTAGGATTTCTATGCTTCACCGTGGTTTCCCTGGTCATTTGAACCAAGCATCGTGGTTTCCCCAGTCTTGGTATGCAGCTACCACAGAGTCCCCTGGAAAGAAGAGGGGTTCTGTGGGAGCTAATTCAGCCGTCCAACATGGGATGGCATTTCAAGTGTGGTGGCTGATGGGATATGTGCCGACAGTGGGAGGACTGAGCAAGGAGGGTGGAAACCACACTAGCATAGGAACCATGTAATGGTCTGTTGGACACACCCGGGCCAAACAAACAAACGAACGAACAAACGTGCACCAGGGAAACCTTGCAGGGTTGCTCGTCGTGATGCGTAGCCCAACTGCTCAGAACTCGCAGTTCAGTATTTAAGTCTGAGAGAACCACGTTGCCAAGATATCTAGCCCATCTTTTGCTGCACATCATCCAGTGGCTCTCCCACCTCCATCCGTGGTCCCAACTTGTGCTATCAGGCCCCTCCTCTTTCTTACCGTTACATCTCCCCTGGTCTTTTGCCACTGTGCACAAATTAGCTGCTGGGAAACCTTGCCTTGTTCATATGCACATTGTTAAGTGTTCACTTGCAAAAGACCACCGCCCTAGCAATAATAACAATGATAGCGGTGATGACGGCTCCAGCTGCACTTTTTTGAAGCACTGAAAGAAAGGGAAGCTGCATAACAAGGGAGGAGTCTTTGGACAGTTCTCCAGCCAGTCTCAGCAAGCCGCAATAAAATTTTTCTGCTGAGTTCAGATGGCATAACAAGCCACCCCAGGGATCCACAGTCCCGAAACAACTCACAGGTTCTCTGGGAAGTTTGTTCACACACACAGCCATACTGCAGATACTACATGCTGGGTTATTGTGTCATGTGAACCAGGTTATTGTGTTTCTCTTTTAGAAAGGGTTGCTTACAATGGGAATCACATCCAGATCTATGTGTTAGCTGAGACCATATGGTTAGTGAAAAACATTTTCTGTCTGGAGCACCAAAAAGGTCAAAATTAGCTTGTCTGCAAGCTAAATTTGACCTTGTTGTCACTCCTAACCTTTTTAATTTTTTAAAAACTAATTTTTGGATTGCCCAAAAGAATACAACTCATGGGGAGTCCCGGGGGTGAAAATGGTCTCCAGAGCTGAAGTTGCCCATCTCTCATCTGTTCTTTCCTTGTGACCTGATAATTTTATAAAGGTAGTTTTCTAATTTTATTCTTAGATGAAGGGAGTATTGGTTGGCAAAGATTTAAACACTTTCTCTAAAAGTACCTGCAGAACTGAGAGATTCTACAGGTGCTTGCATGTTTCTGAACAAACGGGCACTCATTCATAGGTTGCTACACTGGACTGATAGCCTGTGTGAACCCTGATTTTTAGTAAGGTGCACAATTCCAACACAATCTCTTCCACAACTCTGAAATGTTATAAAATGCCTTCTCCTATGTGGATTTTCTGATGTGTGATAAGGTATGACAGACTAACAAATCTTTTGCCACAGTCTGAGTATTTACATATTTTTTTCTCCTATGTGGGCCTTCTGATGCCTGATTAGTACTGAACGTTGGAAGAACACCTTCCAACACACTGAGCACTTGTATGGTTTTTCTCTTGTATGAAGCCTACAATGTCTGTTGAGGCTTGATTTATCACTGAATTTCATGCTACAGTCTGAGCATTCATATGGTTTCTCTCCTGTGTGGATTCTCTGATGACCACTAAGTGCTGTGCCCTGAATGAACTCCTTGCCGCAGTCAGCACATTCGTATGGCTTTTCCCTCACATGAGTTCTCTGATGTCTCAGGAGGTGTGCACTCTGGTTAAAAGTCTTCCCACAGCCTGAACATTTATATGGCTTCTCTCCTGTGTGGCTCCTCCGATGTGTGATGAGGTTCGCAGTGCGGCTGAACCTCTTGCCACAGTCTGAGCATTTGTAGGGTTTCTCCCCTGTGTGAATTCTCTGGTGTCGGATGAGATTTGATCTGGCAAGAAAGCTTTCACTGCAGTCTGGACATTTGTATGGTTTCTCTCCTGTGTGAATTCTCTGGTGTCTATTAAAGCTTGATTTTGTACTGAAGCTTTTCCCACACATAGTGCACAAACTCCTTCCCTTTCCTTTGTGCATCCTTTGTTGGAGTGTTATTTCACAGATGGCATCTTCTTTGCCAGCAGTAGATTTTCTTCTCCACTCATCTTGCTCTGATTTATTTTGATTCACAAAGCTCTCCTCCAGCTCTGCACCACGGGTTCTTTGGGATGCCATCCCCTGTGACTCCCCATCAGGGTCATTCACCCACCCGTCATTTCCTGAAAGAGCAACAGAACCAAATTACAACACAACCCTCTACAGGGAGCACTATGTAGGCGTCCCTCTGAAGATTAGCAATGCGCCTAGTTAATCGTAAACCTAACGGTGTTCCAGAAAAGAATGCGCTCCCCAGAGAGGTCCGCCTGGCGCCGTCATTATTTGTTTTTCGGCGCCAGGCAAAGACCTTTTTATTTAAGCAGCATTTTAAATGTTAATATTATTAAATTTTATCTGGCCAGGGCGGCTTATTTTATATTGTATATTTGTATTTTATTTTAATGTATATATTTTAATGATCTAACTTATTGTTGTAAGCTGCCCCGAGGCTTTGGCGAATGGGGCGGCATAAAAATGTTTTAATAAATAAATAAAATAAATAAATAAAAGTCCAGGTTCTAATATTACTAGAAATTCAGGTCTGTACACAGCTAATAGTTCTCTTCTTACCCCCGCCATTCCATGCCCTACAATGGCTTTGATATTGATGATACGTCAGAGAACAGATCCTAGGTATCCCCCAGTTAAAAAAAAATAATTAAAATGTTTTAATACACATATATAATCTGTATGAAATCCATACAACTTTCAAAGAAGTTCATAACAATTATACATAGGCTTCAACAAAGGCAGGCCTAAAAGATCGTGCCCTGAGGTGTTTTATCTTCCACCTTTTCACCAAGGAACTGGCACCAACTGACAACAACAAGAACCAAAATTTAAAATAAATATTTAGTTAAAACAAGCTTAAAGCAAATAAATAAAAAACAAAATTAAAAAAAAACAATAAAATTAAAACCCAGCTCAAATATAAAACCCCTTTATATGCACAAGGCCTGCTTGAATAAAAATGTCTAATCCTTCAGCAAAGAGTAGCACAGATGGGGCCAACCGAACCTCCTTCAGCTAGTTTGGCCCCCTCCTTCAGTTCTGGATCCTAGGGGTAGCCACCAAGAAGGCCCTGTCTTGTTTCTCCACCAACTTTGTCTCTGGTAGTGCAGAAACCAGAGGAAGGGCCTCCCTGGAAGATTTTAAACCCGGACATGGGAGAATGAGATCTTTTGCAAAGCCTGGTCCCAAACCAAGCTATATTATCCAACTGCAGAAATAAAATCAAATTCATTCCTGCTGCCCTGAACTGAGTGCTAAACTCACTGATTTGGGAACGAGTGTTATTTTGTTGTGGGAAGGCACAATATGCTTCTAAAGTTACAAAAATACTAAAAGGAGCACTTGTAACCAATCTCTACTTAAATACCCCTGGTGAAAGATGTCCTACCACCGCCCAAGAAAGTGCACTTCCCTGTCAGAGTACAGAGCTACAAATTTTCTCCTAATTCTTAGCTGGAATCTGCTTCCCTGCCACTTCTGCCTCTACGTTTAGAGCACCAAGCCTGTTCCATCTTTGCCAGGGCACCTTCAGAGCTATTGAGGGCTGAGGCGTCTTGTTTGAAGCTTCTCTTCTCCAGGTGAAACACGCCGGTTCTTCCAACTGTTCTGAAAACACAGCCAATCCCTTACCTAGCAAGCGGGCCTCCTTTCCCCCCTCTGTCTTGATCTCTCCGATGTGCCACCTCTGAGCAGTTTCCGATGTAGCTTGTGCTGCATCTAGGAAACTCACAGCGACCTCTGGGATCGATCCCTGCACCTGTGGGAGCAGGAAACATGGATTTTCTGATTTGTAGGAGCCGTTTCTAGTCTAGCCGGTATGATTAGTATTACTACTTACATTTCTATAGCCATAACTCCCTGAGAGGTCCGCAAATATAAATAAAACAATACATTTACAACATGGTTTATCCTGCCCTTTTCCCCCATGGGAAGAACGCAAGGCCTCCTCCTCCTCCTTTCATCTTCACAACAGCCCTGTGAGGTAGGTGAAGCTGAGTCAGCAAATGGTCAAAAGGTCCCCAGTGGCTGAGCAGGGACTAGAACCTGGTTCAGCTGAGTCTCAGTCCCACACTCTTAACAACTGCACCACAGTATGATAAAATATCATATAAAACCTTTAAAAGCTTAACCCACAGGAAAAAACAGCAGCAGGGAAATATCTAAAATCATAACCTTGTATATTTCAAAACAAAACAGAACCAAAAAAACCCCGGGAAATTTTTAAAAAATCTTTCCACGGTTGCTGAAAGATGTAGGTGCCAGGCGGGCATCTCTGGGGAGGGCATGCCAGCATTCCGTGCCTGAGGTGCTACCACCAAAAGGGCCTCGTCCTTGGAGGAAACAGGAGACTGCCTTTTGCAGGACTTTCGCAGCAACTCTCACCTCCTCCCCCTGATTCCCGCTCTCCTGCCGCCTCCGTAGGAAATCCTCTGCGAGGGCCACTGCCTGGGCGGAGGTGCCTGGGCCCCTTTCCTGCACCCACTTCTGCATGTCTGGGGGCAAGATGGCCAGGAACTGCTCCAGGATTAGCACCTCCACCATCTGCTCCTTCGTCCGCTTCCCCGGCTTGAGCCACTGGTAGCAAAGTTTGTACAGCTGCTGGTAAATCTCCCGGGGTCCCTCCGCCTCTCTGTAAGAGAACTCCCGGAAAAGCCGGCGCTCTTGGTCTGCGCTGAGGACACCTTGCCTCTTTCCCTTTGCCTTCCCATAATTCCCTCTGTCTCCAGGATCCGGTAAGTCGGACACCTGCTTGGCCGGTTCCCAAAGGCCTTGTCCAAGCCGACTTGTTTGCTCTCTTCCTCCTCCTCCCACCTGGGGGCTGGTAGGCATGCCTTGCTCAATGGGGACCGATGCCTTCGTGGTCTCGCCCCACGGTACCGTTTCAGTGGGCAGTTGTGGGATTCCTGCTCCGGAGTGGGGAGACTGAGCCACCTTGAAATCTCGCCGTTGGGCCTCCAAGCTCGGTGACAACAGTGCCGCTTCCAACTCCCGTCTAATGGGTTGTGGCGGCAGCCATTCTGGAAAACGACCCAAGGTCTCCCCAGGAGCGATGTGGAAAGGTTCTCCGGTTCCCTCACTGAGTCCAGCCTCCACTCCGCCTCCTTCCGGCTCTCCTTTCTCCATATTAACTTCCTAGCTTCACACTCTGCCCTGGTCAGCGGGTGGAACTAAAGGCTTGGGCCAGGAAGGTCACCCAGCCCACCGCTGACCATGACGGCCCCGATCCCAGCTTAATTGGGTGCCTCCATCTCTTCCCAGAGAGCTGAGAGTGACATCAGAGCAAGGGACGACCCCAGAGGACCAAGAGCAGGTTCTTCCCAGCAATGCTTGGCATCAGCCACACCTGCAGGTAGCAGCTGCTGGCCTTGCTCCTGAGAACACAAACAAGAGAAGGCCAGTGCAGTGAGTAGAGTTGTGTTTATTTATTTATTTATTTATGAATGAGATTTCTATCCCGCCTATTCTCACAAAGACTCAAAGCATCAGCCTCCTCCTCCTGCTCTCAGTCTTATCCCTACAACAACAACCCTGTGAGATAGGCTAGACTGAGAGTCTGGGACTGGCCCAAAGTCACCCGGTGGGCTCCATGGGGACTCAAGTGGGGACTTGAACCCGGATCACCTCAGTCCCAGTCCTGGCATCTTAACCACTACACCTGGCTCACTATTATAAATCATTTCTTTCATTGCTTTTATTTCTATCCTAACGTTCCTCTCTCAACTGGTGCTTAAACTGGAGAATGATAAAATCCAGACTGAAAGCAATCCTAGTGCAAATAACAGAACAACAAATATATGAATGACTCAATAAAAAGCAATGATAAGAGAACTAGCAGTACCCAGCCAGTGAAAACTCAGTGCCCACCCCTTCAGCAACTAACTGGCTTAGATGCCAAAGGCTTGCCTGAATGAAAATGCATGGGGGAAAAGAGGAAGCTTCCCAGGGGAGGCTCTGCAGAGTCCTCAGTTATAGGGAGCAGCCCCGTGGTGACGTCTAGGGGACATGGGGCTTCTCCCTATAACTGATCCGCGTCTAGGGTTTTGAAAAGGGAAAGCCACCCTGGCTACACTGCAATATTTGTGGCGATGATTTGCTTCTGCGTGTCTGGCACCGGGTTCAACCAGGATGCGCTCAGGCGGCGGGGCTGGCCAAGTCCCCCTTCCTGCCCCAAGCCCCACTGCCGGGGCTGGATGGCCCAAGGGTCAGAGCCACCCGGAGGCGGCCGATGCCCGGGCCCGCCTGCGCTGCCCGCCTTGCCTTGCCTTCCCCAGCCAGAGGCACCTTCCACTCACGCGGCCCCCGAATGCAACCAGCTTCTCCCCGCAGGAAATCCAAGGCGGACCCAGCTTGGCGGGCGGGCGGGCAGGGCAGAAAGATGCCTTCGCTACGGACAGCCCCCTCTCGCCTGCATTTCCTGCCTTGCTAGGCGGGAGGGCTCTGTCCCTTTAACCGCGAGGGAACCGAGAGGCAGCGAGGGGCGGGCGGCTCGCCCGTTCTGCGCCGCTTTCGATGCCTGCGGAACGTAGGTCGTTTCTGCCTCCCGGTGCATCCCTTTGCGTCCATTGTTCTCTTTATCCGGCTGAAGGAGAGGGAGAGGGTGGATCCGGATGGAGGAAGAAGGGAAGGAAAAAAGAGGGAACCCAGCTGCGACCCCTAGGTGATTCTGAGGACTTTTCCCACGCGGGTTTGCGTGAGATAGAGTGAATCAAGTGCCAAGCGCTTGCAGCCTGCAAAACCGCCCCGGGCTTGCGGTCCGCTGCCTAGCCCCAGTTTGCAAGCCCAGCCATGAGAGATTTGGTGACATGAGAGACGAGGTCTTGTCCGTGGTGGCACCCTCGCCGCAGAATTTTCACCCAAGCGTGATGCATCTGGACCTGCTTAATTCACGTGGCTTCCTTGTAAAGGTTCCTCGGTGTTGATTTGAGGTTTGTTTTGGGTAGATATCTAAAAGTGATTGGGTAGCTTGTCTTGTTCTAGGCTCCCGTGTTAAATTCATGAAGTGATTTCTTTCATGGAAATGCAATGGTTTGTTCTGTGTTTGCATGCCGTCATGCAAGGGCCTAGCTCTAAAAAGTGGCCTAAACGTATTTAAAACAAACAGAAATAAAATTATTTAAATAAAATGAACTTTAAAAAAAAGAAAAAGAAAGCAAAATAAACCAAAATGAAATAGTAGACAACACTAGCACAGGACAGAGCTGCGTTTAGACCAGCACACTGTGTTCAAGTTTGGTTTGAATTCTTTCCCTGGCCATTAAACATCCTGCAAAATTAAACCCACACATACTTTATAAGATTGCTGTGGTAGAATAGAGGGAATTACATGCTTTCCTTTTGCCTTTGCTCCTTGGAGCAGGGTAATAGATCCCCTTCTCTCAAGCACGAGACCAAAGGACAAGTGGATCACTCTCAATCCACCCTGTTTTCCTGCCTAGCAGAGAGATATGGCTTCTTCAGAGGTCTGAACAGATCCCTTAGAGAGGGTGTCTGAAATCGGATCCACCCCAGCTGTAGAGGAATGACAGACTGTAAACCATTGATGCTGCAGGGGATCTTTGCAACTGACCTATATTCTCAATTTCAGGCATGTTTTTATTAACCATTTATTTAGAAACACAGAAACAGAGCAAGTCAGAAGGGATCTCCGGGGCCATCTAGTCTGCCCCCCCCCCCCCCCGGCTCAGTTCATGACATGCCAGAAGCAGCTAAGCAAGCATCCGCATCCTTTTCTTTTCTCACAGCAGCCCTGTCAGGGAGGCTGGCATGTGGAATGAATTGTTTCTAGCATAATTGATCCTTGTATCCTAAGGTGCACCACTCGAGGCATTCAGTTTCTATGACAATATATGTTTTTTACTTATGTTTACATGTGTTGTGTTGGTGTCTTACCGTCAAAACCGACCGTGACCATCCTGCCTGGACCGTAGGCAGGGAAACCCGAAGGCGTAAAAGCAAGACCAGATGTGAGATGGATCCATTTCACAGCCACGGTCCTGAGTTCGCAAGGGCTGAGCGGGATTGTCACGGACGAGCCATTTTGGAGGGCTTTCACTCATAGGGTGAGTGAGTCTCAGGTGGACTTCGTGGCCAGGAGCGCCTTCTTTCAGCTATGCTTAATTTACCACCTGCGGCCCTACCTGGGCAGGCAGAGCCAAGCCACAGTCACCTGCTCTCTGGTAACCTCTTGACTGGGCTACTGTAATGTGCTCTACGTGGGGCTGCCCTTGAAGACAGTCCAGAAAATTCAGCTGGTGCACAATGGGGCAGTGTGACTGCAGACACAAGCAGGAGCACTTGCCCATGTGACCCAGATGCTTTATCACCTTCGTTAGTTCCCAGTTGAGGTCTGGGCCCAATTCAAGGTGCTTGTTCTAACATATAAAGTCCTAAATGGCTTGGGACCAGAGTACCTGAAGGGTCCCTAAGATCAGGTGACGATGCTTCTGAGAAAGCCATCCACCAAAGAGGAAAGGAGGATGGCAAATAGAAGAAGGGCCTTCTCAGTGGTTGCACCCCTTCTCTGGAAAGGCCTTCTGGGGGAAGTTCGCCTGGCACCTTCATTACAATCCTTTTGGTGCCAGGCAAAAACAATCCTATTCTCCAAGCATTGTAATAATTGGTTTTAAAGATTGATTTTATGTTGTGCAGTTTTAATAGTACTGTTTTATATCATTCTTTGGTTTAATATACTAATTTAATCTATTTATATCTGACCCCTCAGCAGCATTTTGTGATTGTTACATGTTTTTATGAGAGGCTGTTTTTATTGGTATTTTTGTAATCCGTTTAGAGAGTCCTTGGGAGTAATTTTGATTGTGGAATATAAGGTGAATTAATAATAATAATAATAGGTCAGAGACAACGGCACACAACATCACTGAGGACAGAATCACAAGCCCAAGGGCCCAATCCTGGAGCCGCAATCCTGCAGTTCCCTATATGGTCACACCCCCTTTCCCAGAACTACTGTTTGACTGGTGGTTTCCCAACTTTTGTGCATTTATTTCCCCTTTCTAAGATGCCTATCCTGGGCCTGAAAAGAAAAAGCTGGCAGAAAAAGCTTTAACCTAAAATATGCCGATATCCTTGGCTCCACCCCTTTTGCTTTCAGCTCCACCCACCAGTGGATTGTGCCGCCCCCACCCCAGGCTTCTCCCAACTGGAATTTGGCCCTTGGGCTGAAAGAGACTTAGCACTCCAAGTGCAGAGGTTTTGGGCATTCCCAAAAGTTGTCTGGGATGGCCACCATTCACCAGATTTCAAGTGTTGGTTGTAACAGAGGCAAGATCCCATGTATAAAATCCTCTTGCTAGTGAAGAGTTGATCTGAAGCTAGGTGGCCATTTATTCTTTGCTTAAAAAGAAGAAAATGCTTCATTGTGGATCCTAGAAACAGGACTTTGGCCCAGAGAGGCTTATGCCATTGTATACTTAGGGCATGATCCTGCAGATCTGGTTGGACTGCAATACCCATTTGCATAGCCCATGGCCCGGTGGGCTGTGGGTGCTGGGAGCTGTGAGCCAATATATCTGGAGGACATTGGTGGGGAAGGCCATTTGAAGAACACAAAAGGGACCTCCTGGATCGGAGCCCAGGTCCATCTCATCTGGGGATGTGGGACTTCTCGGCCACGGGCTGGCTGGCTAGGGCTCACTAGCACTGTTCATCTGGTCCAAGATCTTATCTCCACTCAGATTGGAGACAAGACCTTTCCTCCTTCCCAAAGAGCGAGTGAGGCTTTCAAATGCCTTCTTTGGTGACCACAGAGGGACTTATTAAATGTTTAATTATAAGAAGAGAGGGGAGGGCTTAGCAGCTGGCAATGTGAGGTATAAACAGGAAGGGGTGCTATGGTTACCCTAGTATGGTTAATAGCCCCCCTGGACTTCTCTCTCTCCATGCTTTCCTCTAATTCCCTTTCAAAGCCATCTAAGAGCATCTGCATCTTGTGGGGGTGAGTTCCATAGGCCAGCTAGGTGCTTTTCCATAGGGAGAGGCTTTTTTTAATCCCTCTTGAACCTCCGACCAATCAGATTCATTGCATGCCGTCTCCTAGGATCGGGTAGGTGAAAGTGGGGAGGGACTCTATTCTTCTGTATTCTGTTTCTTTGCCCTTTAGTATTTCTCCTTTTCCTTTTCCGTGCATGGCTTTGGGATCGCGTTTAGAGGCGATGTAGTTCATAAACACATCGAACATCCGTTGATTTTTCCATACCGTGCAACATTTTTATAGGCTACCCTGATGTCCATTCATGCCACAAATTAATTTGCTTTAATTTTCTAAAGGCAAAAGCCCCTTTCTTGCGGGGAAGTCCCTCCAGCCTCCTAGTGATGTTCGCGGCGCTTTTGAAAAACATCCTTTCTGCCTCGGCAGGTGGGCTGCATCCCACAAAAACCATAGCCTAGAATAAATACGTGTGTCATTGAGGCACAACACTACTCTTTGTTGTTCGTGTGACACTCTAGTCCTCCAGGCTGTGCACGAGGGATTTGTTTGGATGCAAAACGGAGTACGACAGTCTTTCCTAGCTCGGTGCCCGTTCAGCTGTGTCGGACTGCAATTCCCATCATGCCCAGCCAGCATGATGGCTGGGGATGATGGGAATCGCGGCCAACGCAGCTGGACGGGCACCCGACGGGGGAAGACTGCAACCCTTCTGGAAAACAGTTTTTCTGGGGAAATTCTCTTGAAGGGTTAAGCTGACCGAGTCTCAATTCCTAGTGTGTCTTCTAGGAAGGAGGGTTGTAAACTGTTTTAAGTCACTTCCTGCTTTTAATTCCATCGCCTCCCCCCGTTTCCACTGTGGGAAAGATTCCACTGTCTGTCAATGGCTGGGCCAGATCTGGTGAGTTTCTGAGGGTGGGTGGGGGGAGACGGAGCTGCCACAGGGAGTTATTAAAACTCAATTAAGAAATACAGTCTTCGTGTGACCGAACTGGCTCCCCTGCTAGAGAAGCGGTGTCACGCTCGGCCCTTTAATAGGTTAGGGGATGGAGCGAATATGCAGAAGCGGCGGTGGATGCGGGGGGAGGGACCAGGAGACCCCCCCCCATCCCCAAAAAACCGCACACATGTTTATCCCAAGGCCAGGGGTGACTTGCAGCAGTGGGATTGCCCTACCCAGGTTTCCTTTCCCAAGTGCATGATGGTGGTAGAGACTGCATGGATTTATTTAATTCATTATTTCGCTGGCGGGGCTTTGCAAAGAAGCGTGTCCCTGTGCTTTCCCCGCTGTCCACCGGCGAGTTACTAGCATGCAGGTTCTTTGCTATCCTGCGGGGAGCTGGCGGACGAGGAGAGCTGCATTTCTATATTTGGGTATTCAGAAAAGGGCTTCCTTTCTTCGGAATTGCACTCATTCAGTTTCTGTGGCGGGCTCCGAGGAAAGACGGGGTGTTGCAGCCTCTCTCTGCTTGATCACCTGCATGCCCTCTCAGCTCGCCGGTGGTGACCAGCCTAGCGCTTAAAAGAGGGCTGATTTCACAACATGGTTTATCTATCTGTTAGCTTTCCATCCTGCCCCATTAGCCAGAAAGGTTCTCTATAAACCCCAAGGAGACAGGTCTCTGCCCAGGAGGAACTTACAGTCAGTAACTTCAGTACAGGAGAAGCTGGGGAGGGGGAGAGGGGAGTTAAATGGGGGAACAGTTCTTTTGGGCAGTGAGAGGTGCGGCAGCGGCTGGACCTTTGAGCCAACGCACAGAGCCCCAGGGCGGTAGACTTTGGCCACCCAAAGAATTACACGTAACCGGACCCAAAGAATTACACATAACCGGGGCGGCCACAAACAGGTCCAGCATCAGGACTCGGGCCGGCATGAATGCATGAATGCAATACCACTTGGGCCAATACCACTATGCAGCATCGTTTTTTCCTTACGCTTAATAACGCCGTAGAGTCAGGAGGCAGGTCTGCTGTACGTGCTTACAAATGCTCTGTTTATTAGCTGTACTCTTCCACTTCTACAACAACATCGTGCTTATTTCAAGGTTAATATGTTTCGCTCAGGGAAGCAGAAGCAAAGGCCATTTTAATCCTGTCATCAAGCCGGTGCAATTTTTAAAGCGAGTTTAAAGTGCAGTCCCATGCATGTTTGGACAGAAAAGCAAGTCCTGCAGCTCCCAGGATTCTGCAGCCAAACAGAATCTTGGCTATCCGTTGTTGGGAGTCGAAGGACTTTTTCTTCTAAATACGCATAAAATTGTGCCCTTAAAATGCAAAAGTATACACGCTTAGAGTTCCTTTTAAATCGGAATTTTTAAAAATGGAATTAAATTCAATTTAAATTCAAAATGAATTGAATTTTTTTAAACAATTTTTTCTTCACTCTAGTAAATCGGGAATGTAGACTCGTGGCAGATGCAGATGAGAAGAAAACTATTACTTGTGTGCTTCATGAGTTCAGAGTCTGAAATAACCTGGTTACAGCAGAATACGGGGATTGGGGAAATATGTCAGAGGCATTCCCAGACGGGTTCCAAGAAAGGATTTGAAGGAGGTGAAAGAGCTAGTATCTGGGAAGCAGATCTGAGGAAAAGAGTCAGCTGTTCCTTGCGACAGCTAAATAGATCATCATTATACAGGAGCAGTATTCCTTCTGAATGGGCACATATGCTTAGGCTGCCCCTACTTCCCAGAGACAATCCACATTCTTTGGTTTCCAGAAAGAAAAAAAACTTGTGTTGGGGAAGGAAATTAAATCTGTTGTCTTCAGAAGAATTTGCATGGAAGCCTGCATAAAACTGCAGACCAGTTTATGTTATTCAGGGAGGAGAAACAGGTGAATGATGGCCCTTGTTTTATCTCAGGTCAAAGGAAGGACTTCTTCATACAATACAAGATTAAACTCGTATGGGATTAATTTCATTCAGGTGCAGTGATGGCCACCCATTTGGACAGCATTAAATGGGGAATGGGAGACTCAGGTGACCTGGGTTTTCGTCCCTGCTTGGCTGTGGAGCTAACTGGGTGACTTTGGGCTAGTCAGACTCTCAGCCCAGCCTACCTCACACGGGTGTTGTTGTGTGGATAAGATGGATAGCAGGAGGAGAAAGATGGAAGCCACCTTGAGTTCTTGTAAGAAAAAAGGCAAGATGTAAATCGAATAAATAAACAACACATCCATGGAGGAGAAGGTCATCAATGCCTTATGAATCTGAGGGCTATATACTGCCTCTAGAAGCAGAGGCAGTCTGCATACCCAATGGCTGGGGAACATGGGCAGGAGGGTTCTGTTGCTTGTGGGCTTCTCACAGACAGCTGTTTAGCTGTGAACTGAGAACCAGACTAGATAGACTCTGGTGTTTGTTCTGGCAGGGCTATTTTTATGTTCAACCCTATGTGTACTTGCCTGTTGGCCAACAGGCATAAGAACCATTAAAACAGCCTTACATTTTTTGAAGTTATAGTCAGCTTCATAGCGCTCCCTGATTCTGCGCCAGGTGCAGGAAGGGCCCGGACCACAGTGCAAGGGAAGGCATTGTCCAGCGAGTAGAAATGGGACCTCGGCAATGTGAAATGATCACTACTATTGTTCGGATTAATTGTATGGTTAAGTTTATTTATCACTATTATTTCTAGGTATTGGTGTTTGCATTTGAGAATTTATTTTCTGTTTATAGAGCACTCAGAATGGCTGACATCAATGAAGACAGAATAGGAAATACTTAAAGGAACAGAATAATGATTAGGGGGAAAGATCAATTTAAAAACAGTCTCATCTAAAAGCACCATAAGGGCTGCAATAAACCAGCTATAAACCTAAGACTGAGAGCAGCAGGAGAATGATGTAAGCCACTTTGAGTTCTTTAAAAGGAAAAAGGTAGGATATAAATCTAATAAATAAAACAGCGGCATGACTCGCAACGTTAACATAACAGGGACTTCTCATATTTGCTGATTTTCTAAACATTTTTAAAAATTCAAAGGGCCAGTAAAATGAGGCCCTAACAGATCTCTTTTAAGTGGTGCAGCCCCATAGAATGTGGGTTAGTTGTTATGAGTGCAGGACCGTGACCCAGGCGATCTGGGTTCTAGTTCCCACTTGCCCATGGAGCTCGCTGGGTGACTTTGAGCCAGGCATAGACTTGCAGTCCAACCTACCTTACAGGGTTGTTGTCCTGAGGATAAAATTGAGGGGAGGAGGGGAACTATATTTGGAATTGTATTTGAAATATATATCCCCATATTTGAAATGTTCTCTCCAAGGACATTCACCCAGCACCTTCTTTATATGCTTTTCAGCACCAGGCAAAGACATACCTTTAAAAAAAAATTAGTAGTTGATGCCACTACACTTGTATTTTATCTGTATTTTATTTGTATTGTGTTCTAATTGTTGTTGCAATCAGCTTTATCATGGTTTTAGCTTATGATTTTGAGCGCCCAGAGGTGCTCTGGCACAACAGGTGGCATAGAAATGTTTTAAATAAATGAATAAAATAAATAAACTGTAGAAATTGCCTTGAGTTCCTTGAAAGGACAAGAAGGCAGGTTATCAATAGAAAGAATTATAATTAAATATGTATTTATTTTATACCGTCCAATAGTCAAGGCTCTTCTAGAATAGCAGAAGTACCCGTCTCTTTATCTGCATGCACCCCTTGAGGCATCCTGCAATAGGGCTGGATTTATCATTGGACCAAACTCAGTGGAAATTACAGGTCCCAAATAATTCATTTATGGTGTCCTGCTAGACAAGAACTGTATACCATGGTTACAGAAATAACAGTTGGAGTAGCAAAACTGAGGCACAAATATCCCTCATGGCTGCTAACTAGATTGTTCTTGTTGACCTTGGGTTTTTTTCCCCTTCTGCAGGAATAATCTCTTCTGCGGGGGCTTTGGCTCCTCCTACGCCTTCCTTCCGTAAGGGGTCAGCCTTCACACAACGGACTCGGCAGCCGGTCTCCTCTCAGGTACGTCTCAGGTACGCAGCGATGTGTGCTTTTCAGTTCACTTTCTGAGCTCTCTAGAAGATCACACTCAGAACTGCAAGTGGATACAGACGCCTCCTTGCTCCTTTTTCATAGGAATGGCTGGACAGCCGTCATAACTCGCAAACGAGTTTGCTTTTAGCATATTATTCCGGGGGTGGTCAAACTGAGGCTCGGGAGCTGCATGCACCTCTTTGAGTTTATTTTGCATCTTGCCAATCACTGCTCAGGGTGCCCGTGGGCACCCACCTGCCACGGCTACTGCCCGCGGGCACCTGCTTGCCACTGACCAGTGCCCGTGAGTGCCCACTTGCCACTCTCAGACATCTGACATTTACCATACGTGGCTCTTCCGTTGAGCAAGTCTGGTCACTCCAGCATATACCATCCTTCCTCAGCCTGTCGCTTTGCAGATATTTTGAGACTACAATTCCCAGTATTCCATTCCTGACCACCAGCTGTGCTGGCTGGGGCTGATGGGAGCTAAAGCCCAAAACAGTAAGCTGAGTCGGCTGCTTTCACCCTTCCTCGAAGGAAAGTTACTCCGGTCTTTGATCATTTTGTGGATGGGGAAAGAAGATGTTCGAGCACGGAGTTAGGAGGGTCAGCCAACTGTGCCCTCTTCCAAGAATATTCCATCGCTTCCCCCCAGGCATTTCTGTGGCTACAGCCTGTGCCCAATCCTTGCTGGACTATTTTGGAGGGGAAAGGTTCCCCCTGCAGGTTTCCTTTAGTTCTGCAAAACTACCCAGCATGGTAATAGCTTCTTTTTTTCTCAGTGGCCTGGTTTCGGCTGCGGAATGCAGCACCTGAGTTGACTATTGGTGTTTGTGGCAGTGATGGCACATTATGACATGTCTGAAATAGCACCCCACTTGTGGAATTCACTTCCACTGGAGCGCCATCTTCTCTCTTACAAGCCAGTTGAAAATGTTCCTTTTCTCTAACTATTTTGCCCAGTGGGTTGACTTGGTTTGAATGGATTTTATACTTGTTTTATCATTGCTACCGCCGCATTATGAATTTCACCTGCCATACAATTTTTATTTACAATCTTACTCTCTTTTAACTAAAGGGTGTTTTCAATGGTTTTATTTACTGAATGTTCAATGTTTCAGTCCAACTTTTTATGTTTGTTGTTTTTCTTTCTCTTATTATTTGTTCTTTGTATATTTTGTTACATATTTCTTAAAATCATTGTTAACGGGGTTATTTTGTCTGTTACCGTCAAATATATTGCAAGCTGCCTAGATAACCTTATGGCTAAGGGGTGCAGCATACAAGATCAATAATAAAATAAATAAATAATAAACATTAAAGCAAGCACGGTTGAGTCTTCAGCCCTTTCTGAGCCTTAGTTTACGATTCTTTGGATTGGAATTTTTACCAACATGTCCTTATTTTCAGTTGTGAGGCATTCATGTTATACTATTTATTTGCAACATTTCTGCACTGCTCCATATCTAAACAGATTCTGAGCAGTGAACAATTAAAAATAACAATATGACTAGAATAACAAAATAAGAATAACACAGAATAAGTGGTGAGTAACAGCAAAGAAAAAAGACCAGATTCACACAGTACAATAAACTATAGTGGCATATAATGGTTTGCAACATTGGCATATAACAACGGCACCTTTATTGTTATCTTTCCAGCGCCAAGTAAAGACATTTTTATTCCCCAGACATTTTAAGAACTACTGATTTAAGGTTTTATATTTTAGGAAATTTTAATGACTGTTTTTATCACTGCTGCACCTGAGGTAATTTTACTGACTGTTGTAGTTATCTGTCAGGGTGCACTGCATTTATTGTATTTTACTATACGAATTTTTTATTTGATGAATTTTATGGTGGTTTTTAAAAAATTGTTATATGTTTGTTCTGGACTGTATATAATTGCTATATAATTTTGATAGTTATATGCTTGTGTCCTGGAGGGCTATAGGAGCAGTAAATAAATATAATAAATAAACTGAATAGCTTGTCATCTTGTTTGAACCAGTTGTTAGGTTAAAACAGAATCAGTAAAAAACATATTTTTAAAAAGGATCAGGCTATAAAATGCTTAAATTATAGTACAAGACAAATACATGTGTGTCTATCTCTCTTTTCTGCAGAGAGAAGTTCCTCTGGCTGGCTGGGATCATCCATATTTCCCTTTTTTTTCACTGTTCCATTCAACGGTGTTAGTGACTTTGGGGGCCCAAGAAGTGGTGTGCTTCCCGCTTCTTCCCTTCCAAATCCCAGCTGCATTTGCCTTCAAAGCAGAGACGGAAAATGAGGGCTGAACAAGGCGATCCTTTGGCAGAAAGTCTCCAGTTGGAGCATGGGGTGAACAGAGAAGGGCAAGGCGTGGTAAGCTCTGAAGTGCCTGGAAAGTCACCTCCTGCCATCCATGTTGGAGGTAGCAGGGGCTGCTGGGAAAGAAATGGAGAAAGCATTCTGGGTGAGGAGAATGTGTTCTGCTTTGATGGAGCACCACAGGATCAGATGTTGAGTCCAGACAGGCTTGTGAGAGAACCGGTTCTGACCAAAGTAAGACAGAACCCAGTGGGGAAAAACTGCTCTGAAAACTGTGTCCTGGAAGTGGGCCTTGGAGAAAAATTCCTACTGGGAAAACCCGAGGAAGATCAGGTAACCGTGTTGCATTCCAGTATTTTCAAGGACAGAGGGTGACAGCTTGGCCTCCATGGTCCCTCACATTAGCTGTGCTAGCTGGGGATGATGGGAGTTTAAGGCCAAAATATCTGGTGGGCTGCAAGTTACCTACTCTTATCCAAGGGGGTACATCAACCATTTTCAAGGGGGTTGTCTGTGGAATGAACCACCTTATAGAGTGATGGATTCTCCTTCACTCAAAACCTTCAAGCAGACACCTCTTGAGGGCTTTTAAGGTCTGGATTTCCTTGGAATCTGCAGGGGTCGGAGTAGGTGGGCTCTACCCAACCTCCCCTGGCTCTATGGTACTAAGGCCCATGTTCCACAGGCGAAAAAGAAGCATACATGTATTTCTTCTAAGGAGATCACTCTTCTCACCAGAGATTTAATCTGAGACCATCTGGATAAAAAACTCTTCCAGGAAACTATGCATTCCTTCCCTGTTTGTTTGTTTTTATCCTGTCCTTCAAAGAACAAAACAGGAATTTCCTGTCATCTAAAAATAAAAATACGATCCTTGCAGCATAAGAAGAGCCTGGCACAATCTTGTCAAAACCCTGTTTGTTTGTTTAGCTGAAGTGTTTTTATGGTGCTTAAAAATGCTACTGGATCTGCTTACCTAGAATCCATCAGACCACAGGCTTGGAGTCTAAAAAGACACAACTGTAAAGAAAAACCCCCCTCCTTCTATTAAAGAGCCTTCAACATTTGGAGGATCAGATTCTGTATCAGATAAAGATAAAGAATCTGCCGCTGAAATGGTAAGGCCAGAGAACCAGGAGATAAGCTAGACAGTGGTTGAGAAGTGGATACTTTCAAGTCCACTTGCAAAATTTAGTGAGCATATGAATTGAGGAGAGGCTGAGGGAACTGGGTCTTTTCAGCCTGGAGAAGAGAAGATTCGGAGGGGATCTGTTGGCGACATATAGATAGATACGTGAGGGGGTGTCACACGGAATTGGGTAGAGACCTGTTTTCCCCTGTGGAGGAGGGCAGGATGCATTGCAATGGAGCAAAGTTCTGGGAATCAAGGCTCAGTTTGGATGCCGGGAAGCACTTCCTGACATTTAGGACCCCGAGGGTATGGAATGGGCTTCCACACGAGGTGGTTGAAGCCCCATTGATGAGGATGTTCTAGGATAGGCTGGACATGCACATGGCGGGCATGTCATGAGCAGACCCAACTGGAGCCAGGGGTCAGACTAGATGACCTGGGAGGGCCCTTCTGACTTGCTCTATGTTTCTATGAACTGGCAGGGGACAAATCTAATTCAGGGATTTGGTGTCAACTAAACCAGTTGAGAAACCTCAGATGGTCCAGACGACTGGCCCTGAAAGAAGAGAACCCACCTTGAAGGTGTGGTTTGTGCTTTCCAGTTTGAAAGAGAGGAGCGGTATCAAGTTTGGAATCAACTTTGGATCATTAACTTTGTTTTCCTAATGGCCTGCATTCTTACTGCACTTGTTTCTTTTATTAGTGATTTGTGCAGGACTCTTCATTTGTACCACAAAGTCAGCCTCACTTGAACATAATAATAAAACATAAAAACATAATAAAGACATTTTCTTGGAAAGATATTTTCTTGGTTTAGTTGGAAGGAAGAGGAGGAGATAAGCCAGGAGAACAACACACAAGGGAAAGGGAATGAGGAGGGAAGAGTTTAATCTTGTTCAGAATCCTGAAATAAAGTGGAATCAAAGCAGTGTGGTCTTTACCTGGAAAATAAACATCAGCAGTGGCAAGAGCTCCCAAAGCAGGGAAGAGAATTCTGCAGCCCAGGTACTTTCTGCCAAGGCCTTCCTTGCTCACCATCTGGGTCACTTGCTGGCTCTAGAGAGCTTTTGCACAAGAGGTCAGAGCAGAACGGAGAGACTCCCGGAGGCAGAGCCTTTTATCCCTCTTGCACAGCGCAGCAATCATTCCTTTTTCTTTTTGCAACAGGAGCTGCTGGTGGACGTGGCTGCGAATTCCCCCAGGGCAGATGGGGCACCTTTGGGCGTGTGGCAGAAGCCGCCGATGAAGGCGACCACGCAGGAGCGTGGAAGTGCCGCCGATGATCTCGGTAAGGACTCCTTGTGGCTCGAGGTCTTGGATATTTTGTGACTGCAAGTTCAGTGCTGCCTCTTGCCAAGAGGTCTGCTGTTCAGGGGACTCTGGTTTATGCGAGGCTGCCTTTGCAATTGGGCAGGAAGCTACACTGGGCGCAGAGCATCACGGCCAGGTTGGTGATGGGAGCAGTCAACTGCCAGCATATACACCTATGCTGAGGGAACTGGACTACCTGGCTATGTGCTGCTGGGCCTTTCTTAAGGGCCTGGACCTTATCCAAAGCCCTAAACAAGTAGGACCAGGATTCTTGTCTGACTCGCCCTCCAACCTAACTGCACAGTCGCTGCACTCAAGAAAGCAGAAGGTGCCTCCTCTGCAGAGTAACAGTAGAAACACTTAATGTATCTTTATGCTTTGGGGAGGGGAGAAAACGCCTTAATTATTTGATGGATTGATTGATTTCTATACCACTCAGCCACTGATGCTGCCTGGGCAATTTATATCAATGATGTTTTTTCAGGAGCTTGGAAGGAAAATGCAGGAATTCCCAAAGCGGGGGGGTTTACTTGTACTCCGGGTAGGAACAAAAGAAACGAAGGAGTAAAACTTTCCTATTCTCTGTAGCCACATCAGCTTGCTGTGTGCATCAAGAAAAACCCTCTGGCAGGCTGCCGGGATTTCAGAGGGCTGGTGGCCCACTCTGTGGAATTCCAGTTTGAATTAGGCACAGTAGCTGCGTCATCCGAAAGGTGCCAATGGCCGGGAATTGAAGTTGTAGTCCAACAAATCTGGAAGGAATGAGGGTGAGGAAGGCTGACCTGGGATGTGAACACATCACCATCAGCATCAAAACAGCACCTTCAGCTGGTGCTGAAGAGGCAAATGTATCTGTTTGGCCACCCAACTTTGGAACAACCTTGCTATGGCCCATACGGCACCACATTTGCCAAATTTCAACACCAGGTTAAGACAGCCATCTTTGTGGAGGCCTTTAATGATCTCTTTGGTCATCCAGGGGCCTGATGGGTTTAGCCTGGTGCCTTTTTTCTTCTTCTCGGCTGGGTCTTTTTACCATATTTTTACGGTATTTTAAGCTATTTTAAATTAATGTCAAATTCTTTTAACATAGCTGTTTTATGTTATTTGCACTGTATTTTATTGCTGTGCTTTACACATGGTTGTAAACTGCCCAGAGAGTCTACAGGGCAGTATAGAAATAAAAAATAAATCTCTTCACACAAGAAAGTGAAATATGAAGGTTTTTTAAAGGATAACTAATTTGCCATCACATTTTATGGTAACTTTTATCTCCTTTGCAGGCAGAGGGGTGACACCAGAGATGCATTTTGGGGCTTCTCCAGTTTGCGGAGGAGTGGAAACTGACACAGTAGAGTCTGATCAGGTAGGAGAAGGTTCTTCAAAAAGAGATTTTTTAAATGTTTCTTCTTTTGTTACAAAGACCCCATGCATCTGACTCCCCTGCTGCAAATTTCCCAGTTGGAAGGTTGTGGATTTTACTGATTTTTCAACACCAATCTTTACTTACTTATTTTCAATCAAAATATACTTAAAATGCAGCAGAAAAGAAAAGAAAAAAAAGAATGGGTATTATGTGTGGGGAAGAGTTGTGTCCCAGTAGGCTGCAGTTACAATGCATCACCACCCTCTGCATTCTGGAAGAGGGACCAAGATATTTTCCTTTTAGCTTGACGTTTTGTTATAGTTTTAAGATTATTCTGCATGTTTTAATATGCTTCTGTTCATACTCCTGTGTTCTAAAATTTTGTAAATTCATCATAATTATCATAAGAGGGTCAAACCATTCCACTAGCTAAGTTCTGCCGAGAACATAATGCCAATGGGTGGCAAATTTATACAAATTAAAAAAATAAAATCCGGGAGACTACAGCTAGTGCCAAAACTAGGAAAAAATATCCTGAAGGCAAGGAGTGGGAAAAGGGAAAGCTTTGTCCCACACCTTAGATCTCTGTTGACGAGAAAAGACTATGTTTCATTTTACCACTTCCATCCTAAGAAAACTTTCCTCTGAAGTAACTCACGTTGGTTTGGATGAAAGTCTCTTTTAGTGAAACCAATTTGTTTTAGTTTCTGAGTTACGATTTGGTTATCATTTGTACTTGAAGGCTAGGCCCTGAAAGCTGGCGAGCAAATGCTGCAAATAAATACATGTTTTTTTCTTACAAGTGTCTGGCAAAGACAAGGGGGAAGCTTGCTTGTTCCAGCAAAAGCAAAAAGAATAATTATGCGCAGAGCAGGTGGGCAGCTGAAAGACACGTACGTGTCTCTCTCTCTCTCTCTCTCACTCTCCGACAGGACCCATTTGCCTGAGCAGGGCAGCCTTCGAGGCCTGATCCTGGCTGCTCCACAAAGCCACCACAGAAGGTGTCAGGTGACACAAGGAGCCAAGGAGCTCCCAGCCAGGCCTATAAAAGGAGCCTACTCCATCATGGCTCCTCAGTCACGTGGAGAGATCCGCTTGTTGACTCTTACGTATCTGAAATAATTTCTCGGCCGCCTATAAGGCTGGGACCTTCCCAAAGTGGCAGAAACAATAAAAACCACATGAAGCGGATACAATAAAATCTTAACATGGGATAAAAAACCCTCCGCATCTCATTCAGTGCTCCAGTGATGGTGTGCGCTACCCCGTAAAACATAGCCAGGCGTTTGTTTTGCTTTTTTACGCAGCCATTCTTTCTTGTTAGTTGTGGCTGTTTTAAACTTTTTAATGCTTCTCAGTATTTAAAATGTTTTACTGCATTCTATTTCCATGCTTTGTGGATTGCTGCAAACCACCCAGAGAGCTTTGGCCATGGGGAGGAATAGAAATGAGATGAAATTAAACAACCAGCTCCCGGTCTTTACCAAAAGAGACTGCTGAGGTTAAACTCCCCAACCGAATTGCTCTTCTTGTCTGACAGTTGTTTCTTTTAGTCTTAACTAGCTACACTGAAAATGATGTCACCCTTTTTCAGTTTTGAGGCTGTGATTGATCCTGATCATTAATTTCCCTGGAGAAGAATATAAAAGACCTTGGAAGGGTGCCTTTTTCCAGTCGGACTCAGATGCTTTCCAGTTTACTTTTCATAGGGGCCAGGGAAAGAAGAATGCTTAGACATTGTTTAGGACTCTTTGCAAGGATATAAATCTTTCCTTTCTTTCTTTCTTGTAGGGCCCCGTGACCTTTGAGGAGGTGGCAGTACGCTTTACCGAGGGGGAATGGGGCTTGCTTGATCCTGGCCAGAGGGCTCTCTACAGGGAAGTCATGGTGGAGAATTATGGGAACGTTTCTTCTCTGGGTAACATGTCCTTCGTTTTTTGCTGACTGATGCTTCTAGCTACGGAAAAAAATGTCTTCTTATCATTGTCAGATAAAAAGAGAAAAAAATAGGAATTTGCTGTCTCAGTGTATGGCAGTGGTGAGCCAGCGCAGGGTACTGGTTGGGAGTGCAGGACTAGAGACTCCGGAGGGGATCTGGGTTCAAGTCCCTGCTCAGCCATGGAGCCAACTGGGTGACTTTGGGCCAGTCACAGACTCTCAGCCCAGCCTACCTCACAGGGTTGTTGTTGTAAGGATAAGATTATGAGGTGTGGGGGAGATAATTATGTAAGCCATCTTGAGTTCTTTGGAAGGGAAGATGGAGGGATAGCCATACAAATACATAAATAAAGGGTGACTAATTTAAAAGAGTAGAAAAAATTGTGGTGCCACATATCCTGACCACACAAGAACAAACTTCAATATGTGTGTGTGTGTGTGTGTGTGTGTGTGTGTGTGTGTGTGTGTGTTTTTTGCAGTGGGGGGAGATTGGAAGATTATGTTGGGAATTACAGAAAACAATACAGCAAAATATATAAAATTCCATAACAGAACATAATACAGCACTATACAACAACTGTAGATTATGGTAAAACAACTTTAAAATACTATAGTCACATCTGTATGCAGACAGATAGAAGATTATTTATTGTAAACAAACCAACATGTACAGTCTAAAAAGGGAATGGCAAATGCGTTTTTACTCTACAGCCTTCTTCAATGGCTATTATTATTAATAATAATATATGTCATAATTATTGTTAATAATATTTCTTACATTTCAGTATTGCCTGTTGGCTGAAGCTCTTCAGGCAGTTCACAAGACCGTATTAGGATGAGCAGGGCAGGCCCAAAATGTCTTGCTGCCTGAGGCAAAGGCCAAGGTGGCGCCTGCAGAAGTTGCCTGGACCGGCAGCTGAATCTTATGCCAAATCCAAGCGGCGCGAGGGCAGTGTCCACCTCCCTCAGGGCAGCTTCGGTGGTCGGGGGCTGCCCCCGTTGCCCCCCACTTACCACCCAGGCTCTGCCGCCTGGTCGGTCCAGTCCTGGGGGTTAGGCAGTCTTCTTCAAAATGAATCCCGAAGGCACAGTATCTGATTCGCAGGCCATGTGTGCATATAATGTCACAATAAAATATTTATTATTTTATATAATTAATTTATATAATATTAATGTATATACTGTAAGAATACATGTTGAATAATTTAAAACTTTATAAATTATAGATTAATTTAAAAGCAAAAGCTTATCTGTTTCGACCTGGCCAGTCTCTGTCAGGACTCAGATGGGGCCGTGGCTTGGCTTTGGAGCACCTGTTGCGCATAGAGAAGGCCCCAAGTTCAATGCGCAGCATCTCCAGGCAGGGCTAGGAAGGACTCATCCCTGGAGCGTGGCTGCCAGGCGGTGCTGGCAATAGGCTAGGTAGGCCTTCCCCAACATTGTGCCTTCCAGGCGCTTCTGGTCTGCAACACCCAGGATTCCCAGTCAGTGGCGCTGCCGGGTGGGAATTGTGGGAGTTGCGGTCCAAATGCCTCTGAAGGCCACTAGGTTGGGGAGGGGTGGACTAAGTGGACCATAGGTCCGATTTCGTGTGAGGCGACTTCCTATGTGCCTATGACTCTTTCGATAGAAAGATCTAGATAGATATACATCCCCCTAGTATCCATTCTCTGTAGAAGAGGATAGGGCCCCTGCTTTTCTTGCTTTTTGGCTGAAGACAAGGTCTAGCAACAAATTGTGGCTATGATTGCTAGTTGGGATCTCAATGTTCAGAGGCAAATGACAAGAGGGCTGTTCTCTTCCATCTTGCCACTGTTTTTTTCAAAGAAGTGATATTTATTATTTATTTATTTATTTATTTATTTATTACAAACATTTGTATCCCGTCCTTCTGACAAGTGCTCAGGATGGCTTATATATTATAAAATTAGAATAATACAATAATAAAACCACAATTACTAAAACAATATAAAACAGAACATCATAAGCTAAAAAGAATAGAAAATGCAACTGTGAGAAAGGAAAAAAGGAAGGCAAAAAAAAGCTTAAAACATCTAAAACCCTTGATTATTAAAATGATGGTTGAATTAAAAGGTCTTTACCTGGCGCTGGAAAGAGTATAATGTCATAGCCAGGTCGACCGCTCTGGGGAGGATATTCCATAGTCTGGGTGCCACTGTGGAGAAGGCTCTCCTCTGGGTAGACACCCTCCGTACTTCCTTCAAGGAGGGTTCCCGGAGCAAGGCCGCCCCTGCTGATCTTAAGGGGCATGAGGGCATATAGGAAAGGAGGCGATCCTTCAGGTATTCTGGAACTAAGACATTTAGGACTTTATAGATTAATACCAGCACCTTGAATTGGGCCCAGACTTCAATTGGGAGCCAGTGTAGCTGGTAGAGGACCGGCGTTATATGAGAATAATGACCGGCCCCCAACAGCAACCTGGCATCTTTATTTTGTGCCAGTCGAAGTATCCGGACCGTTTTCAAAGGCAGACCCATGTAGAGCGCATTACAATAATCCAACCGGGAAGTTACTAGGGCATGTATCACTGTTGCTAGGCAGTGCTTGTGCAGGTAAGGATGTATCTGATGGACCAGCCAAACCTAGAGGAAGGCACTCCTTGCCACCACGGTCACCTGGATCTCTAGGGATAGCTCTGGGTCAAGGAGCACTCCCAAGCTGCAGACCCTGTCCTTTAGAGAGAGTGCTACCCCATCCAGGACAGGACCAAAATCATTTACCTGAAAACCCAAACTGCCCACCAACACGACTTGGTTTTATCTGGATTGAGTCTCAGTTTATTGGCCCTCATCCAGCCCATCACCTCAGCCAGGCACCGGTTCAGGATAGCCACCACCTTTTTGAGCCTCTGCAAACCTCAAGGTTATTGCAAGTCTTCTAATACCTCTCCTTTTTGTACAGGTGGTACAGTTTTAGGTAAAGAAAGGTAAACTTTCTAAGTGGTATTAGAAGGAAAATGTTGCTCAGAAGCATCTGAAATAACTGATCCTAGTTTTGTTTTCCACTTCAGAAGGACCTCCAGTTCCTAAACCAGATCTTATCTCTTGGTTGGAAGACAAGAAAGAAATATTTGACCAGAGTTCAGGACTACGAGCAAAGCCAACAGGTAGCGAGGCGGTTTTGTGTGTGGTGGCACCATTTGCGAGAATTGTGAGATTCCCTTGTCAGGGTGGGAGATTTCCCTGCTTAAATCTTCTCTCACACCTGGGAGCGAGCGTCGTACTTGGGGCATGGATAGAACAGGCAGGCAGGCAGCAAGGAAGAGGCCTATGTGGTCTTGTTTTCTGGAGAGGAACAGCTGAGCAGGGCTTTTGCTGAAGTTCTCACTGGTCGGGTTGAGGGAAGGGGCAGTTCTGCCTGTCTAGCGTTGGGCCACCGAGCATTGGGCTTCCAAGTCCAAGGTTGGGCAGCCTCTGCCTCTCCGCCTCCGCTCCCAATTCATTATGCAGTCCTGCTCTGTTCGCACTGGCAGCAGTGCAGGGCAGGGAAGCGGATGACAACTGCCCAGAGTGTCCACTGTTGGCAGTGGTTGTCCTGCTCCCCTCAGTGCCCCAGCACAGTGCTTCCTGGGATACCAGCTGGAGGACTGAGGGAGAAAGAGGAGGAGGAGGCGGTGTCACACTGAAAACCAATACTATGCCTGATGGTTAGCTGGGCCCAGTCCTTCCTGCCACCTTGGCAACTTGAAGCCTAGAGTAGCTGAGAACTTCCCTGGGCTTAAGGTACCCTCCAAACCTGCCTCTGTTTTCTGGATTTGGATGAAACAGGAATGATGATTCAGTTGAGGTTTCCTTGATTGAAGAACAAAGAGACTGTGAATGCAGGCTCATCTGTTTATGTATATAATGATGCCTCCCTTCATTATGTTGAAGGACAGTGTATAAAGTACATTAAAATAAAATAATAAAATAGCAAGAGAAGAATTGTCCAAACAGAACCCGTGAAAATCACCCTGGAAATATTTTTTTAAATAAGTTTTATTTGAGAAATTATAATCCTAAAAAAGAAAAAGAAAACTACTAACAACATCCATCATCCAAAACATCGAGCCCGCTGGGTCAGCCCCCACACCCTTCTTTTTCCATTTATGATATCTTAAAATCATATTTAAATCTATGCAAAGTCCCGTTTCTCTAGCCAATAATAAAAAGAGTCCCAAGTTTGATAGAAGTCAGTATCTTCTTTCTCCTTCAATGATAGAGTCAATCCATTTCTGCACAGTCCAGGATCTCTTTTAGAATCAGTTCATCGGTGGGTAATTCTTTACCTTTCCAGTGTTGAGTGAATGTAATCCTCTCCGCAGTGATTAAAAATCACCCTGGAAATATTGAAATAAGGGAATTTAAATAAAGTGTGGTTTAGCCAGCGAAGAATTCTGTCGCACCTTAAAGGCTCATGCACTGATTCTGGAGCAGGCCTCAATATTTATTTATTTATTAATTAAAACATTTTTATGCCTCCCCATTCGCCGAAGCCTTGGGGCGGCTTACAACAATAAATTAAAACCACATAAATTAAAATATTTAATTTAAATATTTAAAGCATTACTGAGGGTTTCCAAGATCTATATGGCAACACTGAGACTATCCTGAGACTTTTATGTATAGGACAGGGTATAAAAGTTTTAAATAAAGAAATAAAACTTTTTTAAAAAATTAAAATCCAATAATGGTACATCTGATGTGAGAGCCAGTGCAGTGCAGTGCTTAAGAGTGCAGGGCTGGGACTCAGGAGATTTGAGGTTTAGCCTCCACTCGGTCATGGAACTCATGGGCCAGTTACAGTCTCTCAGCTCAGCCCACCTCACAGGGGTGTTGCTGCGATGGTAAAAGTCAGAGGAGGAAGAGGAGAATTATATAAGCCACCTTGAGTTCCTTGGAAGGAAAAAAAGGTGGGATACAAATATAATTAATAAATAAATGAAATATGAGGCTTCGGCAAATGGGGTGGCATAGAAATGTTTTAATAAATAAATAATAATAAATAATAAAATATGATGTCTTCTGGGGAGAATGATAAACACTGAGGCCCTGGAAATTCAATGCAGACAGAACTGATGGTGATAATTTATTGTTATGTGCCAATAAGTTGTTTCCAACTTATGGCAATACCATGAGTGAAAGCCTTCCAAAAGGTCGTGTCCATGACAGCCCTGCTCAGCTCTTCTGAAGTCAAGACTCCTAAATTCAAGGGGCTTCCCTGGTGAGCCTGCCCATCTCATGGTTGGCCCTCCTTTCCTCCTCCTGCCTTTGACCTTGCTTACAATGATGGTCTTCTCCAGGGAGCCTTGTGCTCTAGTGACGTGTCCCAAGTCATGTGCCAGCCTTGAGTTTTGTCCTTTTAGTTTCTACAGAAAGCACTGGCTTGGTTTGATCTAGGACTCTCTCATTCATCTTCCTGTCAGTCCAGGGTATCTGCAAAGCTCTCCTCCAGCAGACGGAGACGGTAGCCATTCATAAAACAGCGGCTGCCATTACTGGAAGCGTCTAGGCCAGTTAACCCTCACGGAGAGTGTAAAAGGATCTGTGAGATCTATCAAGTGTCTGCCTCATGCTCGCAGGCTGCTTTTGCTTTATGCCCAAAACTCTGGGTTGTGGATGGGGAAGCAACCCAAACTTTGAAACCAAGTCTGGGGGGAAAGTCTGCGATGTTTCCTCCTCAGAAGTATGGGTTCCCATGTCACAATGAACAATCCAGTATTCCTGGGCTGGTTTGGAAAATGGATGTAAAGTGGAAATGTTAACTTTGTTGCTAATTGTGAAGTCGTGCCCGACCCATTGCGACCCCTGGACAACACTGCTCCAGGCCTTCCTGTCCTCCACCATCCCCCAGAGTCCACTCAAGCTCACACCGACTGCTTCAGGGACTCCATCCAGCCACCTCATCCTCTGCCGTCCCCTTCTTCTTTTGCCATCTATTGTTCCCAGCATTAGGATCTTCTCTAGTGAATCCTTCCTTCTCATTAGGTGGCCAAAGTATTTGAGTTTCAACTTCAGTATCTGGCCTTCTAAAGAGCAGTCAGGGTTGATCTCCTCTAGGACTGACCGGTTTGTTATCGCCTTGCAGTTCAAGGGACTCGCAGGAGTCTCTTCCAGCACCACAATTCAAAGGCCTCAATTCTTCAGCGCTCAGCTTTCCTTATGGTCCAGCTTTCACAGCCATACATTGCAACTGGTAAAACCATAGCCTTGACTATATGCACTTTTGTTGGCAGGGTGATGTCCCTGCTTTTTATTATGCTGTCTAGATTTCCCATAGCTTTCCTCCCCAGGAGCAAGCAAGCGTCTTTTAATTTCTTGGCTGCAGTCCCCGTCTGCAGTGATCTTGGAGCCCAGGAAAATAAAATCTGTCACTACCTCTATTTCTTCCCCATCTATTTGCCAGGAAGTGATAGGACTGGTTGCCATAATCTTAGTTTTCTTGATGTTGAGTTTCAAGCCAACTTGTGCATTCTCCTCTTTCACCTGCATCAAGAGGCTCTTAACTAGGAGATGCTTAAACCATGCTGCTCGTGATATCCGATGCAAGTCAGAGTCTGCCTTCCTCCCAACAGTATTTCTGCCTCTTCACTGAGACCATTGCGGGGGAAGGAAGAGGTTTAAGGCGCCACTTCTGCCTTACATACTTGATGGGCTTGATTCCAGCAGGTGATGCCTGGGACAATAAAAGCAATGGAGGAGCTGAAGAGATGGCGTCAAAAGGAGGTGAACCTGAAAAGGTGGAGGAGGATGTTGGGAATCAAAAAACAGCAGAGACGCCAGAGGAAAACCAACCGGCAGAGACATGGCAGGAGGAAACAGCAGGTATTGGCTACTCTGCTTGTGCGCTTGCTTGGGGGTTTTATCCTTCTTTTCTATGAAATCCATGACTAGGGACAACAAATACATCCCACAACTAAATTAATATTCTGGGCTGTTTGCACCTATAGCTAAGGATTCCAGCCAACCATGTCCTTCACCAGGAGGGGATATGGGGAGGGGATGATGGGAGTTGTGGCTCTCCAAGGCCACAATTTACCCTCCTCTGCTGTAAGGTGCTCAGTCAGGGCATTCCACTCTCTGCCAGTTCCCTTTTCTGATTTTCTTTTCCCACTCACATGGCTACTGAGGCTGCCCCATTCTCATTGGGCTATTTTGAGTTTGTTTGGTTTTATTCCCTCAGGTTTCAACCCTGTGTTCACGTTCCACTGAATTCCATAGGGCATACTTCTGAGTAAATATGCACAGGATTGTGTTGTTTGTTTGTTTTTTAAATAGCTTGTACGTCTATAAACATCAGAGCTTCCTCTGACATGCTGATTCTTCCCTGGTGTATCTTGGTTCGGCTCTAAACATGAGATTATGACAAGAAAAGTCATACTGGATCAGACGCTCTAGTATACTGCTTGCACAGTGACCAAACCATATTCCCCATCAATGTATATACATAGAGGTAGCATATAAACATGAGGATTGGTAGCTTTTCGTTGTTCGAGAGCATAAGAAGTGCTACGCAGGATCAGACCAAGGGTCCATCGTTCTGTTTACACAGTGGTAAACCAGCTGCCCACAGGAAACCCTCAAGCGGTGCATGAGTGTATCAGCACCTTTCCCTCCATGCGCCCGAGCAACTGGGGTGCAGGATCCTGGGGGAACGCTGTAGCCATCTGGATGACTGGTCCTGCGTAGCCGTCTCTGTGAATTTGTCCAGTCTCCCTTGGAAGACACCCAGATGGGTCGCCATCACTGCTTCTTCACACGTCGCAGAGGGCATTCCCTACAAGAAGTTCTCCCTTGGTCTGTCCTGAATCTCCCACCAAGCTTCATGGGATGACTCCTTTGGGAGGGGGAGGAAAACATCCCCCTCCCGGCTTTCTCCACCCCAGGCCTCGTTCTGCATGTCTCTGCCTCATCTCCCGTTATTTGCTTTTTTCAGAATGTGTAAAGATAAACCTGGAGCCCGATGCTTTGGCACCAGAAGTGTCGGTCGAGCTAACCGTGTACCAAAATAACAATGTTCTCTGCTATGATGCTTTTCTACCTCCAATCCTTGCAAAAAGCTGAACACATAAATGCTCTGTGCGTGATGGTTGTGGCAGCTGGTCTTGACTGCGTATCTGAGAACCAAGGACAAGAGTAGTACTGTTGGAAGATGTGGGTAATGCGACAACATTTTGTCGCATATCCCACTTATATTATATTGAACTGTCCTGGGAAGATTAAATTGGAGAGCCAGTGTGATGTCACCATTAAAGCGCTGGACTGAGACTTGGGCAATCTGGCTGCCAGACCCTTCTTAGCCATGAAGCCGACGGGGTGACTTTGGGCCAGTTGTAGTCGCTTTAATTAACCTACCCCACAGGGTTGTTGTGAGGATAAAATGGAGAGGCCATTTCTGTAAGCTAGCTTGGAATCCATGCTAGAGCAAATCGGGGGATAGAAGTATACAGGAATAATTAAATAAAATGTCTCCTCTACCTGTTTTCATGTATGCATTTATTTTTCTTAGATTTATACCCCAGCTTTTTATGCCAAAGAACTCAAAGCAGCTTACATAATTCTCCTCCTCCTCTCAGTCTTATCCCCACAACAACAACCCTGCGAGGTAGGCTGAGAATCTGTGGCTGGTCCAAAGTCACCCCGTGCAGGGTCTAGAACTTAGATCGCCTGAGTCCCAGTCCTGCGCTCTTAAGCACTACTCCACACTGGCTCCGTTTAGTTCTTCTTCAAGTCAGTTTGAAAAACCCATCTTGAAGAGTACGGATCATTTAAATGCGTACAAATATACCTGAGCGTGTTTTCAGGAATCTCTCTCTCCCTCTTTCTGCCCCATAGATAATGAGACAGTGACCCTGATTAGCGTAGAGAACTTTGAAGAAGAGGGCCTTGCACTGGAAGAATCGCTGGAGGCTCTACCAGGAGGGTCCCAGGAGACCGTTTCCTTCGTGAACGAGGCGGCCGAGAGTGAGTACCCATTCCAGGCCACGGGGGGGTGGGGGGGCACCTGCAGCCCTCTGCCAGCTCCCTCATGCTTCGGGCCCCCACTTGCTTCTGCTCCACCCACCTGGAAGTGACTTTCTCATCCGCCTTGCGTGCTTGTGCAAGAGGTAGAAGTACAAGAGGTAGAAAAGGGAAGGGGTGGCAAAGGCAGGAAGCACTGCACGGTCCCTACAACGCTGCAAACTTCACCCACCAGTTGAATTTTTTGATGGGTCAACAGCCCATCCCAGGAGAACATTCCCTCCCCCTCCATGATAGAGAATCGGGGCTAATTTTGCACTTTATTGGGCAGGAACACATGCATACGAGTCCCCGCATTCACGCATCACCCTCAGAAGTTTAGTGGGTCATGCCCACGGAGAAGGACCTTTTTAATTCTTATGTCTATATTTTAATTTATGTGGTTTTAATTTATTGTTGTAAGCCGCCCCGAGGCTTCGGCGAATGGGGCGGCATAAAAATGTTTTCATCATCATCATCATCATCATCATCATCATCATCATCATCATGGCATCCTATCAGTGCAATGAAGCTCACCTCTCTCCAATTCTGATGTCGGTTTGGTGCCAGGCAAAAACTTTCTGATTTGCACAGATATTCCAGCAGGTGATGTAAATTAACCCAGATTCGGTCTCATCTGCTTTGCTGAATTTCATAGGATGGAGCCAGGATTTTCCTTCTGTAAGAGAAAGAAACTTTCCACTCATGGAAGAGCTTTGATTGTGGAAGTTCTCACTACTTGGTTTTACTTGATTCCCGATGCAATGGCTCTGCCCAGTCTGAAATGTCTCCTGATCCTTTGTGTAGCCTTTTCTGGGTTCTGGAGAGCTGTTATGAGAGGGAAGCCCACTCAAGTTAATCTAGTTTAAATCTGGACCCCATCTGATGGATTTAATTTTTGCTTCTGCTGTTTCTCTTTTTGTTGCGTTTCATACATTTACTGTCTTCACACCAAGAGTTTTAACAGAGCAACATGGAAATTTGCAAGCCGGGCTCCCCAACCCTGGGCCCTCCAGATAGGTTGGACTATGAGTCCCACGATCCCCAGCCTGCAAACTTTTCAGGGGGTTTGTAGGCAGCAGAACAATTCATCCAGCACAGAAATAAATATGGTTTGTTCTGTCTGATCTTGAATGATCCTCCTTACCCTCTTAAATATTTCTCTCCTTCTCTTCCTCATCTACTAGGTGACGGCTGGGAGAGTGGAAGCGAGTGGGAACCATATGAGGTCTTGTCAGATGATACAGAGGATGAAGACATTGAAGAGAACTATCAGAATCAGGAAAGGCCTGGAAGAAATGAGGAAGATCAGGCAGAAGAGTGGAAAAATAAGCCCAATTGCCAAGGCAGTGACTTCAGTGGAATTCCAGTTCAACCAAAAATATACAAAGGCAAGAGGAAGAACCAGTGCAAGGTTTGTGGGAAGAGCTTCACTCGTAAGGCCAGCCTAAAGGTGCACCAGAGAATCCATACAGGAGAAAAGCCCTACAAATGCACTGTCTGTAGCAAAGGCTTTTGTGATAAAACCAGCTTCCTTAGACATCAGAGAATCCACACGGGAGAGAAACCATACAAATGCCCAGAGTGTGGGAAGAGTTTTAACCGGACCACAAACCTTATTACACATCAGAAAACCCATGTGGAAACCAGAGAGAAAACATTTCACTGCTCAAGCTGTAGCAAGAGCTTTTACAACAAGTACAGTCTTAAGACTCACTGGCGAAGCCACACTGGAGAAAAGCCGTATAAGTGCTCCAGTTGCAGCAAGAGCTTCTGTGATAAATCGAACCTTGAGGCTCACTGGAGAGTACACACAGGGGAGAGGCCATTTGAATGCACGGAATGTGGAAAGAGCTTCAGCGATCGCAGGACCCTTCTTAGACATCAGAGAATCCACACAGGGGAGAAGCCCTATAAATGCACGGAATGTGGGAAAAGCTTCAATGACCTTGCGACGCTGCTGAGGCACCAGAAGATCCACACGGGGGAGAAGCCATACAGATGTACGGAGTGCGGGAAGAGCTTCAATCAGAGTTCACATCTCATCAGGCATCAGAACACCCATGATGCAAAACGCCACAAAAACAGTTCTCGGGGGGCCAAGACATCGGTCGGAACCAATATTTTCTTGGATATCGGAGGGTTCACTCAAGAAACCTATTATGGATACACTCACCCTGCAGAGACCTTTCACTGGCCACTTACATCTTATACATCCACCACGGAAGCAGGAGAAGGGGGCATGCCAAACTTGTGGACGATTGAGGAGACTTCTGTCGGAGAACAAGCCATCCTGGTTATGAAAGAATTCACAGAGGACAGCACCTTAACACTGTGAGTGCTCTGGGCATGGGAAGTGCAGCCCTGCTGGGCACGATCCACCTGCTCCACTGAGAAGCCATAGTTGTGTTCTGCTCCTTTGAATATGATTGCATTTCCAGGAACTGATGCTTTGCTCTGAAGCCTGAGAGAGGGAGACTCGGAAGACCTTTGCTTGGAAAAAGACTCTTTAGAAAGAATGACGTTAGTTCCAGTTACTCACATAGGACTTGAGCCTTCCCATCTCAGCCCACTCACTGCTTGGCATAGAGTGGATGTCCACAATTTACCGGGGCAAGAATATAGGGAATTTCAAAGGTTACCTTTAGGATGTCTGTGTTGGAGAAGGAAAAAGGAGACAGATTACAGATTGCTGTTTTGAATGGCCTTCAGTAGAAGCTTCAAACTCAGCTGCTTTAAAAATTGTGTGTGTTTTTGTTTTTGTTTTGCTTCCAAATTGATACTCCTGTTTTTTCAGGCCAGCTGGAAGCAAAGCATTTTCATGAGATCCAGCAACTTAATTAGTGAGGTAGGAATCGCATCTCTTGAAGAAGGAACAATGGTTGGGGTTATACGAAGACTTTTCCTTCCTCCCCGTTTTTCAAATCGGATCAGGTTTAATTCAGTCTGGATAAAGAAAATGAGAAATACTCCTTTCTCTGAAATACACTGACAAAACCCCAAATTCTAAAGGGAAGTTGTTAAAGGCTGAGCCATTTGATATTGCTAGATGGCGGATGCAGACTGTTACGTTTGTAAGGTGATTAATGTTTTTCTGCAGCGAAGTTATAAAAGCAGCAGGAGGGACATAATCAGACCAAAAGATAATTATTTCATACACAAAATTAAAGAAATGTAGGTTGTGATGCAATGAATACTTAGATAGAAAAAAATCCTACAGCAGTCAGGATTCCCTGGACATGCTAGCCAGGGAATCCTGGTTGCTATAGAAACTTTTTTCTTTCTTAATATACATCGGCTTGCAACCTAAATTTCAGAACCGCATTTCAGTGGCCGGCATCTGGAATTGTGCAGGTTAGATATCACAGGGGCTTTGAAGGGTGTCCTTTTTTGAAATCAAAGAAACCCCTCGCACATACATTGCAACACTAGCTGGAAATATTCAGCTGGGTTAAATTCTGTTACAAATAATAGCCCGAACCAGACATTTCAAATACGCAAAAGAGCTGTGTTGAAACCTGGAGACAGCAGGGACTCCCAAGGGAAGAGCAGATGTTCTCTTATATTGAGCTTTGGAACCAGCAAGTCCCCAAAAATAGTCTGCTGGCATTCGTGAACCATGCTGTGGGCCCATCTTCCCCAACCGTGTTGGACAACATTCCCATCATCTCCAGCCGGCATGGACAGTGTGCTTTTTGATGCATGGATATCTGAGAGAGCTTGTTGTGCTTTTTCGTGTACTGGCATGCAGTTTCCATAGTCCGGCCCAAGAGCTGAGCATGCCAAAGACCATTTCTTTCAGTAGGTTTAACTATGCTGCAGGCCATTTACGTCCATGGGTTTTAGCGCATTAAACTGTGGTCACTGAAAATCCCAACTGAGAAAAGAAGATGTAGTCAGTCATCCTATGCTAATACACAGGGAAGAAATGGGAAGCCCCACTTTCATGTAAAAGCTTGCTAAGTCTGCACTTTGGATTTTGGGAAATGACTGGGTCAGAGGTCACAAAGGCTGGCAGTGCGATCCTAAGTATGCCTTTTGTGGCATTAAGGTAAGTCTGTGCAGGATTGTCTAGGACAGCACAGAATTCCCTCCACGGAAGCAGACAGAATCTTCTCCGGGGAATTCCCCATACAAGGCCATGGATTTTCGTATGTGTGGAAGCAATGGGTTAATCACTGCAAGGCAGAAGCACACAAGTCTTCAATGGGCGTCCCAACAAGTTAACCCCTAAAGGAGAATAAAAGTTGAAAATTGAAAAGTTGAAAAACGATCAAGCCAATTGTGGGTAGCAGCAGCTGTGAAAAAAGCATGAAAAGGTTTTTTCATGCTTTTTAACTCTACAGCAGATATATGGGAAGCTGTATATGGGTCGGCTCCATTTCCGCAAGGACACTTAAGTTTTTTTCTCGAGGCTGTGTTTCCCATGCAAAATTCCAGTTGTCTTTTTAAGGGTGCTGCTGGAAAAGACACCGTAGGGGGTGGCCTTCTCCGACCTGCCACCTGCCAGGTACGAGACCACAACTCCCATTATACCCAGTGAGCAGGCAGTGGGTTGTGCTGGCTGGGGATACTGGGAACGGTGTGGTCCAACACCCCAGGAAGGCACCAGGTTGGGAATGGCAGTGTTACAGAGTAAGGTCCTTTGAATACAATGGGAATTGTTTCAGAATAAAACATGCGTAGGATTGTGCTGTAACTGTATTATAAGCTAGAACTATGATTAATAGTAGGAAAAGCGAGCGTAGTGGATGCATGGGGTGTTTTGTGAGCAGTCAGAAGGGCAGATGGGCGTGAGCAGAAGCTCTGTGCGAGTACGTTGCCTTCCATGAATGCATTTTGAGTTTTTGAATGATGAGATATTAAATAGTCAGAAAGAGTTAAGCAGACACTGCCCATAACTTTAAAAAAATGCCGTAATGCATGGCCCTTTAAACCTTTTTAATCTTCTTCAGGCTAATGTGAGATAAAGGGTTGGGCCCAGATTTAAGGGGGCGAGTGCGATGGCAACTGGGGGTTCCTCTTCCTCGTTTCTGTGGCAGCCCCTGGAAATGCCCCGTAGGGTCTGGAGCGCTGCGGATGGGGTGGAGCCGTAGGGTAGGCAGGTTCACCCAGAACTGGACTAGTCACAAAGGAGGCAAATCCTCAATCTAACCTAATTATCCCACATAGGTGAGATAACGTGGGAGAAAGTTATTTCTTATTAGATGGTTTAACCTTGTTTTAGTAAACACTGACACTTACTAGTTAATGGGGGAAATTGGGGTGTAAGTAGGTCATTTTTAAAGGCACTTGGTACTATTTGAGATGTATTGTTGAATGTCATACGAAGACACCCTGGTCTACCCTCACAGACATGCTCTGGTCTTGAGACTTGCCGGAAAGGCTAAAAACAAGTGCGTCATAAGCTAGTTTTGAAACTTACCGCCAAACCTAAAAGGAACCCTTTACCCATAATGTGACTGAACCAAGGATGGCATTTTATCATCTACCAAAGGTCCTTGGGTCTGAGACCAGGGGTTGAGATGTGAAGCTTCTCAAATTAAGAATACACCCCTCCACAGCCCAGGCTCTTGTGACCTTAATATTTTCACAAAATGTTTACTTGTTTCAAAGTTCTGCTGTCTCACATGCATTCTGTGTGTTTAGTATTGTTTTAGATTTTGTTTATTGTTATTTGTACTTAGTTCACATTATCACTGTTTGTATTACATTGATTTTTTTCTCATTTTAACCTCATTGGGCTGGATCCCATCTTAGTCATACTTTGAGCAGACCTGTTGAAATCAATAGGCATGAACTTGACCATGACGACTTAAGGCCTGTTGATTTCAGTGGGTTTATGCCTGGATCCAACCCACGACTTTTAATTTTTAATGTTTAATATGATTGCTATTTACCCTGTAGAATACAGCACTTTGGAATAACTTACAAACCAAGTTAGCATATGCAAGTGAAAGCAACCAGAAGTAGATGGGGAATAATCACTGTGATCATTCGTGGCCTATTAAAAGATCTTTGATTGGAGGACTCCATTCTGAACACTTCTAAGAGAAGTGAATTTGCAAATGTAAAGGCCTTGGGCTGTAGCTTTGTCAACCATGTTTTAAAATTCGGGCATAAAAGCATCTGACCACTGGCCTCTGCTCATTCAGTGTCAGATCCAAACGGGATCTCCTCCTCCGGATTAACCCCATCTCCTCTTTTGCCCTTCTGTAGGACCTGTGTATGTGTGTGTATTTAAAACTAGCTGGCTGTTGTAGGTGGCTGCCTTTATTATGCATGGGTTGCTTTTAAAGGATTGTACTGTATACATATTTTAGTGCATTGACGAAAATAAAGAGTCATGAAATGGAAATGTTTCTTTCTGGCAACATTAACATTCTGTAAGCTGCTTTTCACAATTTCAGATTTCATACGAAACCCAACTGTGGCATCTTGATGAGAAACTCATGAATCTAAAAAGAGTACTGTTTTAAACTGGGCATGCCTATATTTCATCAGAGATGAGTAAGAGATGAACACTGCATGGGCAATCATACAATTAAGGTTACAAACATGGGCAGTCACTGGTGCCCATGGAGTCGCCCTGGTTTTGCTTGGATATGGAGGGGCTGTTGTTGTTATATTACTAAATTTACATTTATATCCCACTTACATAAATCTCCAGTCCATTTCTATCCCCATAACAACTCAGGGACATGGGAAGGGTGGCAACCGGGCGAAGGGCCTTTTCTGCTGCTGCTCCCCATCTCTGGAACTCCCTCCCTAGAGAAATCTGCCTGGCGCCGTCTCTATTTTCCTTTCGGAAAGGCCTTGGCAATTACAGGCAGCCTATAAATAGATGTATGTCAATAAACAACAACCCTGTGGGGTAGGCTAGGCTGAGAAGCCAGGGCTGGCTCAAGGTTCTGCCAGTGGAGCAGACCTGGAGCTGGCCCTACCATCAGGCTCAGTGAGGCTGCCTCTTCCAGCGGCGGCACAATTTCGGAGGGCCGAGTGCTGAGGATTCACCCTGCACCTGCAAAGTTAGCCTACGGCCTTCAGGTGTTTCGGAGGATGCTGCCCTGGCATCCACCTTGAAGGAAGATGGGGCTGTAGGTATTATGTTGTCCTTTGCCTCTGGCCACAAAAAAGTACCGGCCGACCCTGAATGGGGTATTTAGGGTGGGCTTGAGAATTTCCAGGAAGAGGAGGCCATAGCGGCTGCCTTCCTGCACAAGGCAGAAAATGGTTGCGGAGCACCAGGTGCTGGGGAACACGGGCAGGAATGTGGGCTTTCGCAGAGGCAAGTGTTTGGCCGTAGGATTTCACCTGTGAGAGGCACAGAGAAGAGATGGGAAGAAATGCTTTGCATAGCTTGACTGGAGGGAAAAGCGCAACATGGTGACTGAACCAAAGCAGAGCAGACCAAACGAGGAGGAAAACATTAAAAGCAGACCTGGTTGGACCTTGACGAGATCATGTTGAAGCCAGGACTCTCTCGGAGGGGAGAGCTTTGGATGACCAAACACATCACTTCAGTACACAACCAACATTTCCCTTCCCTTCCCCGTTAGCTATTGGATGTTTCAGAACTCCTTCTAGATTTTAGCAACTGTCTGGCAGCCCTAATAGACCAGCCAAGATTTGAGCACATTCAGTCTTGCATTTCAAACTCATTCAAACCTGTCATGATTCCAGCGTTTGCCTCTGCTTTCTGGAAAGTCGTGGGGCGAGGGGTGGAGGCACAGTACCCCAACCCGGATCACACCCTTAGCTACCCCATCCCCACATACAAATCCAGGATCTCATAGGAGCAAGAAAGGTGAGGTGGCAAAAGCCCCCAGGCTGAGGATCGCAGGATGTCTGTGCACGCAGCAAGCGGTAATAATAGTAGAAATAGCGATGTCACTTGAGCATACACAACCAGTGGGCTTGCACTGGTCTACCTTCAGGGTTGTTGTAAGGGACGGTTTGCGAAGCATTTTAAGGACACACTGCTACGAGGGTCAGTGACTCCGTGGTTCTCGATGCACTTAGAACTGATTTGTTTCAAAGTTTCAATTCTTCCCCCTACCATGTGGCTTTATTTTATTTTGTTGTCTGTTCCAACAGATTTGGCTTGACATAATCTGAACTGTGGTGTTGGCAGAAATGCCTATGCATTCCGTGGACACCAAAGGTGATGAACAAGCATGTGCTGAAACATGTTAAACCTAGTCGGCAAAACAACAAAACTGACCCTCACTCACTTTGGGCACGTCATGATCAACCTCATTAGAGAATGAAATCGTGTCTGGGATGCTCCATGGCAAGAGAAAACCAGGTTGCTAAAGAGTGTGGTGCTTAGAGCCATCCAAGAAGATACGGGCCAGAGCATAATTCAGATGAAAGAGGTGGCACCGGATCAAACAATGTGCGATTTGGCTCATGGGATCCCTTGTAGTTGAACACAACTGAACAGCTGAACAACAAGAAGTTGGAATGGCTCTTTTAGGTTCGTATAAAGAGGTCTTCATGCCAACGGATGCAGCTGCTGAAGCTGGCCTCCTCCGTCTAAAATCGCCGCATCTCTTCGTCACGCCATACAGACCCACACCGTTCTCCCAGAGCGGGGCTGCCCCGCAGGAGGGAGGAGATTCAGGCATAGGACTCTGTCCCACTGCAAAGCTGTGTGCTAAGTTACAGGAATTTGCCTGTAGTGACTGAAAACCTGACTAGATTTCAACCATGAGATCACATCTCCATAACTAAGTCGATTCCCCACACCCTTAAACCAAGGGTGCCCTCTGCTAGGTTTCCCTCAGCATTTCGGTGCCAGGTAAAGACCTTTTTATTTAAACATCATTTTAATTGTTAAAACATATGATCTGGCCAGGGCAACTTCTTCTTCCTTCTCTTTCTCCTCCTATATTTTTATTTACTTAATTTATACTGATAATTTTAATCTTATATTTGTAAATCAATGTATTTTTTGTATTTTGTATTTAATGGTAATTTATTATGTGCTATTGTATTTCATTGTATTGTTTCGGCAAGGGGCGGCATAGAAATGTTATTACAATAATAATAATAATAATAATAATAATAATAATAATAATAATAATTGTCTCTCTCATGTGCTTGTAGAAGGACAGAGACACATTCACTCATTCATTTAAAACGTTTATATCCGTCCGCTACTGAGGTCTTGGGGCGCTCTTGCAAAAAAGCATCCCCTCCTTTATAAGTTGATTAAATGTGCGTCCCGCCTTTCAACACTACAGTATAAAATACAAATCGCTCATCCATTTGTTGGTCAGTGGTGGTTCTTTTTGTGTCCCTCTTTGCTTGGAAGACGGTGCAGCTTTTGCATAATTCTTCCATGAGCCGCACGCAGCATCCTCTGCCGTGTTGCTTTGCAACCAGCGGTGAGGAAGACGAGCGAGTCCAGGCAATGCCTCTCAGAGGACCCCTCAGCAAGGACCCCAGCTGGCCTCCCTTGTTGACAGTCATAGAATTAAAATGAAACCTAGCAGAATCCGTTCCCTCCGGCATTCTAAGACTGGGCTGCGCACAAGAGGAACTCCACAAACCTGGTGGAAGAAAGTTGCACAATTGGCAACTTTCCTCCATGTCAGAGGCTTGCGCAGTGCATGGAACTTGATTCCTGGACAGCACCCCACAAACAGCGCCCCAGGAACACAAACACCGAAGCTCCCACAAAGCCGACTGGAGTTCCCGGAACTGCAAAGATTCTCATGCCCAGAAAGGATTCTTCACACATCCCTAGCAGCCTGAACCTTTTTCCACAGTCCCTCCAAGTATGTCTCACCTGTGCCGAGAACTGTGTTGCTATGAACAAAAGCCAAGTCCACACAGCCGTGGGTGCACATGTGAGATTGCGAGAGAGCCTTCTCAAGATTTGAAATACTATGCAGATATTTTTTTGAGAATGACATAACCAACGGCAATGCTTGAGAAGAAATATTGTGTGTGTGTGTGTGTGTTTTGTGGGTTTGGCCTCACCTACCCTAAAATTTTGATTCTTTTTGATCGAGAAAAAAGAACAGAGAGTAAAATAGTAGAGTTGGAAGGCATCAAGAGCCATCAAATGGCTCCTGGACAGAAACTGGACAGCCATCTGAGTGGGATGGTGTAATGTGGTGTCCTGCAACAGCAGGGGGTTGGATTCAATGGCCTTCATGGCCCGTTCCAACTCTTCTGTTCTATGATTCTATGAAATGCAGGACTCCCTGTTGGACCGTCCCTCTCAGATGGCTGTCCAGCTGCATCTTGAATGCCTCCAGTGTGGGAGAAACCACAACCTCCCTGGGTTACGGCTTCCGTTGTTGCACTGCTCTGATACCTAGCCAGAATCCGGCTTCCTGTAACCTGAGCCTGCTATTCCGTGTCCTGCACTCTGGGATGATCAAGAAGAGTTCCTGTCCTTCCTCTGTGTGGCAGCCTTTCAAGGACTTGATGAGTGCTATTCTACCTGCCTTCAGTTTTCTCTTCTTGAGGCTTAACGTGCCCAGTTCCTTCGACCTCAATTCACAGGGCAGATTTTTCAGTCCCTGGATCGTCCGTTGCCCTCCTCTGAACCCTTTCCAGTTTGCCTGCACCTTTCTTAGACTGTGGGGCCAAGAACTGGACACAGGACTCCAGGGGAGGCCTAAGTAGAGCTGAGTGGAGGGGAACTAGGGAGGTGGGCCTTTTACGATCTCCCCTGAACAACTGTATTAGGTAATGCTTTTTTTTTTTCTTTTTAGCCTAGCCCAACTACTCTCTGGCCTTGCTATTAATAAGGACTGACATGCTTCTCAGCATTTCTGGTCTATGCTACCTCGGTAACCTGCCTGTTTCACCCGAAGGAAAGATGAAAGCCTTCATATTTTCAGAAGTGGACATCCACTGTTGTTTCTGCTTCCCGAAATGCAGTTTCAGCTTCAATCAGATGCATGCCTGGCTAATTCAGATGGACCACAAGTCTTCATTTCAAGAGTGGGTCAGGCTTCACGGTTGTAGCACCTGGCCAATTTGCAGGGGAGGGGAGGTTTCTCCTGCCAGATGATGAGGAGCTGTAGGAAATATAAAACTTTTCACAGCTTTGGAAGATTTAGATTGGTCCTATCCACTTGGGGCATAGGAATAGGTGTCATAAGTACATGTTAGGGGACAAGTGGCTGGAGAGCAGCACTTGTGAAAGGGACCTTGGGGTGCTGGTTGACTGCAGGCCAAACATGAGCCAGCAGTGTGATGCGGCGGTCAAGAGGGCGAACGCCACCCTTGGCTGCATAGCCAGAAGTGTGGCTAGTAGATCAAGAGAGGAATCACTACCACTCTGTATGACTCTGGTGCACCCACAACTGGAGTATTGTGTTCAATTCTGGGCTCCACATTACAGGAAGGATATAGCCAGGTTAGAGTCAGTGCACCGAAGGGCCACAAGGTTGGTGGCCAGTTTGCAAGGGATGCCATCTGAGGCGAGACTGAGGGAACTGGGTCTCTACATCCTAGAGGAGACTCAGAGGGTATCTGTTGGCGAAATACAGGTACGTGAAGGGGTGTCACACAGAGCTGGGTAGAGACCTGTTTTCCCCTGGAGAGGAGGGCAGGACGTGCTCCAATGGAGCCGAGCTCAGAGAACAAAGTTTCAGTTTGGATGCCAGGAAGCACTTCCTGACAGTTAGGACCCCGAGGGTATGGAATGGGCTTCCATGGGAGTTGTTGAGGCCCCATCGGTGAGGGTGTTCAAGGATAGGCTGGACATGCACATGGTGGGCATGTCGTGAGCGGAGCTGGCTGGAGCCGGGGGTCAGACTAGATGGCCTGGGAGACCCCTTCTGACTCGCTCTGTTTCTATGTTTCAAATCAGGGACTTTTTGAGTCCTCCTAGATGACTAAGTGATGCTGGGAACAACTGATGGCGAAAGAAGATGGGGACGGCAGAGGGTGAGGTGGCTGGATGGGGTCACTGGGGAGGTAGGTGTGGACTTGGGTGGACTCCGAGGGATGGAGGAGGACAGGAAAACCTGCAGGAATGTTGTCCATGGGGTTGTGATGGGTCAGGCACAATTTTGCAGCTAAACAACAGACAGCTAAGTAGGCCCTTCTGTGCTTTGATGCCTAAATCAACCTGGATTGCACAAGGAATAAAGAAGGCATTTTTCACAGAGATGATGGGACAGAGGGGCGATGAGGAAGGTGATGCTGTCCGCTCTGTTCTACACACAACAATCAAGTTTTATTGGTTCTACAATGTCAGGAGGAGTGCTTTCATGACACACTGTCAAATAAATTAGCACTAGTACTAGAAGTGGTCGTATATTCGAGGAGAGACAAAACAGAGAAAAGAGCGTGTCCTCTTGAGGGAAGGGAGTATGTAGCGGCCCCCATCTGCATGTTGTGGGGGAAAAAGGATCCAAAGAAGTAAAAGTTACACATAAGGTGCAATCCTATGCATGTTGAGACAGAAAATGTCCCACAACACAGGTTGGGACACGCCGGAAGTTGTTGCGCTTTTTGTCCAAACTTGCATTGGATTGTGTCTTTAGACAGCCTTTCCCACACGGAGAATCCCGTTTTCTGACATTACATACCATAATTTCAACACATGCGCATGCATTACAGATTTGCGGACTCGGAGATTGGAACGCTGCACAAATTCTTTCAGCAGTCCCTCCTGACGGGAAGAGTGGAGGCAGGAGGCAGGGCGGGCAACAGGTTTGTATGCGCAGCAGAACAACCATGCGCAATCGCGGCGATCTCTTCAAGGAATTTCCGGGGCATTTCAGGGACAACGTTGCGCCGAAGTGCATCGACCGTTTCTTCAATGCGCTCCAGCTTCTTGTGGATTGCATCTAGGTAATTCATGATTTCTTTCCTGAAGTGTTCCAGTCCTTCACCTGGATGCAAAGAAAAAAAAATAAATAGTGCGAGGGCGAAGAGTGTTGCAGAACGGTCAAGTATCCAGTGCAGGAATTCTTTTCATGTGCTGCTACTGCTGTTAATTTGTATAGCTGAAAGAAATACTGAAAGTCACAGACTCAGTACTTGGTGTTGTGTATTAACAGCAGACACAAACATGCGTGCAAACGAAATACCTTTAGACCAAGGACTAATCTCATTCTGGGGCTCCCGGGAGCTTCATTCTGCTGGTGGGCAGAGCCAAAGACAAAACGGGCAGGGCCAAAAGGCAGATATTCAAAATACACACACACCTTCCATTTGTCAATGAATGTCACACTGTTGGTGTTGGATAGTTGTAAGATGTCTGGCATGTTTGCACGGCAAAACTTCCACACACAAGCTAACTCTCTTCTGTGAAGGACACAGAAGAGAGATTCAAATTGTGACAACCCAGATTCAGGCTGAACATCAGGAAAAGCTTCCTCACTGTCAGAGCAATAGGACAGTGGAACCAGCTGCCGAGAGAGGTGGGGGGCTCTCCCACACTAGAGACATTCACAAAGAGACTGGGCAGCCACCTGAGCGGGATGATGGGACTTGGGGTCCTGCACCAGCAGGAGGTTGGACCCGATGGCCTTCATGGCCCCTTCCAAACTGTACTATTCCATGATTTTATAATTCGATGAATCTATGGAACAACATTGAAGGATGCTGCAAAATGTTTTTGAAATAATGGCATCTGTAATATTATAAAATGCCCAGAAGTTTAAATTAAGTTTGTTTGCAAACAAGCCAAATCCGACTCCCTTGGCCCTTTGTAAGGCTAAACATGCAATTTTTTCATTAAAAAATAAAATGAAGTCCAGTATTATGCCATTCATTCATTCATTCATTCATTCATTCATTCATTCAATCAATAATTCGTTCAACTTTATCACACTAGAGAGCCCGTGTGGGTGGAAGAAAGAGTGCTGGACCAGGGAGCCAGGAGATCCAGGTTCTAGTTCCCACTTGGCCATGAAGATCTCTGGAGAGCTCTGGGCCAGTCACAAACTCGCAACAGAACCTACCTCACAGGGCTGTTGTTGTGAGGATAAAATGGAGCTATGCAAGCTGCCTTGGGTTCCCCATAAAGGGAAATAAGGTGGGATATAAATACATCATCATTGCCACTGTATCTTAAGCACTACCAAGTGTCCAAAAGCAATGCACATTCCTTGCTGGCAAAAAAAAAAGCTAAATCTGACCCTGTTGGCACATCCAATGCCACAAATGCCATTCTTCTCATTTAAAAAAAAATAGTGGAGACAGATGTTCTGACAGCTGCACACTACCCACCTCTGGAAACACACACTGCATGGACCAGATGGGATCCCAACTTTCCCAAGGAAATGGAAGTATTCGGAGAGTTTACTCACACGAGTGGCAACTCTGAGGAGGTGGAGAAGGAGAGGAAGCTCCTGGAGTAAGAACGGCGCCGTTGTCGGAGGCCGGCAGGGCGGCCGGGCAAACGGCGTGGTTGTCGTCGTCGTCACTTGAGAAGTGCATTTCCTGGAGCACCGCCACTTGCTTCACCTCTGTTGGGACCTCCGTTTCTGGATGGAAGGGAGCCGATTCGGAAGATCCCTCCTGGACAAGCTGCGACTGCGACTGGGAGGCGGACCACTCTTCCTCCGAGGGTGGATAAGGATGCGGCGGCGGCGGGTCCTGCTGGGATGCGGCCGCGTGGCTCGGCAGCTCTTCTCCTTCCAGGGGTTCTATTTTGACCGCCCCTTCTTTGCTCTCACAGACGTTGTCCTCCTTCTCCTGCTTCTCTTGCTCCCCTTCTGTAGTGCTTATCCTCCGAATATCAACTGAGACATGAAAGGTACACTTCAGTCTGGGGTTCCCCTTCATGACTACCTCTGTGTCCAAGGACACGTGCCTCGCTTCCCACCAGGTACCCCGACCCTCCAGCTTTTCAAAGTTCTCTAGCAAAGCGTCCAGAGAGGCACTCGCAGCATCCAGGGTTACTAAAAAGGAGAAGTCGTTTCTAATTTGGGGTCAAACAAATTACTTTGTCCCTGCACAGAGACTCACCTTCCTGAGGCTATAGTCCGTTAGCTGAGAATCAAAAACGAAGAACTCCTTTGCAAAGAGACCATCTATTGCTTGAAACGAATGAAGGGAAACCCAGCTCCCGATACAATGCGATACAAGCGATCATTTCACCAGCCCGTTCTTAATTAACAGCTCTTACTTACTTACTTACTTAATTAACCTGGAATTGCTTACCGGGCCACTTGCGCTCTCCAAAGGTGGGCTTGCCTGCCAGGAGCCAGATGGATCGCACCTGCGTATAATACTGCGGAGCATCCTTAATGGCCAGCTGCCCGAGGGCGGCCCTCATGCCCTGGCTGAAGAACTGTGCCTTCAGGCGCTTCCACTTGGCTATGATCTGGGCCATGGACCGCCTGTGCCCGTGCGAGCGCAAGTGCTCCTGCACGGCCTTCCAGTACTTCCTGTTTGCCGCAGAGGTGCTGCCCATCAAGACCTTCACTCCCGGGTTATGAGAGATTGCCGAGAGCATCAGCTTGGTTTCCTCTGTCGTCCACCTAAGGTGACTGCATGGAGACATTGCATTTCAAGGAAGGAAAGGGAGAAGAAAAGGGAAATGCACACACGGAGGACTGTTCTGAGGTCTTGAGTCACTTTCCGGAAAGGGCAGGGATGGAAAACCGCTGTGCTGCTCAGGGAGGGGGTGGCAAACCAGGCTGAAGGGGTGTGCAGAATGCCATCGAGGGGGTTGGCTGCCGAAGGGGACCTGCTTGGGCATGTCCTGAGGGCCCACACCCCCGCAGGGGCCCGCTGGCAAGAGCTGCCTGGGTTCCCTCCCCTGCAAACCACCTGCTCGGCCGGCTCAGTCGGGCCCCGAGAACTGTGGTGGGGGAAAGATGCCACGGACTCCTTGCTCAGTGGCTTTCTGCCTGCCAAACAAGCAAGCAGGAGCAACGGTGGGAAAGAGGACCAGGAGCAGCTGCAGCTGGGGATGATGGGGAAACAAGGAAAGCCGCCCTGGGGACAACCTTCCCACCGACTTCTCCCTTTATACTCTCCTCCACAGCACGGATTCCACTCCCTAGTGGAGGCGGCCTGTGGCAGACTTCACAAAAAGTCAGGTCCTCTCCTCCTCCTCTCCCCTGCACCACCCCCTGGCCGAAGCCCAGGCCGACGCACATGGAACCGATGGACCAAAGCGGGGCTGTATGCGTAAGCCAACAACACGAGACGAAAGGACGAGCCGGTCTTTTTAAAACTGCAAACTGAGCTCAAAGCAGTACATAAGCATGGACACACGCTTCGGGATTGCTGTTTATGGAGATGCATGAAAAAGATGAAGAGGGGTGCAGAACCTCCGGCAAACCTGGGGGCCGCCCGGTCTGTCCTTGGCCTCCCCCGCAACCCCAAACCCTGATCCTTTTCTGCCCCGGCCTTCTCTTTCCCCCGAGGAGGGCTGAAGTCACTGGCTGGCAGAGCTTTCTGCTAACACGTGTGTGTGGGGGGGATATTTTGGACCCCCCCTTTTTGCCATTGGTTCCACCCACCCACCAGCGCAACGCAACTGCAAGCGATTCTCCAGGATGGAATTTGGCCCTTGGAGTGGAAGAGATTCAGCACCCCTGAGAGACGATCACAGACACAGCAAGAACAGGCGTACACGCAAAACTGCGAAAAAGAACGACACGAGGCGAACATGCCCTGGCACGCAACGCATGCGGGTTTCTTTACGTACTAGGAGCACACGAATACACGGCAAAATCTGCCCCGTGGTTAGACTCAACGCTAGTCAAGTCGCCACTGGCGGGGGGAAACGGAACAGAATCGTCCAGGGTTGTATGGAGGAAATCTGCCGAGCTTTGCGCTTGAAGCAAAACCGTGAGACATCCGTACCTCTCCCCTGCATGGATGCATTGGTGGATGATAAGCTTTGATTTCTGGGCGAATTGCTTCCCACAGTCTAGGCAGATGCTCTTTTTCCTAGCATCATTCACTGGAAGAAAGGGCAGACACCGGAGAAGCTTCACTTCAGGATGGGTGAAGGAACCTCGTACACCAGACGGAACCAAAGGAAAAGAATCACGGGGCCTTTGGGGTGTTTTTGTTTTGGTTTAAGCCCTTCTGATGGATTAAAGAGGTGGCCTGATCGACTAGAAAGCAGGCGTTCCTAATTACTATGAATTTTAAAAATACCAATCTTCCTAACAACAGAAGATGGAAGGGGCCCTCTTGGAAGAGGCATCTTGGGAGAGGCACCCCCTTCAACTCTTGACAGGTGAGAAAGCCTCTTTTAAGACCAATCACACCCCTGCAACAGAACTCTAGATCATCTGAAAGCAAGGTCTTGACTTCAAACCATCGCTTCGCATGCATCTTCAACAACTCGACTGGCAGCACAATCTGGGGCACCTTTCCTCGGAAGCAAACCCTAGTCAGTTCGTCCTGGGTACAGGGCCTTCTTAACGCATGAGCCTGATGAGCACTTGCCTGTGGGCCCCATACTAATCTGTGTATGTTAACCCTTGGAACATTGGAAAACTTCCAAAATTAATGGTAGTTGTAGTTGTCGTAGGGGCCCCGGTACACCGCTTTGTCCGGGGTCCATACTGCTGTTAAGACGGCCCTGTCTAGGCAAGCATGCCTGTTAGCAATGGCAAAGCCACTGAAGGGTAGCGACATTGTTCTCAAACAGGGAACATGGCCATGTCAAAATGAGAGGCGCGTGGACGTCTCTTCACGGCACATGGCCCCAGGCGTTTACCGCAAGGGTGGGGAACAGGGCTTCAGGCATGCAGCTACAATCTAGCCTTCCTGGGTTTCCCAGGTGGTTTGTTCCCTGTCCCCCCTCTCCCCAGAAGCGATCCTTGGGTAGATTCCCAGCTTTCATGCAGTTTTTCCTCTCTCCGTTGCAAGGCCTCTCTCAAGGCTGAGCTGATGGCAAGAAGAGCTTCAGGCAAAAATCCACCAGGATCCTGTCTGTTTCCTTCCTGCCTCCTTTCCCTCTGGCTCTGTCCCACTTGCCTTCAGCCCTACCCAAGGCTGGAATGAAGCCCTAGGAGTTGCTATTAAATGGAATGTGGTCCTTGGAGCTGCTATTAAGCGGAATGTGGTCCTCAGAGTGAAAGGGCTTGGACACCCCTGGACATGCCTCTCCTTCAAAGACAGTTTGCTCGTTCTCAATCTGAGACAAGTAGCAGGAAATGCTGAACCAAGGGGTTGTACGAGGAGGCAGGCCAAAGAAACTTCCAGATGTTGGGATTATTGAAAGACAAGCTCCTTCTGTCTTACTGATCTATTTACATGCACATCCCATCATTTTTCCTGCCAGAAACCAAAAATGGCTTATATAATTTACATTTCCCTCTCCATTTTTTCACTAGAACCCTGTAAGGTAGGCTAGGCTGAGTCTGTGACTGGCCCAAAGTTACCCAGCAAGTTTCTCAACCGAGTGGGGACTAGAACCCAGGATCTTCCCATTTCCACTCCAGTGCTCCAAGCCGGACACCACGGCAGCCCTCCAAGCCATGAAGCCATTAGAAAGCCATCCCTGAGGGCCAACTTCCTGTCCTTCAGAGTGAAGAGATCTTTCTGAAGATAATGCACTCACATTCACCCCAAGGGAGAAAAGTTCCAGGTAAGCAGGAAGGGAGTGTGTGTTTGTGCGGTGTACCACAATCCTCTTTACCTGAGCTGAAGTTAGCAATCTCTGTTTCACCCAGGACCCGAGAATCCGGCCCCCAGGGGTCTGTGCCTCGTTCCAGGCAGGAGATGAAACCAGGCTTGGGGACTGGAGATTCTTCTTCGGAAAGAAAAACAGAGAGAGCCAAAGTTGGCAGGAGGAATTTGGCTGGACCCCCCAAGGGCTCCTAAGGGACTTTTATCCAATGGCAAGACTTGGGGAAGGGGCAAGCTCTGTGCCGGCACTTTAACTGGGGTGCCCACCAAGAACCTCCAGGGGCAGCAGGGGGAGTGGGGAGGCCTGTATGGAAGGGAAGAGCCTGCTTCACATGGGCTGGGCAGCAAGCGGAGGAGGAACAGCGTCCCTTCAGTCCAGGGGATACACACATGCCCAGAGCACCAGCTTCCAGGACTCCACAGCAACAAACCTTCAATGAACCCTTTTGCTGGTGCGTTCATTCTGCGTGCAGAGCCAGTGTGGTGTGACGGGTCAAGTGCTGGATTGGGGACCTGGGAGAGCTGGGTTCCAGTCCCCACTAGGCCAGGAAGCTCACTGGGTAGCTTTGGGGCAGTCACTCATTCTCAGCCTACCTCAGAGGATTGTTGTTATGAGGATAAAATGGAGCTATGAATGGGTGCTTCACAAGAGGAAAAAGGGTGGGATATAAATGCAGTGTAATAGTAATAGAATATCTATAGCACTATGGAGTATCAAAAATAAATGCAAAATAATAATAATAATAATAATAATAACAGCAACAACAACAGAGGAAGCTTTTTTAGACCACCATCCAGGTACGCAAGAAATGAATCGATACATCAGAGGTGGGGAGCCACCGAGCTAAGAGGCCAAATCGATGGCACCTGCAGCCTGAATTGAACCCTCCAAGGTTTTGTCGAGGGTCTTCAGTTGGGGAATTACCTCTCTAGCTTGATCTACTCCTTTTCCTAATCCAGACCAGCAAATTCTTTCCCAGCTATTATGAGGTTTTTCACTCCCTACTCTAAAAACATCTCTTCAAAAGCTTAGCCAGTGTAACAGTCTTTTTTACCTCACCGTCTACCACCACCCTACAATAAATGAATGTAAATACAGAAAGGCCTTCTCCCGATCAGGAGGAATAAATCAATGCAGGAGGGAAACGCATCCGTGTGCTTTAGAGTCCCTTGGAATCTGCCCCAACAGAGGAGAGGGGAGCCTTACCCAGCAGTGAGGCCACATTCCCGTAATTCTCCAGCATGACCTCCCTGTACAAGGCCCTTTGCTCCGGATCCAGCAAAGCCGCCTGCCCCTCTGTGAAATGCACTGCCACATCTTCAAAAGTCACCGGCCCCTGCAAGAACAAGGGGCCCTCAACAGATCGCCCCTTACAGACCGTCCCCTTGCCCCACCCTGCGCTGTTCGCTGGGCGCCCTGCCCTCGAGGGATCTCTTACCACCAAAGCTAATTTGGCTGCTATCCTCCTCCTTCGCCTGGATGTTATGGACACTCCAGACCGAGTAGATGAAGCCATTCCGTTCTCTGTGGGTGTGAAAAGCAAATTAAAGCAAAGAGGCTTGCTTTAAGAAATACATCCCCCCTTCAGAGCCACAGTCATGGTTGAGCCAGGCTTCTTCCTCTACTTTTGGTCTTTCCATGCGGCCCCAGGAGCACTGCTCAGTCAATACTTGTAAACAAGGGCATCTTTACAGTACATCCCCCTCTATGCCCATCACCTTTGGAAACCAAATCCATCCTTTCTTTATTATCCATATTTATTAAGAATGGTTATCAATATTTATTAGAAACAGTTAAATACATTTAGGATGCATATATACGTGTAAAGAAAATTCTCCAGCCATCATAGAAGTTATAAGAATGGTTAAAACATCACAGTATTAGAATAACAATGCGACATTTTTTAACAATAGCTTTTAAGCTTCTAAGAATTGGGATAAAAGCATAAGTATCTACACCAAGGACAATGTATGAATCACAAGAATGAATGCCAACGTTAGTATCATAGGACTAAGATATACAGAAGTCCTTTACAAATGTAAGTACTCCATAATCTTTTAATATTCAGCAGGTGGTAAGATAGCATAATTCTGGATCTTCACATCAGATCTTAGAAAGGAATGGGAAAATAAAAATAAAAAATATCTTAGCCCGGCACACACACACACAATAAAAAGACAGTGCTGTAGGCATGAGGTGAGCCTCTCTAGGCAGAATGCTTCCAATAGTGAAGATGTCACATAGCCATGAGGACTAGTAGCCATGGATAGCTTTCCCCTCCATGAATTTTTCCAATCTCCTTTTAAAGCTGTTCAAATGGGTGGCTCCCACTCCACCTTCAAGGAAGTGGATTCCATAATTGGACTATACACCGTGCGAAGAATTAGCTCCTCCTCTCAGTCCGAAATCTCCCACCCATCAGCTTAATGGATGACCACTTTGGGTTCTAGTACCATAGGAGGGGAACAACAGTTCTCCATCCAGTTTCTTCACACCTTGCATAATTTTGCACACCTTTGTCACGTCTCTCCTTACTCGACTTTTCTCTAAGCTAAAGAGCCCCAGCTGTTATCATCGTTCCCCCACAGCGAAGTGAAACCAGCCCGTCAGTTGTTTTTAGTTGCCCTTTACCGCTCTTTTTCCAGCTTTGTTGGAAAAAAGAGATATTGCCTTTAGGCGTGGCATTTGGAACTGTACTCAGTATTTCAGCTGCAGCTTTTTCTATATTCACTCTTGTTAAGTCCCATGCGCATTGGCCAGACTACACGCACTCAAACAGATCGATGCATGAAGAGCAGGTCTGTCAACTTGGATTAGCCATGTTGGCTACTGGTAGCCTCAGCGGTCCGAGACTGCCACCTTCTGGCCCTAGGTACGGATATTCGGGTAGTGGGAGGGAAACTGGGCGCTAAACTTGATAAACAGCTTTAGGGTCATCCTGCAAGACAAGCCCAACATTGGTTAGATTAAAGTCAGAGCGCTTTGCCATAGAGCCCCCATACTGCTCGGGAATGATGGGAGTGGTGTTCCAACGCATCTGGAGGGCACGAACTTGGGAATGGGTAGGGTTACTTCCAGCAAGCGGAGCCAGTGCCGTGTAACGATGACAGCCCCTTCTCTCAACTTGGTGTTTTCCAGATGCCTTGGATCATGGGTCATGCTGGCTGGGGCTGATGGGAGTTGGGAGGCCAAAACATCTGGAAGTCACCAGGGTGTGGGCAGCCGAGTGAGCGGTTCAGGCTCCAGCAGGGGAGACCCAGGTTCGAATCCCCACACAGCCGTAAAGCTGACCTTGGGGCAGTCCCCGAAGTCTGCGCCTATCCAGCCTCGCAGGGTTGTTGTGCCCAGGCATGCCCTCCCTCGGAGCGCCTTGGAGAGGGAAGGCGGGCTGGGCAAGCGCGAAAGCGCGGCTCTCCGGCCTCCGCTCCTGGCGCCCAGCTCTCGAAGGCGCCGCTCCTGGAGCAGCCCTCGCCGCCCCTGCAAACTCACCCACTCCGTACATCTCCCCGAAGCGGAGGCTTCCCCAGGCTGCAAATCCCAACCGGAAGGCGGGCTTCGTGGGGATTCCTCGGCCCCTCTAGCAGGCGCGGGCTCGGTCCCCTTAACCCTTTCGGGAGCCGAGCGCCGCGTTGCTCCGACGCCGAAATCAGGTTGTGGCCCCTTAAAGAGGCAGAGAACTTATTTGCAAATGAAATAATAAAATAAAATAAAATACGCATGCCAAGAGGTGCGTATTAAATGTAATTTAATAGAACGTGTAATTTAGCCACATTCTATCTTATTTATTGCATTCTATCTTTTTATTGCATTATGTGGATTGTACTTTTTCCTGTTCATTTATTGTTTGTTGGATTTTGTTGTAAGCCGTCCTGAGACTCTGTTAAGGACGGGGTAGAAAGGCTATAAATAAATAAATAAAGCCTGCTTCTTGTACCGAGGGGGGTCCCCACTGCATTGAAAATTAGGAAGCTTAAGGAATACCACTCAGAACCTATGGGAATGGGGCGGTATATAAATATTAAGATAAAAATAAGATTTAAAAAAAACACCCAGTAAGAACCCAAGAAAAGCCGTGCTTGCCCCCACCAGGGGTCCATCCAGCCCAGAGCTCCAAGCACCGGGACTGGGGCTCAGGCAACCCAGGTTCCAGTCCCCACAATCGGGGCCTTTGGTCCAGTCACGCACTCCCAGCCTAGCCCACCTCGCAGGGTTGTTGTTGTGAGGAGAAGATTGAGAGCAGCCTTGAGTTGCTTGGGCAAGGGGAAGAAGTTACAAGCCAGGAACAGCTGGGTGGCTTTTTCTGGCCACGCACAGCCGCCCAAGCCTTCCAAGGCCGGGATAGGAGGGTAGTGCAAGCGATGGAGGCGAGCTCCTAGGCACGGGGCAACTTCTGCATGTTCCTCTTGACCCGGAATGGGCCTGGAGGCTGTCCCTTGGCACAAGAAGGTGGCCGAGCAGCGCAGCTTTTAATCGGCATGCTGTGGGAAAGCCGGCAGGAGCTGGGATGCACCCGGGTCGTATGCATCCTGGGCTCCATATTCCCTGGGGGTGAAGCCACAGCCTGAAGTTTCCAAGAGCTGAGCAGGACTGTCAAGGCAGGGTATCTTGGCGGGCGCTTGTGGATAGGTCGCCATCAACTGGGGACAACTTGGTGGCCCGTAACAGCAATGGAGCGACAGTGAGGATGTTTTCCACCACCCAAAGGGAGATGAGGCAGGAATATGCCAAGAGGAGGTAGTGAAACGTGAGTTTCCAAGAGCTGAGATGGACTGCCCTGGACAAGGCATGTTGGAGGACAAAGGGCTGCCATAAATCAGAGATGACTTGGTGGCTCCTAAAAGCCAAACCCTGTAGGTCATTAGACAAGGAAAAATGGCTCAAATTAATAAGTCTTCAGCACCAACAGGCAGGGGGCTCCTTAAAGGAGTAGCAAGCACGGAAGTCTCTACCCCAAGAGGTTTTCTAATGGACCATGGGGGCATCTCATGGGATGATTTCAGAAAGCACTCTTTAATTGTAAAAGTTGCAACAATTCAAAGCCCAGTAGCTTAATGCATGTACGGTGCAAAAAAAGAGGCCTGAAACTCCCATAATTCTCAGTTTCTGGCTAAACATGTTTGCACCCTTGCAGGGTAAGCTGGGTTGGGATATGGAGAACATTCAAGGGAGCAGATCTTCTTTGAAGATCTTCTTGGGCAGGAAGTAAAGGTTGAAGCAGCTTTTCCTCTTTTGTGCATGTTCCTTTTCTTCTGTGGGGTGGGGAAAACCCTCCACTTATTTATCTGTTTGATTGTTAGACTGATAGCTTTCTTTTTTAAGAACTCAAAGGCGCTTCCATCATTCTCCTCTTCCTGCTCTCAATTTTATCCCCACCACAACAACCCTGTGAGGTAGGTTGGACTGAGAGTCTGTGACTGGCCCAAAGTCATCTCATTTGATCTGAGGGGGTCTCTGCATAAAGGCGCTAACATCAGCCTTTCTCCTCTATCATTCCAGAGATGCAGCTGTGCAGAAGAGATACTCTCAGTTTCCTCTTGTTCTCCTCCCAGCACCCTGGTCCCTTTGGTCCAGTGAGCCACACAGGCAGGCTCGAATCATGCAGGGCAGCGCAGAGCTCCATCCTCAGCATTTCCAGCAAGGGCCATTGAGGAATCAGTGGCGCAGCTGCTTAAAACTCCACACAACAGCAAATCTCTTTTCCCTAGCCTAGCACGATGGTTGGAAGCAAACCCAACTCATCTCCCTATCTAGAAAAAGAAAAGAAAAAACCCAAAACAAAGGAAAGGAGAAAGAGAGAGAGAGAGAGAGAGAGAGAGAAGCTGAAGCTTTGACAGTTGTCAAAGGGTGGCTCACAGTTTTCCACCATTCTGAGAGCACCTGGGTTGGGAAAGAATGGAAAAGAAGCAAGACACTGAGGAGAATCAGTGCCAAACATATAGAGGATCTCACAGCAAAGGGGCTGACCTTCTGGCCACCCCCTTGCAGGAGTAAAAATCTCTCGTGGTTTTGCACTCTCTTGACAGTTTGCTTTTTGACAGAGCAAAGTGAAAAATAAATCTTTCTGCAGTCTCTTCAGGTCAATAGCCCTTGTTGCCGCTTGCTGCATTTGACAGTGAATGACTCGAGGACACTGTGTGGGAAGAGCTGCCTATTTTGGATCCTCAAAAGTTTTGTTTTTGTATAATTTTGTATATTTTTGTTTTGGTTGTAAGCCGCCCCGAGGCTTTGTTGTGATGGGGGCGGCATAAAAATGTCTTAAATAAATAAATAAATAAATAAATAAATAATAAAGGTGCAAGCTTTCTGCCCTTGCATAGTATGACTAAATAAGAATTCACGAAACGTTTGCACCTTCTTTTAAAGCAAATTAGTCACTGCCCTTCCAATGTGCTGCTCTGCTATTTTGGAGCGATTATTACGGGCTGTCAGCCTGGAGATCACAAAAGGTCATCTCCAGAGGAGGAAAAAAGTGGCAGAGGGAAAGTGCAGCGGAGGGGGGGGGGAGCCAGAGCAAGCAAAAAAAGGGTTTGCATTTGTAGCATGGGAGGCCATTTTAGCTGCCATGTCTCAAGAGGCAGTGGCAGAAGGACTGAGGAAGGCCTACAGTGAGCCCAGCCATCCGCAGGGCATACCGTGGCTTGTTCTGCAAGAACCAACCCACTGGTGCTTATTTGCAGGGTAGGTCAGTGTGATGTGCCCAGAGAAGGTTCTGAGAAGGTTCCTGCCAGCTGAAGGGCAGAAAGACCACCATCTTTCTTTGTGGTTTCTTGTTTTCCAGTTTGTTCTTAGTAACACCTTTTTCCTTCACCCGCTGGTGTGTCCGTTGTCTCTGACTCCTAGAAGAACCATTTGCCTCTCAGCAAGCCATTGTTCATAGTTCCTCTACCGTACCAAGATTCATCTTCAGTGTACCAGCATCACCTATCCCAACCTTTCGTTGAAGTCCTGAACCAGGCCATGGATGGCCTTTTACAAGGCCCGGGAAGATACCAGGCTGGCTAGAGTGACCCTACTGGATTTATCAGACTGCAGGCCAGAAGTTTTCCCTCGCTGGCATAGAGAACAGCTCCTCCATTGTACTTGACACACTGGGAAATCAGGTCACCGACAAAGTTTATGGAGAAATAACACATCTTTTATTTTGCCAGGAATGCTAGCAGAAAAGTGCTGAGCAGTGTGCTAACCATCTAGTGCCAGGATGGCAAAGTATTTCCAGCAGCAATCAAAGAGAAAGAAAGAGAAAGGTGGAGGTGGGTAGTTTGAAGCACAAGGAAGGCATGAGGCAGTTTCAGAGGTTACACCTGGGGTGACATTTATAGGAATTTTTGGTGTATTTACTAATTGCAAAACAAGGGAGCAACCGAGGATTCCCCTTCTTCGCCGCTCACAGACATTGTCTGTTTTTTCATTAATGGAATGTCTTGCCTGCTTTTCAGTATAACACAGACCCAAAGCAGCGTACACCCAATAACATGCAATGGACCTGTTGACCACATAAAGGGGAGAAAGTAATGCAGATGAATAACAGTTCAGATCAGACCCATCGAGAGCAGCTGTGGCAAAGAGAGGCAGTGGATGGGCAAAGGGGTGCTTAATTCTTACTCACACCCTGCTCTTTCTTTGCTCCAAATGGTCTTTTCCTGAGCATTTCAAAAATTGGTGCAGTATCACGCGCTCTACGTGGGGCTACCCTTGAAGACGGTCCGGATACTTCAATTGATTCAAAATAGAGCTGCCAGGCTGCTGACGGGGACTGGACGTTATGTTCACATGACTCCAGTTCTCTGTCAGCTTCACTGGCTTCCCATTGAAGTCTGGGCCCAATTCAAGGTGTTGGTGATGACCTATAAAGCCCTAAACGGCTTGGGTCCTGGTTACCTGAAGGAGCGCTTACATCCATATATGCCCAACCGCCCCCTGAGATCGGCGGGAGAGGCCCTTCTCCGGGAGCCCTCCGTGAAAGAAATTAGAAGGGTGGTTACTCGGAGGAGGGCTTTCTCAGCGGTGGCGCCTAAGTTATGGAATGCGCTCCCCAGAGAGGTCCGCCTGGCGCCGTCGTTATTTGTTTTTCGGTGCCAGGCAAAGACCTTTTTATTTAAGCAGCATTTTAAATGTTAATATTATTGAATTTTATCTGGCCAGGGCGGCTTATTTTATATTGTATAATTGTATTTTATTTTAATGTATATATTTTAATTTTTACTTATGATGACCTAACATTGTTGTAAGCCGCCCCGAGGCTTTGGCGAATGGGGAGGCATAAAAATGTTTTAATAAAATAAATAAATAAATATCATCATCATCATCATCCCCTTTCTTTCCTTCAAGGAACCTGTTAGCTTCTATAATACCTGTCTTCATTGCATCCTCACAACAACCCTGTGAGGTAGCTTAGGCTGAGAGTCAACGGATGGCCCAAAGTCTCCCAGTGCACTTCATGGACTAGGGAGGACTCGAACCCAGCTCTTCCGAGCCTCAGTCCAACACTCCACGCAGGCATTTAGCTCCAAAGAGGCTATCAAGAGCC